GATCAAAAATGTAAGGCTAACCCCTTGCATTTTTTTCAATTTTGGCCGAAAAATGAAATTGCTTGAAACTTGCAGGGAAGATGCCTGGAGGTCCCTAGAGCACATCGAACTGGAATTTGGCACAGATTGGGCATTTACAAGAAAAATTGCGTCGATAATTTGCGTCAAAATAAGTGAAAATTATTCATTTTTGTCTCAATAAATCGATGATTTGTGCCCAAATCTTTAATATTTTTAGTGTCTGAAGGTCGATTGATGTTCCTCTTGCATCCAAAGACATTTCTGAGTTGTTTTGAGAAAAGTCAATTTTTGGACAAATTTGATCAAAAATGTAAGGCTAACCCCTTGCATTTTTTTCAATTTCGGCCGAAAAATGAAATTGCTTGAAACTTGCAGGGAAGATGCCTGAAGGTCCATGGAGCACATTCGAACTGGAATTTGGGACAAATTGGGCATTTACAAGAAAAATTGCGTTGATAATTTGGGTCAAAATTAGTGAAAATTATTAATTTTTTTCTCAATAAATCGATGATTTTTTCCCAAATCTTCAATAATTTTAGTGTCTGAAGGTCGATTGATGTTCCTCTTGCATCCAAAGACATTTCTGAGTTGTTTTGAGAAAAGTCAAATTTTGGCCAAATTTGATCAAAAATGTAAGGCTAACCCCTTGCATTTTTTTCAATTTTGGCCGAAAAATGAAATGGCTTGAAACTTGCAGGGAAGATGCCTGAAGGTCCATGGAGCACATTCGAACTGGAATTTGGGACAAATTGGGCATTTACAAGAAAAATTGCGTCGATAATTTGGGTAAAAATTAGTGAAAATTATTCATTTTTTTCTCAATAAATCGATGATTTTTTCCCAAATCTTCAATAATTTTAGTGTCTGAAGGTCGATTGATGTTCCTCTTGCATCCAAAGACATTTCTGAGTTGTTTTGAGAAAAGTCAATTTTTGGCCAAATTTGATCAAAAATGTAAGGCTAACCCCTTGCATTTTTTCAATTTTGGCCGAAAAATGAAATTGCTTGAAACTTGCAGGGAAGATGCCTGAAGGTCCATGGAGCACATTCGAACTGGAATTTGGGACAAATTGGGCATTTACAAGAAAAATTGCGTCGATAATTTGGGTAAAAATTAGTGAAAATTATTCATTTTTTTCTCAATAAATCGATGATTTTTCCCAAATCTTCAATAATTTTAGTGTCTGAAGGTCGATTGATGTTCCTCTTGCATCCAAAGACATTTCTGAGTTGTTTTGAGAAAAGTCAATTTTTGGCCAAATTTGATCAAAAATGTAAGGCTAACCCCTTGCATTTTTTTCAATTTTGGCCGAAAAATGAAATTGCTTGAAACTTGCAGGAAAGATGCCTGAAGGTCCATACAGCACATTCGAACTGGAATTTGGGACAGATTAGGCATTTACAAGAAAAATTGCGTTGATAATTTGGGTAAAAATTAGTGAAAATTATTCATTTTTTTCTCAATAAATCGATGATTTGTGCCCAAATCTTCAATAATTTTAGTGTCTGAAGGTCGATTGATGTTCCTCTTGCATCCAAAGACATTTCTGAGTTGTTTTGAGAAAAGTCAATTTTTGGCCAAATTTGATCAAAAATGTAAGGCTAACCCCTTGCATTTTTTCAATTTTGGCCGAAAAATGAAATTGCTTGAAACTTGCAGGGAAGATGCCTGAAGGTCCATAGAGCACATTCGAACTGGAATTTGGGACGGATTGGGCATTTACAAGAAAAATTGCGTCGATAAATTTGGGTCAAAATTAGTGAAAATTATTCATTTTTGTCTCAATAAATCGAAGATTTTTGCCCAAATCTTCAATATTTTTAGTGTCTGAAGGTCGATTGATGTTCCTCTTGCATCCAAAGACATTTCTGAGTTGTTTTGAGAAATGTAAATTTTTGGCCAAATTTGATCAAAAATGTAAGGCTAACCCCTTGCATTTTTTTCAATTTTGGCCGAAAAATGAAATTGCTTGAAACTTGCAGGGAAGATGCCTGGAGGTCCCTAGAGCACATTCGAACTGGAATTTGGGACAGATTGGGCATTTACAAGAAAAATTGCGTCGATAATTTGGGTCAAAATTAGTGAAAATTATTCATTTTTGTCTCAATAAATCGATGATTTTTGCCCAAATCTTCAATATTTTTAGTGTTTGAGGGTTGATTGATATTCCTCTTGCATGCAAAGACATTTCTGAGTTGTTTTGAGAAAAGTCAATTTTTGGCCAAATTTGTTCAAAAATGTAAGGCTATTACCCCTTGCATTTTTTTCAATTTTTGCCAAAAAATGAGATTGCTTAAACTTGCAGGAAAGATGCATGATGGTCCATAGAGCACATTCGAACTGGAATTTGGAACAGATTGGGCATTTACAAGAAAAATTGCGTCGATAAATTTTGGTCAAAATTAGTGAAATTTATTCATTTTTGCCTCAATAAATCGATGATTTTTGCCCAAATCTTCAATATTGTTAGTGTTTGAGGGTCGATTGATGTTCCTCTTGCATCCAAAGACATTCCTGAGTTGTTTGAAGAAAAGTCAATTTTTGGCCAAATTTGATCAAAAATGTAAGGCTAACCCCTTGCATTTTTTTCAATTTTGGCCGAAAAATGAAATTGCTTGAAACTTGCAGGGAAGATGCCTGAAGGTCCCTAGAGCACATTCGAACTGGAATTTGGGACAGATTTGGCATTTACAAGAAAAATTGCGTCGATAAATTTTGGTCAAAATTAGTGAAAATTATTCATTTTTGCCTCAATAAATCGATGATTTTTGCCCAAATCTTCAATATTTTTAGTGTTGAGGGTCGATTGATGTTCCTCTTGCATCCAAAGACATTGCTGAGTTGTTTTGAGAAAAGTCAATTTTTGGCCAAATTTGATCAAAAATGTCAGGCTAACCCCTTGCATTTTTTTCATTTTTTGCCAAAAAATGAAATTACTTGAAACTTGCAGGGAAGATGCCTGATGGTCCCTAGAGCACATTCGAACTGGAATTTGGAACAGATTGGGCATTTACAAGAAAAACTGCGTCGATAATTTGGGTCAAAATTAGTGAAAATTTTATCCATTTTTGTCTCAATAAATCGGTGATTTTCGTCCAAATCTTCAATATTTCGATTGATGTTCCTCTTGCATCCAAATACATTTCTGAGTTGTTTTGAGAAAAGTCAATTTTTGGCCAAATTTGTTCAAAAATGTAAGGCTAACTAACCCCTTGCAATTTTTTCAATTTTGGCCGAAAAATGAAATTGCTTGAAATTTGCTGGGAAGATGCATGAAGTGTCTGAAGGTCCATTGATGTTCCTCTTGCATCCAAAGACATTGCTGAGTTTTTGGAGAAAAGTCAATTTTTGGCCAAATTTGATCAAAAATGTAAGGCTAACACCCTTGCAATTTTTTCAATTGGGGCCGAAAAATGAAATTGCTTGAAACTTGCAGGGAAGATGCCTAAATGTCACTAGAGCACATTCGAACGGGAATTTTGGACAGATTGGGCATTTACAAGAAAGATTGCGTCGATAATTTGGGAAAATTATTCATTTTTGTCTCAATAAATTGATGATTTTAGCCCAAATCTTCAATATTTTTTAGTGTTTTTTAATATAGAGCATATGCGAACTGGTGCTTTGAATAGATTGGACATTTGACAGAAAAATTGCGTCGATAATTTTGGTCAAAATTAGTGAAGAAAATATGGAAGGGGTTGAAAAAAATGCATTTTTCATTTATTTCAGCCAAAAATTCATTTTTCTTCAACACAGAAATTCTTTTGGACACAAGAAGAACATAAATCAGTATTCAAACACCCATAATGTTGCAGATCTGGGCAAAAATCAACGATTTATTGAGGCGGAAAAAAATGATATTTTCTCATTTTTAAGGCCCAATTTTCTGCACAATATTTGCTTTGAATGGCACATCTGCTGGAGGGCTATTTTTGTATCGTCCAAGCAGCTTTCAAGCTATTCTAATTTCGGCGTAAATTGAAAAAAAATTGCAAGGGGTTAACCTTACTTTTATAGTGAAATTCGGCATAAGTTTTTTTTCTGAAACAACGCGAAAATTCCTTGCGATGCTAGAGGAGTATCAATCAATATTCAAACACTAATAATTTTGAAGATTTGGGCAAAAATCACCGATTTATTGAGAAAATAAAAAAAAGGAAAATACCATTTCGAAAAACAAAATTACATTTTTGTATCCCTCCAAATCTCAAGCAATGTAATTTTTTTGCCGAAATTGGAAAACAAATTCAATTTTTATGATATTTTGTTAAAAAATTATTGATTTTGCCAAACAAATTGATTGAGAACATTGCAAAATGCCATATCATCAATTTATTGAGGAAGAAAATAGTAATTGTACTCAATTCCCCAACTTGTTCTTCAGTGATAGGTATCTGTCCAGAAATCGAGTTGGAATGTGTTTCAGGATCATGATTTAGGTATCTTACTTGTACTTTTAAAGCAATTCACTGTTTGGCCTAAAATGGGTGGGGGAAATGACAGGGGTTATTTTACTCCTTTCTTCACAGTCAGATTCCTCTAGAAGTAAATTAATTGCACTCTTCCTTTGTTTTGAATCCGAAGTGGACTGTTTTAATTGGCGTGTCCCTTTAAGCAATTCGTGTGATATTTGCCTGATAATGTGGGTCTCCAACTTTGGAGATTACTAGCTCAACATCAGTCAATGTTTTGTTACAAAAATTTCATACTTTATAATATAATACAAGCGATTTGTTTTTACAATTTGATCGAACCATGCAAGGCCCTTGTAATGACAAAGCCAAACCGGAAACGAAGCCGAGTTTTGGGAAAGGGCCATCATGTATATTTTTAGCCGTGGCGGCTACCTGACCTAATGATAAGTCAGAAATAGTCAGAATGTTCTGGTCTGGGAACCAGACTAGTGGATAGGCGGGGCGAGCGAAGATGCGCACGCACTTTTTTGAGCGACACTCTGCTCTTGGCTTCGTGATGTTCATACGCCACTGAGCGCATAATCTCCATGCTGAGTCTTGTACGAGAAGTCGGCGAGTGAGATTGTGTATGAGGACAGTCTGTCTAAAGCTTGGATAAATTACATCCTTTCTTAGAAGGAACTTAAGAGAGTAGCCAAGAAAACTCCACCATCATGCTTCGTAGACTGTGTCTCGCCTTGGCTATTGTCTTGCTCTTGGTTGCGATAGCATTGTCGGTAAGTTTAGGGGGGAAAAGTATTCAACACTTTTGCTTAGTAACAAGAATTGCTCATTCCATGTATGCATACTGCAGTTTGCCATTGAAAATATCTTGAGAGGTTTAAAAATAAGAAAGTCACCCATTTTGTGTTTTCTCATGAATAAGCTCTTTTACACTGTTGTTGGGTGGGTTGGTGAGCTTACTATTTTACAGATTAGATACTAGTTACTATCAGTGAAGTAAAAAAAAATTTCTTGCAATTTCGCTCGCGCTTCGAACACTTGGCACAGTCACCAAGTCGAAGTCGCCATTGCACATAGATTCCGAGTCTCATGTTCTCATGCCCTGTGTAATGATATGCCTCCACATTCCTTGGCCTGGCTTGGGCGAACGTGCGTTTCTCGAAAGTTCGATGGCTTCAGTTCGCTTTCTGCCAGTCAGTCGATATTTCACGTTTCAGTTTTCGACACATGTTAAACTTGATGCCAAGTACGCTGTTATCTTGTTAGACTCTCTGTGGACGATTTTAGGTATGACAAAAGGATATCATTTGAGATATAAACACAACCCTCGTGTGCCCAAATTTAGACGTGCCTCTGACAAAGGAGTGGATCTATGCATGGATGTAAAATGATCCATGTGTATACCTGATCTACCCTGACCATATGCGCTGACATAAACATTCGGGTCTCGGCTGGATAGTGTAGGTTTAGGCATTTATTTACATTAATTAATTCACTGGCGTGTTGAATGTCAAAGACAAAGGGTTCCTGAGGGGCAGATCTTTACTTGGAATTCCTCTTACAACACATTCGTCAGAAAATAGTATTATTTCATTTTATAGCAAATCAATTCAGTACCATGGAAAGCACATTTTTTGACAAGTAATTTATTCAAAGGTTTAGTTCGGTTTGGAAAGAATTCCGTCAGCGCTACAAAAATATGGGCAAAACGAACAATATTAATATTGCAATGGTTTTTCTTAAATAAAATAACTGTTAAATTTGGTAAATAATAAAATGAGTAATGAAAAAAATACAACTTATTTTCCCTTCAGTTTAATACTAAAATAGAGGGTTTTTTTTCTTTATGATACAATTAATCAATTTATAAAAAAAAGCAATCTGGTTTGACTTTTACCAATATACACGATTTTGTAATCTGTTATTCATTGCGGATTTTTACTGGTAATTTTCAAACTATTTACGCAAGCACAGTGAAATTAAAATTCATCACATCATTTTCGTTTTGCAGTTTCGTAAGTAGGCATGTAGCATACGTGTTCAAAACAGTTCTATTTTTAATTCACTGGTCATATATATTATGTTTATCGCCCTTTTCCTGTTTTTCACTTCAATGTGCATCATACTAGGCTTTCCCAGCTGTGTATTTGAAGCGTGGGCACAATGGATGCGCAGAAAAGAAGAGGAAAACTCAGCACAGTAGCTATTAAAGCATGTCAATTGTCGTCTGTAAAATTAGTCACGGCTCATTTGTCCCAGACAACAATGCAGTTTCTGTCATTGTCATACGATCACTACATATGTCCTTCAACCGCAATCATTTTAGTTTCGCGAGCTTAACTTTGAAATGCCTTCAAAAATGGATATGTCATGACAAACATATTGCAAACATCATTGGATGAAGCAATGAGGATGGTTGTGTTATCAACATGGCCGCCGCAGTTTGTGTCTCTGTACAGTAATTTACTTCCAGGATGATCGAGTGGACGCTACCAATAACTAATTGAAGTGGTGTGAAATACATGAAAATATTAATATGTAAAAACAAAAAAGGAGGGTAGAGTTGAATACCCTCTGAAAGCTACACATTTAATAACCATAGCCGTATATTTTGCCCTTGGGATTTGGCGGGTATTTGTCGTTGTGTCTGGCAATTTATTAACCACATGTGCTACCGTGGGTGTTATCACATGATAGCGATCATGCTCACATTACAGCAAGACTATGTCAGCAAAAATGACGGTGTGTTGAGACCGATTAAAGGGGTATTTTTGACCGGAATGCGCCCGTGCTCATGCATAAATTATTTCCACAAAATAAAGGCCCCCCAATTTAATTTTTTTACTTTTTCAGATCCAGATTTATTGGAAATTGGGGAGACATGTTAAAGTTGTTTCAAGATATTCCTAAACTATTTACGGTGAAAACGACTCTGAAAACAAAGCCTAAATTAAGAAGTGGCGATGGTTAAAGAGGGTCAAACGCCAGTTTTCATGCAAGTCTATGGGATTATGGTCAACACAATAGCACTGCACGCACAAAGAACTGCAATATTATTGTAATTTATAGGTCTACATGACTGCCAAGTGCTATATACGCGGACAAACTAGTTTTTGTCCATTCTTCTGTAAATGGCTGCTATCTCTTAACTTGAGCTTTATTTTCAACGCCGTTTTCACCATACACAACCAAGATCTTGTAGTTTAGGAATATCTTAAAACAATTTCAACATGTCTCTTCAATTTTGAGAAATCCGTCTCTGAAAAAGTGTAGGCTAAATTGTTTTTAGTTTAGGGCCTACGTGTTATTGTCACGCGAAGGAATTTCGGGGCACACAATGTTGGTACTCTAAAATGGAGCCATGGAGATTCAAGTAACACGGTTGTTTTTTTAAACATTTGCTTGAGAAATACGTGCTTTCATCACATTGTTGGAGTCGAGTTACCACGTATTATACACGGAGCTAGTCCGACGCTGGCAGCTTTGGCTCATAATTCGACGGCTTCAATTCGCAGCTGGAAATACATTTTAAGGCAAACAAAAATGGCTGCCGCGTCAGATCAGATGTCAACAAAGTGAGTTTTTCGCATTTTCTCTGGAGGAGTAGACATATTTCTGGTGACCCAGACATAGTGGTTTATAGTAAGCCACAAAAGCACCACATTTTCGCAATCTCCGGACGAATGTGTGCCTTTAAGACAGTTGCGCTACCCATGCACCGACGGGACAGACGGCCCGTTCTCTTCTCAAATTTCCACGATGTACGCATTGCGAGCATACCATGGCAAATGAACGCCTGTGCCCCGGTGCGGGTCAGGGTCAAGTCATCAGACGTCTGGTCGAACAGACCTGGGAAGTTTTTTTTCCAAGGATGAAGAAGTAGGACGACTTTATCAATGGCCCTTTATTTAAAATTGTTCAGGACTCGCACTTCAGGCTCAAACACTTAATACAAGGCCGGATAGTGCCGAATATCCTCCCTTTTGTATCAAAGAACTTTAATAAGACATTGCAAATTAGTTACAAGCACGACTGGAAATGCGGTTATTTATTTACCCTACAAATGACGTCATCGATAGACCCGATTGCGTTATCATAGCGAATGTGCAATTAAATTTTCAGAAATGCATGAAATGGTTGGATTTTTTTTTTGGGGGGGGTAATATTTTATAGCAAATATTAGTATATAGTTTTGTGTTCGTAGATGCTGGAAACAACAAGAAAAACAATGAACATGTTTCTGTAGTCTGGTTCCCTGACCCCACTTAAGATGAAACGGAGCAATTTATAGACATTGAACAGATTTCCATGGCATTTTCACTGATTATACACAAGAGTATAATTAATATGCTCCATCAAGATGAAATACTCATGTTTCGTATAGTTTTTGAGAATTAAAGGATATCTGCTTGCACAACTTTTGGGGGGACACCGTGTAATTGTATAATCTTGCGGGTATCGCCATTCGCAGAGGCCCCCAAGTTCAATGGCGAAATCGAAAGCATTGTGCCAGCTATACTCTGAAAAAAACATAGTCAGATTTAACTAGAAACTTGTTAAATTTTGACTAGCCATTCAGGGTCAGCTGGATGCAAATGAAAATCAGTCAATCTGACTAGATTTTTTTCGGTCAGTATTGAAAAATAGTAATGCAAATAACTAAAATTGGAGTCAAATCCAACTTCTTGTTCTTGTCATAGTATGTAACTTTACATGTTTAACTAAATATCTAGTCAATTTTCAATAACTAGGAAAACCAGTCAACCTTTTGACTAAGTTGTTTTTAGAGACTTTACAAAGCAACTGGCTCATGGCGGATTATCTTAACAGTATATTAAGCTGGCTGAATACTTTCGCCATTATGAGCGGGTATCGCACTGATGAGTGAGCCCAGAACAGCGGGTTGTCGTACGTGTCATGCAGGGTTCGAGGACGCGTGCAGACCGACATCTGCTCAAACCGTTCCTGACAAGCTGTCGGCTAGAAATAGACGCTGTCATAATTCATAATTTACATCGCCTGCAGGCGTTGCGATCTTACAATATTGATTGTTTTCTTGTGGGCCGCGAGCTTCGACGACAGTAATTATTTCTGAAACGTCAAGTCAGATAGTCATCGTGGATCGTGTTCCCAAAATCCATTTACTCTGTTCCTATATATTATAAATAAGCGTGCGCGACAAATGCGCAAAGTTGCCAGACTATTTTGTCACGAGTGCAGTGCTTGCCCCACTTACGAGAATATTTTGCATTTGGGCCCAATTTTTTTAAAGAATTATTCACCACAGCACATCAACATTGATTAAGTTATCTATGTACAGTTTCGTAAATCATCCCCAGGTTGATTGTTCTATCAGTTAAAGTATAGTCTTGGCTTAACCTGAAGTCCGATTTTGTCGTTTTCGATTCTGTCATGAATAATGCTGCCATTTTGACTTCTTCACACGTCTTTAGCTCTTTACGCACAATAACATCTTCCTATTTGCTGGACCGGCCTGAAGTACAGGCAGCGTGTATACAATATTATCATGTGACTGTATATCCAAGTAACATTTCTTTTCTGACATGCATACGTTGAGCACATAGCTTCTTAGAGAAATTCATGAATCTTCCGGTGAATGGTGTAGCGCCTCCCCAATGATGGCGGCCTGAGAATATTGACCGAAACGTAGAGTGCTGGCTCTTTTCAGAAAGACAGAAAACCTTAATATTTTAGTTATTTATCTCACACGGGTGTACATCTATACTAGGAGCCTAGGAGGCGCTACTAGGAGGCGCTACTGCGATAGCTTGCTGCCTTTTCCATTGTGTCTACCATAATTACCAAAAGGCTAATGATCACAATTTCATAAAATGTTTCTTCTCACAGCAAGATACCACTGATGCTCCTGCTCCTACGGCTGCTCCCGAACCAGAGCCTACAGCAGCTCCCGAGCCAGCACCGACCGGCGCTGCCGAGCCCGAGCCGACCGGAGAGCCGGACGCCGGTACGAGCAAGCCCGAGATGATGACCACGTCTGGGGCCACCACCGCAGCCAACATCAGCGGCGTGTTCCTGTTGCTCCACGCCGCTTTGGCAGTGCTGTACGCGTAGGTGAATTCCAAAAACAAAAAACGACCCGAAACATCCAACCCGGCAAGCACCCAGCAGGCTCGTCTTGTCGCACAAAGTTGCAGCATCCTACAGAGTATAAGTGCGCAGCAGCAATCCTTCTCTTTTGCCAAGAAATCGGATGCAGGTGTATCGGAGTACACGCCATTCGTCGTCAAATGTTTTCTTTCTACTTTTTTTTGGTTAATGCACCTTTGCACTTACTCTTTAAACGGACTTAAACATCATGAAGTTAATTTTCCTTAATGAATTTCTCCTTATACCATTGGAATTATTAAACAGTGATAGTTAGTGTCTAAGATTTTTTTTTGCACGAACCGATTACAAGACTGGGTCTGAAATTTTATCATTTTAATGGTGTAATTTTATGGGAGTAATGTTTATAAGCACTCGGTTCTTTCCCAAATTTCGTGAGGAAAAACAAATCTCAAATGAATATTTGTATTTAAAAATACTTACAGGCAAGCCCTTGGCTTAGCACAGTGTTTTCCCCAGTACTACCGTGGTATTTGTTATTTGACCGTGTGTGCTCGCTACAAAAATATTTACGACATCGGTCTCAGTACCCTGGAATTCAGATAAATGCCTCCTCCACAAATGATTTCTGTTTTGGCTTCTTCGAATTGGCTTATGCCAGCTGTCTAAGACGTGGACTTAAAATTAAGTACTCAAAACAGCGGGAGAAATTTCTTTCATAAACATGTTTCTGTCATCGAGGAGTTTGATTGCTTTTACACGCGAGGCCTCCACACCCCGTCCGTTCCCCACCGCGGGCACACGAGGTCTGCATAACTCACCTACTCGGGCGTAACAGTGTGTGACATTTTCAAAGCGCTGCAGTTGATATTAAAATTTGTGGGTACCAGTATGACCGGAAGACATAATTTATGAATCTTGTTACGGTTGAATTATAGAGATAAAAATAAATCCATTGATGTAGGCCAATTTATACGAGGCAGCTATACAGTGCATTGATTCTTGCCTTATTTGTCAATCCACGGCATGCGATTTCCAGTCAATTTGGTTGTGAGCTTATCGCACAAGCTTATGCATTGTACATGTAATTGAAAGTCAGTACTCGTGTCTGCAGTACTGTTTAAAAAAAAGTACCACAAGGCTTATAGAATGGGCTACTAAGCACGAATAAAAGTACTAGGATAATAAAGTGGTATACTAAGCACACACTTTTACGAGGTGCGAAGAAAAGAACTCGCGAGTAAAGCCATTTTGCTTGTCAAACTCATGAGATTTTATTATTCGCATCTGTATTGGAATGTGGTGACCTGGTGTTTTTTGGTACATGTATTTTCATTTTTACTTCGGTGACATTTTAGGTTTAGTCAATACTGTATGCATTTTACGAGTTTATGAAACACTGGGGACATGACGCACAAGAATGGTTTGTTGTACGACTCTACTGTCGTCATCTTGTGTTCTTCAAATTGGCTGATTTTTTTTGGCTATACGACGTTGACTGTCGGACTAATTACCATGATAGTCTGGGGCCTTTCATATGGCATATGCACACGTATATAATGATCACAGATGCACCCCTTTGGAGCCAGACAAAATGGCCGCAGTCACATTTGACTTTAAAATGCGGCATACCTATGTGTCATGCCCTTTTGCTTGTTTGATACAACCAATTCGTAACTTGCCAAACAACCCACAGTAGACTAGAACGTGTTGCTGTTAAACAAGAAAATAGATATTTATCCACATTTCGTCATCTCGTGAACAATGTACAGAGCGAATGAGAAATGAAGCTTATGATTATCTCTCTGAGATATGATCGCTGACGCATTCGCTTTTCTGCCCCAAAAGTGTGAGAAAGAAAAAAAATAACCCACAAAGGTACACAAGGTAGACTTTCTGGAGTCCTATACTCTCGGAAAAAAAATCATGGCATTGTTATCCAGCGATGCCGTTCAAAATCGACATGTAATTCATCTTTTACCGCAGTTTCTGACAAAAACTTCTAAACTATTTCCCCTTTTATAATTATTATTAAGTAGACCTTGCATTTTAGTCATTAGTTATATATGTATAAGTTTATAGGTCTATATTTTAACATGTCTTTGCCACGCATTGCCGTCTTGCATTGACAATAAATATTTTTAGCTACTACCTAATCAAATAAAAAGAAGAGGTCACTCTTTACCTGGTAAAAAACATGGTTTGGTTTGTTTTATTTGGCACTCACACAAAATACCAAAGAAAAGGGAATACAATTACACACGGATACATTTAAACATGTAAGTAAAGAAAGCAGAGGCAATAGGCCTACAGCACAATAACTACAGTATACTGCACAAATACAGAACAGAAAATTTGAAAAATAGCTTGGTGCCTGCATGGATAGCCCAATAGCCCATAAAGACAAATGCTTATTTCTAATGGGGTCCGACGGGCCTTTTAAGCACAACAGAACAAGCAAAACTAGATATAGGCTGTTGAAAATGCACCTTTAAGATGATGTCACAAGACACGTGACGACGTCATCATGACGTCACTTGTCCATGCACGACTTTATGGGGTCTTGGTTTATGCCAAGTTTCATCAAAACTGACCCCGAAAATGAAACGCGTACATAGTATAAGGGATTTCATTTAGAAGAACAAGGGAGAAGAAGAAAAAAATCAGAACAAAAACAAATGTATTTCCGCACCTTTGTTTTGCGGAAAAGCCAACGAAATAGATCAAAATAACTCAAGAAATATACACTCTAACACTGCACGTCGAAACAGCATATACAAAAAAAACATCCAAAAGAAATTAATCTAACATACCGTCCTTACCACTACATTCGTATCCCAGTCCTAGTCCGTCAAGGACAATTTTATAAAATAATCAAGTGAACTAGGAAAAGCCGCAGTAATAAGCAAGTCGACGATAAAATTGATATTTCACGTGAGCGTTGTACCATGTAGAAATGAGACACTTTGCTGGCGCCAGTCTGGAAGATATCGAATGAGCCTGAACTGTTAATTTGAGCAGAGGCTTATATTGATGTGTCGGTGTATTCAACAATGATCGTGCAGGCATGAAAATACTGACTGGTACTGGTATAGATTGGTATGCCGCAGAGAAAACAATTAGTAGACTTAATGACTCCATTTTTTTTGTTATTCCAAATTCACATTTTTACGCTTTTCAATTTTTAGATTAAACCAAAGCTGCTTATTTCCTCAACACACTTGATTTTTTAATTGATTACAAATGGCGTCTTAACAAGGGCCCCGTTCTCAAAAAGAAAAGAAAAAAAGACATATTATTCTTAAGCACGTACGGCTGAATGGAAAGAGAGGCAGTACGTCCAAGCTACGGATACATGAATGAAGTGTTGACATTATTTTAGCAACCTAAATGTTACATTGATGACAAGAAGGATCCTTTGCCTCGGTTTCGGTGTCCAACATGGCGACCCTGTGCAAAACACAAGCGCACTCGTCAGTTAGCAACGCAGTTTCTGTAGAGTGTAAACAGGCAGGCAACTTTTTCTCGGATTAGCTGATTTCTCCTTTTTTTTACTTCCCATGTGTGACATTAAAGATACAAAAAAAACACTTTACAAAGTCTTGGAAAATGCCTGAAAAAAAGTAATCAAAAGTAGAAACGAACAGTACATAACCTGTATTGTCATGGGGAATTGTGACTCCCTGATATCACTTTAGTTTCGTTTTCAACACAATTCGTCAGTGAAAATTAAATGTCGTTGGTGAGCCATATTCTTATTTTGGTTTGCATGGCCAGCACAATACTCGCCAGCATCATTGAACTAAAAGGTTGTCAAGGTCAGAGGGTACCGAGGTGGTAATGGACTTGCCATCTTTGTCCTCGACGGTCGATCGCACGTGAAATCTTGACACACGCAGACTGAAAATGTGGTTATCACTCTTAAGCTATACATTGTAACGTGAATAACAGACCCAGAAAATCGAATCATTCTTGGTCCTTTTGGGCTGTCGTTAGATGACTGATAGAGTCTGTTTGATGCAATGTGTATATAGGGCTTTTTGCTAATGGACATATCATTTGGTTGAATTGCGTACAAGGAAGTGTGTCTCTCTGACTTGATGAACGTGTTATTTTACTGGACTCAAACCAGGCAAAAGTCACTTTATTAATGCAAGGTAGATATCACGAGCTTTTTACCCGTAAAGAAGAAGGGAAAAAAGTATAAAAACATTTAAAACAAACGTAACACCACAAATTGTTATCAGGGGTTGGTTATTATGCAGGTGAAGTTTAGGGCCATGACGTGAATATTTCTGAAGAAAATATTTTGTGCAACTATCTACTCTTAAATGTACGAAAAGTATTTGACATCCCTTTTCGGTTAATTTTACTGAAAGCGCACTTCTTTAAACATTTATAAATTATCCATGCCTTTTCGGACAACTGAGGGCGATGTTGCTGTGACGTCATTTCAGAAAGATACTCTTCAGTTCGGGGGTTTTCCGTTCAAATTGTGAACCCAATGACATAATAACGAATCACCGAAGAAAATAAAATTTACGACAGCGAAATATCCACAATTGTGACAACTTTTGGCGCTGAAATAGATGTGATATTGAGGTTTCTGCTTGAAATAACATCACGATTTTGCTCATGAATATGGAAATTCATTACCATAAATATAAAAAAGGCACCAAAATAGCCTTGAAAATGGCAAACGAACATTGAAAATAAGCTTAAGTTGGACACAAAGTTGCATTTTCAAGGACTGCATTTTAACAATTACAATGCAAGGGTCTTTAATATAGGCACCCAGAGCTTTACTATATAAAACAAAACAATACATGTACATGTTTATAAAAGTAAGTATAAAACACACATGTTATTACAGAGCAGGAGTATCTCCAATTTTTCATTGGATCAAAGTCTCAGTTTTCTACGATATTTTAATATAGGCACACATTGTTTTACTATATAAAACAAAACGATACATGTATATAAAAGTATAACTACAAAACACACAAGTTATTACAGTACAGGATTACCTCCAATTGTTCATTGGATCAAATTCTCATGCAGTTTCTACGGTTTTTTTTGTTGCAATGAGATTCTGTTTATCATCCGGCTTCAGACCGAGGATATTTTCCAGCTTCAACTAGTAAACCCAAATGTCATTAGATTTTTGTTGTTTCCATATTACTCGGTACAATTGGTTACGACAAAATTATGAAGTCCGTTTTCTTCTATTGTTTTCAGTGTAACTAATCTACCGAAAACCCTGAAAGCCCTATCCTGATATTTATATATATATCTGGATTATGACTTCGCTTGTTTATTATTCTTCGATGTCACGACATGCATATTTGCAGGGTTTCGTCTGAGCGCATCTAAATAATTCATACCTTGGCATTTGGAAAAAAATATATTTATGTATCTCTCGTTGATGGTTCAAGTTTTTAATGGGACGAGGTATATATAGACATACAGGACCTTTTTACCGTTCCCTTACAATATATGGTGAGGCAAAAAGAAAGTGACCTAGATTAATGATTTTTTTTTTGTTTTCTTAAAAAGCAATCGTATTGATTCGTCGATGAAATATGTCTTAAAAGAGCGTGTTCTTCCACTCATCTGATTTTTTTATGAAAACAGTTGCCCATGGAATGGCTATGGACATGAGCTAAGCAATGGCATGAGTTGGGTGAGAATGACAGATTACAAACACGCATTCAAATACAAATGGTATTTTTATCATTTGAGTCAAGACCACAATATTTCTACTTTCAGATTTTGTGTTTGAATATGAGGCACAAGTCCATACTTTTTCCCCTGAAATATTGATGCCATTTTTTTGTCTGTTTTCCTCAGAGCGTTTTCGTTCATTCACGAAGGTGTGGACATGTCCATGTTTCACTGTATTTAATGGTATTTATCAGTTCGTTGGGCCAGAAATGATCAGTGATATGAACAGCATAACTTTGTGATCTCTTTATTTAAATAGTTATAACTTGGAAATAGAGTGAGCAAATTGATTTTCAGTCAAATGTCATTTTTGTGAAATGGAGACAGCCACATATTTTTTTAATTTTTTTTTTTCTCGTTCGGTCACTTTCTTTTTGACTCGCCCTGTATACTAGTGCCCCCGAACCACATTTAATTTGTCATATGGAAAGCCCCACCCATATGCAAATTCAATACAGATATGTAATAATGATATGTAGTCACGCAACTGGCAGGCGAATAATGTTTTGTTGCCCGTTGAGACTGCAAACAGGCGAGACCCTGGAACGGTGCCAGACATTCCGATCTCTTTAGCATATTGCTAGCAGGTGTATTAAAGGGAATGTACAACATTTGCTGGAAAGATTTCCATATACGAAGTTCACTCAACACCCTGTGTACAAACCCTATGAGATTGGACTGAAAAATTCTAAGTGTTTTCTAAGAAAATGCTTGTATTTTCTCACTGCTCAAATTGACTTTGATGACATGAAATTGCTATCTGGGGCTTGTTAGTCAATACAGAGGAAAATTAGTGAACTTTGCATATGGTAATCTTGCCCATTTGCTTTTGCTGCACTTTTCAGAAATAAATCGATGTGGAGGACTAGTATGTTATAGCAAATACTGTTAAACTGACTGGTTTCACGTTTTGGGCTTGTATATGCTGGAAAAACCAAGACAACAAATCATGTTCTTGTAGTCTGGTTCCATGACCCTACTTCAGATGAAACGGAGAAAATAATGTAAAGACTTTAGGGAATTGTAAGGTCAAAAAATCAGTCTAGCATTAGCAGGCTTGTACCCCTTCAAAAGTGTGTAATCTATTGCAAATGAAAAATTAGGAGCAGTTTTTGAAAAAGCCAGTTTTCTCCAACGCTGGTCGGCCGACCAGCGTTGGAAAAATACAGTTTTTCTTGAAAATGTCAGCACACCAGGAGCCACCATTTTACAGGAAGCTTTAGACTGTCAATCCCTAGCAATTCAGTAAGGTATTTCGTGATAATTTGATCATTTCGTTTTTTTGATGTTTGCAAATGTTGTATCTTCCCTTTAAAGTTGCACTGCCTCCGCAAATCATGGGATTGGCACCCGGAAATAATCTTGAAATTTGCTTTTATTTTCCAAACATTAGATAGCTTTACAATGAGATATTTTATGTTAGTGAGGATCGGTCCATGATAAGTATCATATTCATGAAGTTTCAAACGCTGCACCGGCGGCGATCCGGGGGGGGGGGGTACAAAGGGGGAGGGGTGTCTCCCTTAATTCATCCAAGGCCGAGTGCGTCAATAAATTTTAACAAAATTCACCTCGATCTGCACTGTATCATCCCTAATGGTGTGACAGTTCTAACATATTGCTCGCTTGATGAAGTTTTTGCAGCTGAATTTGGGAGGGCACATCTTTTGATGACATTTAAAAAAAAAAACGTTTGCACTTCCCTGGGCAGCCCCTGCTAACGGACTTTTTGTTTCATTGCCCAAAGATTTAAATGAAAAAAATTTAATTAAAAAAAATGTATACCATGAAAGCTGGTTATTTTCAACATATTTGAAAACAAGTACATATGGCCAGCTACCAAGTGAAGGATCAAATATACATGTAATAAGAATATCGTCTCTCTGCCTGCAATAGATAATTTCTAAAGCTTTAATTATATAAAACACAATGGCGAAACATTCAGTCCTGAAACAGATACTTTTAGCGCCTTGTCCCGCCGAGGTTTTGGCGGGAAACTGATCATGTTCTGTATTGGTTCGCAAACAGAAATGACATGCGATTTATTATCACCGCTGCAGTGGGATACGGGTCAGAAGGTTAGATAACATTGACCTGGTGTACCGCGTACGGGTTTTTTTTTTCAACTTAAAGGGAATACATGTATACAACATTTGCAAACATCGAAAAATAAAACTACCAAGTTTTTACGAAAAACCTTACTAGGATGTTGGTTAATGACAGTCTCAAGTATCTTGTAAAATTATGGCACCTGGTGTCAAGTCATTTTCAAGAAAATGGTATTTTTGTATACATTTCCAACGGTGGTCGACCGACCAGCGTTGGAAAAACCTAACTATTTTTCAACTACTGCTCCAAATTGACCATTTTTTCAGTCCACATTTTGTTTGCTATTGGTTACATGTTCATGAACGGGTGCAGGCCAGCTAGACTGGTTCCATTGCCTTACAATTTTCCATCATCTATAAATTGATCCATTTTATCTTTTGTGGAGTCAGGGAACCAGACTACTTGTACATTTTTGTTTTTCTTGGTTTTTCCAACCTTTTCGAACACACAACTTCAAATATGTCAGTGTAACAATATTTGATCTATTATACTAACCCCTCAAATAGTTCATTTCTGAAAATTACAGCAAAAGCCAATGATGTACATTCCCTTTAAATCGTAGCAGGTTATTATCAAAGCTCTGCACACAATGTAGGCCTGTAGTTCTAGTTCATGCAAAATGTGCCTATGGATTCATGACCTCAGTCTCCGTGTGTGTGACGCGCCGAATGAGTTGCTATGGTGTCGGTACGTGACCCACACGAAGCCTCCAAGATATATCAATACAATCGAAGACGCGACCTTATCAAGCCAAGACTAGACTTAGCCGAGACGACACTCTTAGTTCGTTTCTCTCTCTGCCGGTTTCCGCCGGATATCTGCAAGGATCGCTGCCATTTTGCGAGTTCACAATTTCAAAACTGTTTTGAGTTTGCGATACCATTATAGTTATGGCGCGCGGTTACATTTTGTGTACCGATCTCCACGAAGGACGCCAATGCTTCTGTGCTAGTAATGTACTGAGCGCAACATTATCAGACCAAATCAAATTACATGTGCATGTATTACAAAAGCAAAAGAAAAAGACAAGAACATACACCAAAGATATACGATTTTTAAATCAATTTTTTACATTACCATGAGCATAGTTTCTGCAGAGATGTCATACCACACAAATTGGCACATAGTGTATATACTGCTTCAATATAAGGGTTCTATATACAATAATCATTTCCCCACACGTTCGCCCAAAAGTATACCAAATATGGTATTCGTTTGCTCGTTTAATTTTGCACAAGCGAAAGAATAATGCCTACATAATTATAGATTAAAACCTTGTGTTCATCTCGAGTGAAGTCTTATACTTATAGTTCAAGGACTGAGTGTTGACAAAGACTGGAATATATCCGGCGTTACAGTTATTTGATATAGTTGGACAATAGGAGTTATGGATTAAAATCGATTTACAGTATTGAAACGGTAACGGTTGACATATTAATACAGCCTAAATAAACCTTTGTGCATGCTGGAAGTAACCTTGGCAATACATTTTTAATTGACTTATCTACGGATGCGTTGTACGTGCGATTGAAAAGATGCTGCGGTGCTTTTTATACATCAGGAAATTAACGATCTGGGAGTCGATCTTATATAAGAAGAACAATTGGCATGATTCGGACTGCAGGCAAAATTCGTCAACATTCATTGTCTGGCGGTCGTCATAAACTACACTGGGGTCACTTTCGTTCGGTTGGGAATACCGTTCGTTCGTGTCCGTTATTGCTTACCATATACACGTGTTACATCCCCAACTCCCTATGGGGTGTGCAAAATCGTATTAAAATTGGAGGATTCATGATTGTTAGGGATAATATAGCTATATTATGGGGAACTTTATCGTGCCGAATACAATAAGTAGTGCAAATTGATATTTCTTGTCCAACCCAACTTGAACCGCACTAACACAAAAATTAGGATGTGCTAAACCCATTTCCCCTGAACAAGTTCTCTTATCCTTATCATTCCACCCTTTTCTGACCATAAAATATACATATACACCATTTTAGGCGCCCAATTCACAGAAGGATCGGTTTACAGAGTGAATCATTATGCACGTGCATGCAACTTGAATTTCCACTTGTCCCAACTCATGCATTTCTGAGTAATCAAATTCCAAAATGTGACAAAATCGTTCCGTTGTGCCAGAGACGCCCAAAATAATGTATTCACTAATGAGAGAAAAAGGGCTTTCTGGATACGTGCTGCTTCTTCTTCTTATCTGCATTTTGCTCTGGGAGAAATTTGCCTAGGCCCTACTTGCTTTCAACGGACTTCACCGATTCCAAATACATGTACTCCCATACGTTGTGTATATGTACAAAATTGAAAACGTATATTCTCCAAGTCGGTTATTATTGATCTTCAATAGTCAGCATCATTTGGTCTGGGAATCAGACTACGCGCATTGCAGCGTTACTTTGCGTGTGTGGAGCCAGTAAACCGGTACCGTACGCAAATCAATTACCGACTTGGCACCAAATTGGAACATTGTCGCTTCTCTCCACCCAGGAGTAAATGGGTACCTGTGAGGGCACTGGTATTTGTGATGATAGCTGCTCTGCGCCAAAGTGGCAGATTATACGGCTGTATACTCCCCAGAAAGCTGAGATAGTTTGGAATATTTCATTGGCCCAATGAGCGGGGGTAATAATGACTCTTGTATAGCGCATAGGGACCTTGTGTGGAATGAGCTTGATACGGTTTACTATTATTATTATGACTAATTTAGGCCTACTCTAATGTGACTTGCAAACAGTAAAAACATGTGGAATACTGGGATAAGTGGAATAAGCTAAGACAAACATAGGAAGCCTTTAGGAATATGTGATTTGGGAATCACTTATAGTTTCGTATCTTGTTCTCGGCTGTTTACCAACTTGGTGGCGTCCTCATACGTCTCCGGCAGAGGTTTGTTCTTGGTTTCCGGGAGCATTATAACCAACCCAGAGGCTACCAGCGAAAGGCAGCCAAAGATAAGCATGGGCAAGTAGCTCTTGACTTCTTGCTGTGTCATGGAAGAAAAAAAATCAGGACGGCTGATTACCAGCGAATCCAAAGAGGCTGATTACCAGCGAATCCAAAGAGAGAAATTGTTGACGGTTCTGCCGTCCAAGTCTCGTTTTATTTTCCTATTCTCACTAAAGCACCGCACGAGACACCGTCCTTAAGTTGCATCATCCTGTCTCATCCAACTAGGTCTCGTGTTTGAACGGTATACTAACTAATCGCATTCGATACCTGTTCCCAAGTTCGAACCACACTCAGCCGATATACGAGTTAAGTTTTCAGTTTCTGCCACCCATGAACTGAAGCAAAGTAATACAATAAAAGTAAAAATGCAATTTTTCTTTTGTTTATTGCGCAGTGGCTTGGGCAGCGGCCAATTATCATTCGCTTGAACGTCTACTTACCAGATAAACAATGAACGGTGCAATAATGGCACTGCTCCTCCCGATAGTCGATGAACTACCCGTGGCAATGTTTCTATCGGACAGAAACGATAAAAATTGTTCTAAAACTCATGTTTCTCTGATGCTCAGATTGCTGAGCAAGAAAAGTACCACCGACTAATCACAGAGATTCATAGTTCTCTATACAGGACCGGGTAAAAATGACTTTGAAACGAAAACTTTGAAAATGCACATATTTTGGTGGCTTCCCGTAAAAAGGTTTTTTTTTTATGGCGTATCACCATTCTTCATCATGACTTCTCTGTATCCTTGAATTTTGTGGGCCCGTGTCTGAGGGAATTGATCAGAAATGGAGTACAGGATTATAAACTCTCTCTGTATTGCTATGGAACAGATAAGCATTTTTCCAGCCTTACCGTAACACCGTTGGGAAGATCTCTGCACTCATCAGCAGTGTGACTTCAAAGGCAGCGTTGGAGTAAAATTTACCGATCATTGCCACGGCAAGGATCAGCGCTGATAAATCCGTTCCGCTGCCTGCAAGAGAGTTAAATCATAGAGCAAGGAACAGATGGTTAAACCAATAAGGTTTAGCATGGTTTAAGCTTGTAGGTTGCTTAAGTTTGACGAAACCGTAACTTGGACAGCCTTAACTAAACTGTTATGCCATCAGATACGAATTAGGCCTAGCTGTTTTATACCTGTTTTTACGGGAAGAAAGGCGATTAGCAGACAAGCCACCGCTCCGGTGAAGAAGAATATGATGACGGGCCTCTTCCGGCCAAATCTAAAAGAAACAAAAACCAGCAACAAAAACCTGCTGAAAACTTTGCAAAACCTAAATTGTGTCAAAAAGTTTACAGAGAAGAAAAACACTTTACAAATAGTCACCTCTTCTTGTCTTATTTGAAATTTCAAAGCTTAATCGAACTGTACGAACATGGTTCACCTTATGAACGCAGAATTTTCATCCAATTGTAATCGAGAGGTAACTGCATGTACATTCAAAAGAGGGTTGGAAAATATTAAAACACCGAGATTTGTTTTTTTTAAAGAGTCAGTTTACTTCTGGTCAGGTAATGAGCAGAAACATTAATGACGATGGCAATGATATCATATGTTGTGGTGTAAAACATAAAATCACATGCCGATGGTATTGTTAATCAATCATTAGTTCTCAAATCACTTCTCCGAGTGTGGGATTTGCGATACAATACGACACGATACCACACACCTTGGATGTCACAATAATCGATTCCAAAGAAGTTGCCATACCTTCTGACAATGAAGAAATCGATACCATAGACCGGCGCCTCAACGAGGGCCAACAAGAAAAAGTTGAGGTACTTATTGCCGACCAGGCTGGTCGAATAGACGATGAAACCAAAGTACGTTGCATTCATGACAAACCTGAGGCAGACCAGAAACAAACGTTTATGAAATTGTGGACATAGGGAACAATACACATCAATATGCAATTTAATATCCCTGCTAGACACCCACGATTATTTCGTAAAGAAAACCCACCTATTTTACCCCTTCGGGTTTTGTAAAATGCTAAATACATGTACCTGAACATTTTATAACACTGGGTACTTTGCCTTTTTTTTTTTTTTAAATAAAAATGATACCTCTAGTTTCACGTTTTATTGATCTTGAACTATATACAGGTGAGTAAAAAAAAGGAAACCCAACTGTCAGGACAAAATTCATATAGGGACGTATGTAAATTGTTTTCGTTTTGCTGAAAGAACACTAAAAAAATGTTTGGTCCGTGGACAGAACTTTAAAACGGCGTTTGTTTAAAATTCCGTAACTTGAAAAGTGCACGAATGATTTGAATGATTCTTGTACTAAAAGAGAGCTTATGAATTGGGCTTTCATATCCTAGATTGTGAAAGTACTATGCAGAAAAAGTTTTTGTTTTACTCACCCTGTATAGTACGATAGGGAAACAACTACACTACTTCATGATAGCTACTGTTGTAAACAAATGATTTCAAATAAAAGCTGTTGAAATAGAAGTTCTACCAGCACTAGAATATGATTATGTGTTTAATGAGGATTCTGATCCTGAAGAGATGGCGGGTTACGATTTCATAATTTCTTAAGTTATTTTCATGATTTAAACCAAAAACAAATCATTTAAAATTAAGGTTTTTGAAGGAGAAGTTCTCACCAGCAACAGAAAATGACTGATGTGTGTTTAATGAGGATTCTGGTCTTGAAGAGATCTAAAACGGTGTATTTCTTGGCGTCAGTTTTAGCCTGGGCCATGTCTCCCATCTTGTTTTCTTCACAGCCTGTGGGTTGATCGTTCTGACTCTTTTCTTCTCTCAGGGCCCCATCTTCCCTTGCAGGTGATATCGACTCATTGCGGTCTTTTCCCGGGCCGTTATCCGATGTGTCAGACAGTTCGATCGTGTAGACTGGGTGCGAAGGTTTTCTTTTCCGGCTCAATAGGAACGGCCCTTCGTGCCGGAGATTCTTGGATTTGGCGATTTTTTGAAGGATGGCCTCTGCCTGCTCCAACCGTCCTTTCTGGACTAGCCATCGAAGGGACTCGTAGGTGAAGAACCTGGGAAGATATTCGAGGAAAAAATCCTCATTTTTGCCCTCCTTTTTAAAACGTTTAAGGCAAAAAAAACCCCAAATTAAATCACAAAATCCATTAAATTTACCCAAAAGTATAAATAGAATGAAATACCATTTGAGGAACACACGGATAGCACCTCGAAAAAAATGTAAGAGTTTTCAACAAGCCCATACCTGGAATTTTTGGGCGTTTTAGTGACCGTCAATAATGTAATACTGCCCAAGGCCTTAAGTGGCCTTACAAATCGATGGTTATAATGTGAACTCGTTCTTTTTGGTGCTGTTAATTTGCATTTATGAAGCGCACGTATCCACCAGCATAATTTATTACCCTGATAATTGGGCCAATTAAACATTCCAAAGACAATCTCAGCTCCCTGGGTAGTGTACAGCTCGATGCTGCCATTTCAGCGCAAAGCAGCTGAAATAAACCACAATTAGCATCTCTGCCCTCACAGGTACCCATTTACTCCTGGATGGGGAGAAGCAATGAGTGAAAGTGTCTTGCCCAAGGAGCAAGCACCGCAACCTCAGGCTGGACTCGAACCCACAACTGGCAGATTTACCGGCAGACCACGAATTCAATGCTCCAGACCACGAGCCACTGTTGTGTGATTCCGAACTGGATGGAGGTTCAATCTCACTTTGGACAAGCTCTCTCGTCAGCTAGGTCTAGTAAAGCTTCCACTGCGATTCCTTCATGACTAAACTGATTGCTTTAAAATTCCCTTCATTACAATGATCAGAACATCACTGGTATTGACGCCAATCGAGCATCAGTGATCAACTACGCCAGTGGTTCCACATTAATTACGAAAATCATTCAGGATTCCTTTGCGATTGAACGATAAAAAAGGGAGGGTTCACTTGAAGAAAGTTCTTTTAATACACACAATTCTTAGTTACCACATGATCAGGACGACAGGCAGGCACATCAGCGACGTGACGAGTTGGAAGAGACGCCAATCCGGCATCAAGTAGGCCAACGGTGCCACGAGCATTACGCCAAGACTGAAGAAATGCTGGATTAGTACGTGACCCAGCAGTCGCTTCTTGGGAGTAAACATCTCGACCACAAGGACGTAACCGACCAAAGAATTTCCCTAACAGAAAACAAATCAAGGAATTTAAATTCATATGTATATACATATATCGTCCCTTTCGCCAACCCGTTTTTTTAAATGGTTATATAGGTTAAAGAAAAGTAAGCCTTTTAATTTTGCAAATTATAGCACAGACGAAACAGAACTTTTCTTTGAGTTCGTTTACTTTGTCAATTGCATTTCACCCACAATCAACTTCGATGAGGCAGTCTGGTGGTCAAAAACTGCTAGCGCAATCAACCGCTGATCAGAGAATCTGAGGCATTTTTTTCGGCTCGAATTCAAGTACAAAATTCGAAAAGAAATATTGTCAGACTATACCGTGCTTTGGTGTGTTTTCATAAATTCAACTGTTTTGATTGCAACTTTCCGATTACAACTTATAATAACTGCATTTCGATATTTGATTGCACGAAAAAAAGCAGATTGCAAATTTGGTAACCAATGCTCGTATGAACCGGTGTACATTGATAATGTGCTGTATTAATACCAAACATAATACTGATGTGCCCATGTTCACTCGGAATGCCAAGTTGACTGATTGGGCAATAAAACCAGCACTGCACATTTCAAATTTGAAATAACTGAAAAAAAATATGTGTAGTGTGGTAAAGCACGTTAGGCCTATACTATACCGGTAATGCCGCCCCCAAGAGGAACCTGAGGGCCATCATGAGCTCCAGGTTCCACGTGAAGCTGACGGCCGTACCAAACACGCTGATGAGCAGCAACGTGACCATGCTGACCGGGCGTCGGCCCAACATGTCCCCGGCCTGACCTGTCACGAAACCACCCACCAGCACGCCGGCGAAGTGAATGGACATTAGTAGATTGGCCAGATAGCCCCGGTCGCAGACAAGGTCCAGCTGAAGAGAGAGAACAAATGTGAACCACTGGTTTCAATCAAAAGCAGGTTCGACTACGGTCCATTATTTTGTTAACCAGTGGTCGATGCGTGACGTACTATGTGCTTGCTCGCCCATATGCAATGCAGCCGATATCGACTGCTTCGATTTGAGGGTTTGTCCAGTTGTTCGACCTTGCTCTTTAAAATCTCGTACGGAATATGGCAGACCCTTTTTCATGTAGTGAATAAAATATAGAAACACCGATTAGAAATGCTTGTAAAGATGGCAGCATGGCTAAGCCTAGTCCCAAAATGTGGAGATCTCAATACTGCGTGTGACGTGAGAGTCCCAAAAGATAAGATTACAAAAAATACAACACAAGAAAATAGTCTGGCACACGAAACAACCAATCCAACCCTTTCAGTACTGCATCAATCGTGTCAAAAGAAACATCTGGTACCCAGTCTCTAAAAAGTGAGTAAAGTTGGCCTGATTTTGTTTTGCATATTTTCTGCACTCAAGGTCCCAGTCTGGGCTAAGCCAACTCAACTTACATCCGTCACGTAGCTTTTTTCTCCGTAAGTATCGTAAGCACGGTATTCCCAACCATGCTGGCAGGTCGTCGTGTTCTCCGTCAGTGTCCCGTTCAGGACTCTGTACATATGACAACTGTCGGGAACATGGCGACCGTCTTTGACGATAAAAGGCGTGGTTTCATTGGCTGAAAAGCCCGGCGGCGGCTTACAGTAGTGCTCCACTGATTGGTTGATCGTGAAGGCCACGCAGGTGAGTTGTATGGCCGCCAGAGTCAGGCCCAGACCAAAGATGACAAAGTTGGTGTTCTGCACACGTCCACTAAGGCCCACAATCTTAAGACTTTCGTCCACATCCATCTCTGTCAAAAACAAAACAGAACGAGAAGTAGTGTGTCGATATCAGCAACACCGAGTCAAAACATATTATGGTTCCCAAGCAACCACATATGCCTCAGTAATACCTGAAATATCAAACGGAGGCCAAATACTGGACTGAATTAATATATTATAACGTCAATGCCGTTCTTGTTTGCAGTACTACTGTTTGTGTTTCAGTCTGTCCGATTGTCCAAAAGTGGGGCTCGCACACAGATTTTCTGCTCGCATATACAAAAACATAACGAGTTCACAGGAGGAAAAGGTATGAATACTTCACGAGCTGAGTGGAGTGGCAGATGTTATTACTTGACCTTTATCACCTGCACCAACTCGGATAAACTTGGTGTAGGTTTACAACTTTGGTGCAAATTCTTCTTGTGGAAGATGTGGGAACCTATCGCCCAGAAAAAAGGCCATTATAAGCCTACATTGGTGAAGCAAAACAAAAAAAAACGTGTAAAACTGTGGATAATTGAAGGGTGTGCTTTTAGTCAAGGATCAAAATGTCTTATATTATAGAATTCGTTATCAAACTTGTGTCTGCGACAAAGGTACATTATATAGATGGTAATAAATTAATGGCACGCAGTACAGCGTACAGAGGGGTTTGCTGACTTGGTCCAAGTGTTCTAACTTTTTACTCGGCAAAACAAACGCACAATGGGCTTTTTAACAATTGAAAGAAAATCCTTCGTCTTCCCGCCCCCTCCCCACTCAGTCTGATTTTGTCCATTATAAGCGGCAACCAATTTTCCTCTTTCACATTAAGAGCACAGCCCTACAAAAATGAGGAATTCTTACCTGCGTTCTTTTTAGATACACTCCCGTCGCAACCTCTAGGCCTAGCTTGTATGAATCTCAGACCGATCTTGACTTTGAATCACGACACGACCTTTCGACCTTGACAAGGTTCACGGTAGTTAGAACGCCAATAAATTTGCAAGGACGCTTCTGGAGTTTGCCAATACTATTTGGTCCTCATTCTGCTATGCTCTACATGTGATAGGCTAATATTTACCCATGTCAGTATCATGCATCGTATTTGTATGATTGATGGTGACGCTTATCAAAGTTGATGCGAACATACAAAACAAAAAGTAGGTTATGCATATAAGGCCTTTTCACAGTACGAAAAATCACCGTGTTGTACACGGGTCCGACAGTGTAAAGTGGACTAACCTTTTCACACCATAACATTTGAACACGGCACTGACCCGTATAGAGCGCTCTACCCGTGTCGAAACTAACCCTACTCGGGAGGTGGGTTGAGAATTCTCGATCCGTGTCGAGAAGTCCGACACGTGTTGAAAGCCGTAGTGTGAACACTTCTGAGTTACGTTCGATCCGTGTACAACCGCATATCGACTTATCGGACGCGGACCGGCCTGAGAACGAGAGTGCGTGCATGCAGCATCACGCTGTAGTTGTTACTTTTTAGCATGCAACGAAATAACCTTTGATCTGCTGCCCTGTCGCACCACCACCGGTGTGATATGAAAATCGAACTCGCATGATAATCTGACTCATTTTCCCTTTCATTGGTTAAACCCTTTCACGTTACCGGTCCCTCTCCTAAACGCTGGGTTTGCGATGAGTAGTGTGAAAACGTAGCAAAATTGAACCGTGTTGAAATTTTTAGAAGTCGACACGGGTTGGAACCGTGTAGATGTCGACACGGATCGAACGTTCATGGTGTGAACAACGTATCAGGAAAAATGGTTTCATTATTTCCCTGTTCAATAATATTGGAAATTAACACAAACCGAGTTTTGTTGACTCCCGAAGAGCTTTTCTGACGCCTAACTTGAAGTGCGAGTGCACAATAAGCTCTGGCCGTGTTGCAAGAAGTCTTTTATGAAAGTCTTGCATGAAAGCGTCAAAATTATCCCTTACTAGAGCTGAAAAATGCGACGCCGATGACACATATGGAACACCATACTTTTAGTCAATTTTCGGGACAAACAGACAGACCACCAAGTGACATGTAGCAGCTCCTGCCAGACCTTAAAATCAATGACATAGTTATCGTTCGATTCCAATGAAAGCGACTTCAGGCTTAAAATGAGACTACAGTACGCAATACTGAGGCAAGCCTGGGATTGGACAGTGAGATCACGTGGCCTACAAGTTACGTTGGACAGGTGCTCTGTGGCGCCTGCAAACTTTAGATTAACAAAAATATTTTGCGGTTGAAAATTTCAATAAAATTACATTTGCTGAAGTAATTAGGTATTATTCATTTTCATCCCCTTTTTTCTTTAAAACTCCAAACTATATGTATTTTTTTATAGAAATCAAGAAATGATTCGCATGAAAGTTTCCACTGCCACGTCACTTTTTAAAAGCTAATACAATGTATTGCGTCTGAAGTAAGCAAGCTTCGTTGTATTTTCCGCGAAGTGAGTGAAGGTTCTGTTGCCAGAAGAGCAGCGCCGCGAAACGCGGCCCAGTATCAAACTTGGCTTAGTTTTCATCAGTATCATAAGCATTTCAATTTTAAAACCGCACTATAGTAGCCACTGAATGAGAATGATATAACCCTCCCTGGGGCAATATAGTGGCTTATTACCAAACTAATAATCCCAATGGTACGTGCCGGTCAACGGGTCAAGGGGATGAGCAGTTTACGAGATTAAGCTTTTTACCACAAGAACCAATATTAAAATCATTCCCTTAATACAATGCTTCCTTTACTCGAGATTTTATTCCAGGCTAATAACTGAACAAACTACAATAAAAGAAGTGAAACGACCCTGGTTTGAAAGAAAAAAATGATAGTTTTCAACGCAGTTACGATGTTTACAACAAGAATGTACAAAATACATATATGTATTATCTCTTTTGTGGTATAATACATAAATGGTTTCACGGCTGTTATACTTTTGTAGCCACGATTGTGCAACATATTTTAACAAAATGATAAACGATTGATAAAATATAAATAATTTATATCTTGGCATCACTTTCAATGCCTTCTTTGTGAAAAATAGTCAATTGTAAAGTCAAATATACCTTCGAGCTACTGATTGCTGTAATGGCAAGTAAAAGCTTTTTAAAGAAATATATATTTTAGAAATTTAGGTGGAATTGGCACAACACAACCTTTAACTAGAGCGCCCTCTGTTGATAGGTTAAGGAACTTATTTACACCTTTTCCAATGAAAACTTTTCATAATGGAAAATCTGAGAAATAATTGTAAGTTGTTTACACAGAAAGTGAAGTTTAGGGCCTTGAACAGAGAAATCAGACACAAATTACAATAATTTTCTATCACTTCGAGTTTTTGGTTGCAGACCAGCAAATAAACTGCCACAGACCTCAATGATAAATAGCCCCCCGTCCAATTCTCAAGATCAGGAAAAATACTTGCAACTCTCCAATGTGTTTGAGACACCCATGAAATGAAACCTTGTTTCATCATCTTTCATTTTCTGTTCAATTTTTGGGCGTAATCCGATGACGTTTCGGAGAAACTTCCCTCCAAAGACAATCACACCTAAAAGTAGTGCCAAGCCCATCGCCATTTTAAAAAAAAATGATGCCTATACGCTCCATTGCAAAATAGAGCAACTTTTGGGCCTAACTTCATCCAAAATTTCCCAGAAATACAATGTTGCAGTCCTGATCACGGCTTCCACTCTTCTGTTTTTTAAAAACCCTCAAGTGCATGACCCACAAAATACTCTAATAGCAAAAAATTGAGGGCCTACAAATCATGATTTGGCCCGGGTATCACACAATTTTTGGCCTATTTACTGGCCTGCACCCTGTTGGTTTTGCAGACAAATATGCTAGAGGGCGCTATGACATCAACTGCATGGGCAAAGTATGGCCCAGTTCACGCAAGGACTATAGTTGACCAATGGTTAACTAACGTTTGCCCGAACTCTGTCTAGTCGACGATGGTTGACTACGCTAGTCGACTATTTGGAACCAGCCTACTGGGGTTGGTTGCTTCGCTGGTAACCAATAGCCGCGCGCATTCATAACGCTATCAGAGAGCCAGGATCCAGAAGTTTTGCGATAACATTTTGACCAGCGTTTGACTAGAGACGTTCGCACGTTGCTATTAGTGCGCAGGCGTAAGGTACGTCACAAATCAACCACTAGTCGACTAATGGTTCTTGCCCGAACTTGGCCATTATTGTAGCTGCACTTATCATACGGACAAAAATAGAAGGAAGACTTTTGTACGGCAGTGGATCAATGCATTACAAAAAGTATAAAAGTTAAAAATGAACGTTCATGTACATCATGTTACATGTAATCGGAGCGGAACAAAATAATCTTACAAAGTGCAAATAAGAGGTGAAGAGTAAACAATTAGGTGAAACAATAATGACCATGCATAGTATATTTCTGTCTCTATATATGGAAAGTAAAAAGTAATTTGGATAGATCAAACGTAGACTTTACAGACCTTGGATTTGTGATTGAACTTGATCACGGCTTTCTTTCAGACCGGAGAACTTTACTTTGCTGGAACGGAAAAAAGAACAAGAGGGGAGATAAGTGTAGCTGGGATTCACACTCGAAAAGAGTGAGACTGAATAATCAGTTTGTCACACTGTAACATCTTTGGAATTTTCGTTTCGCATTTACTAACATTCGTGTGACTTACGAACAAGTCTAAAATGCAGCCTCCCAGTAGGCTCCTACCCCCGAGGCCTCCCCAGTTCAAACAATGCATCCAGAATCTTGGATAGGTAAATCCCTGCTGATCAAGGGTAACTTTATCACATAGGCACTTTGTTTCTTCAGTTAATTTGATCGCAAAATATTACAACTCAATTCCCGACTGAAAGCCTGAAGTAAACCAATACAATTTCAACATCAAACCACTGAATGACAGTACAACAAAAAATCATCAATGAGTAAGATCCGAAAAACTCACCTCGTATTCCTGATCAGATGTCATCAGCCTATCAACGCTCACTATCTGGTACTGCTTGGCCTTCATCTGAGTAAGGCTCTTCCTGATTGGTCGCATGGCGTAGGCATCCAGCTTAGCTGACCCCAGACCCTGCCCATCAATGACCTTGTAGCTGGGGTCAAAGAGCAGGAGCCTGATGGAGCTGTCCTTGTGAACCTCGCAGCCAATGATGGTCCTGCTGTGTCCTGGAATAAAATGATTGACGAAAAGGTTATTACTTTATGTTCACTTTCCTCAAAGCACCATGAAAGCTAGGGCCTCATCTGCTATGAGTAACTCACTGTTGATCAAGTGTTGGAGTCATCACAAGTCAACGACAGGTCATCCACTCTCAAGTCACGTATCAAGTTATCCAACCCTCCTGCTGTTTGGACAGTCACAGACAGTCAAAAATCAATCCTTTTCCCTGCCGTGCATTTAACACAGGCTAGTCACCAACAGTCGGATCATATTTTAAGCAAGCGCTGTGACTAGTCAAATTCAGTCAACAGACAAAAACAAGCAAATGGTAGGCACAGCTGGCTTATCAATCACCTACAGTCAAAGCATAGCTGTATCAAGTTATATTTAACAGCCACAGCCGGTCAATCCTGCTTTATGTAGGCTGGGAGCTCTTAGCTGTTATAAACAGTCATTTGATTGATTTTGATTTAAAAAACAACATGGCACATGTTTACATAAATGAACTGTTCATAAGGCATTCATTATTCATCTCTTCCAATTTGTGCTTTGACATGTGACATGACTCATGATTAGATTTATGATTTGACTTGCGATTGAAAGCAGAAATAGCAAAGCTGGAGAAAACCATCACAAGTCAATCGCAAGTCAATCACAAGTCATTCACAAGTCATACATAAGTCAATTACAAGTCAATCACAAGTCAATCACAGGTCAATCACAAGTCAATCACAAGCCGATCACAAGTCGATCACAAGTGACTTTGTGATTTGTGACTCGTGAGCGACTTTGTGAAAGGCATCAAATACCCCATTGTCAATAGTATTTTATACACACCTTCGTGTTGAAGGTACAGTGGTGTCTTTCTTGTCTGGATGCTTTCCCTTCTAGTAGCATTGTTCCCGAGAACTCGCAGCTTCAGAGCAGCTGCTCCGGGCTTTCCAAAATAGTCCCGCACCCACTCAAACATGAGTGGGTGGGTACCGCCTCTCCCAGTAGGGGTGTGAAAGTCAACCAGTCGACACTTGGCCCGGAGGGAGGAAAGAACAGCCGTGATTTCTGTGGCGCCGATCCACTTGCGAGTGTTGGCTACCCGGCCACCGAGCTGTTCCCGTCCCTGGGGGTCGAAGCCTTTAGCCCAGGCCGCCTCGATCAGTTGCTGGAGCTTGGAGATGGAGGGAATAGCGTTCTGACCTAAAAAAGGATGGTAGATAATATTTTGGGGGGATAAATGTTAGTGTTGGGGGCGTGGATCTGAAAACAGGTCTTGCCTTTAAGATCTTACATCATTTTATAAAAGGGTGCATATGAACAATTACCACTGAAGAGAACCTGTCGGTACTCGTCGATGCGCACCAGTGAAGACAGCAGCATATGCAGGTTCCGGTAGCCACAGCCCCATCCCTTGTCTCCGTATGTGGAGGAGTAGTGGTCAGTGTCACTGCATAATCTGACGTAGCTCAAGCCTGGAGTTGTCTGATCAGTGTAGTAGGTCACCATCTTCTGAATCAAACCTGGAATGTAAAGTGTTGGAGGATTCGTGTCTGTGGATCATACATTAACAACTACTCTGAGACACATTGTTTGTGAGTCGGATACTGCACCACAAATCTATTCTTGTTCTTGGTTGGTTTGTCTCCTATGGACTCTGCAGGGGAGTAATAACAGGAGGCCAGAAACACCGGGGCAAACCCCTTCTCTTAGCGATAAGTGTTACTGGGTTCTTTTACGTGCATTGCATTTAACACACAGGACCTACGGCTTTACGTCCCATCCGAAGGGCGAAGCAATGATGGTCAAGTGCCTTGCTTAAGGGCACAAGTGTCCACCCGGCAGGCTCGAACCCACGCCACTGTTGCCTCTGAAAAACCAGAGCACGAGTCCGGTGCTCTTAACCGCTAGGCCATGACACTCCATTGTAAATATAACTGTAACTGTAAAGTGTGAATCATAGTAGCTGAATTATGGTATTCAACTATTATGAGTAGAACTTTTTTTTTGGTGGGGAGGGTTTGTTTTGCAGAATGCATGTTGCTGGGAAATTGATAAAAAGACTCAGATGTAACTTTTCTTTTTGGGCGTAACATGAAGCTTTGATTATGAGGGGTATGAGGCTTTGGACCTCAAGTAAATTTTAAAGCTTTTTAGTGATTAATATATAATCATTAAAAAATAAAGTAATTGAAGAAAGAAAGATTTCAAACGTACCAGAGGTACGTGACTTTCCATCGTCAACTCCTACAGCCAACGATCGTTTGAGGCTTGTCTTTCGCTGGTTGTAATCGCTGACGGTGATCTGGCCTCGGGTAACTGCTTTCTCCAGGTCTTGCTCAGACTGTTGCTTGTGGCTCCCGACCTCATCCATGCCATACTTTGCCTTTTTATGATGGAGAAAAGATTGTTGAAGTGGGGTTATCAAAGCACATACACAAATCTGGGGGGGGGGGATGTTATATCTGCTCACATACAGATGGAAATTATCCATTTAATTTTTTTAATGAAATTGTAATTGAATATAGGAATTTCGTATTAGCATGCGATGTATCACTGCTTATTTGAAATCTGTCATTTGGGTCCCTGCAGTGAAAGCTAATGTTATGGTTATCGTGACTTCTCAAAATACCTGCAGCTGTTTGAAAGTTTCCCTTTGCTGTCGTTCCTGTAACTGTCGTTCTTCTTCGGCCAGTTTTTTGGCAAGTTGTCGGTCACTGGAGACTGACTCCTGACCTTTGACCTCAAAGTGACCTTCCACATGGTCATTGAGAGATGTCGGGTTCAGTCCGCCCATCCCACACACTGGACATACCGATTGCTGGGGATTTGAGCTTGCGCTTGTGCTGGGGCCGGCCTCATCGTCAAAGGGTGAGGGCGCTGTTGCTAGTTGGTCCCTGCTGTCGTCAGATATTGCATGTTCTGTGTTGACGTGCACAGTCAAGAAGTCCGGGTCGAAGCTTCCAAGCCCGCATATCGGGCACGTGATCACCGTATCCAGGTTTTGCGCCTGCTTGCTAAGACTCAAGAGTGTCGGCTTCGGAATCTTGGGCTTCTGGATCATGGAGGTGTTCCACTGGTTCCCATTCTGAGCCGGCTGCTTCTCCACGCAGGGACTTGCCAAAAAATTGCTGTGTTTACTTTCAATGTGCCTCATCATTGCATCTGGGTCAAGACCTGAGATATCACAGAAAGGACACTCTGGATCTGATATGTCATTATCCTGATCCAAATTTTGATCATCTGTTTCTTTCATAGAAGAAACTCCAGAGGCACCTGTGTCTTTAACTACCTTCTTCCGCGTGGACTTACTGGGACTGAATATCCGAAGTAATTTCTTAAATGGGCTTGCAGTTGATGTCTGTGAGGACAAAGATGACCTGTCGGTGGAATCTCCAGCGGTAGAGCTGACGTCAGCTGCACTGCTGCTGGCACTTGAGGAGCTCAACTGGGCCTTGCTTCTTGATCGTTTTCGCTCAAGAATCTTTCCCTGATTGGGTGGCTCACTTTCAGAATCTGCGCAACTGTCTTCCATTCTGCTTGGTTTCCCTACGGTGTCGCAGCAGTTTGAGTTTGCGTAGCCATTCAAGAGACACTGCTCGTTTGAACATGAGGATTCTGAGCTGCCCTTACCGTCAGTTTCCATGTTTTCACTGAGGCCAAAACTACAGGCGCAAGGTCTGGACTTCACCTTTTCACCGTCTCTTCTTGTAGAAGGGTCCGATGTAGTCTTTGTCACCTCAGAATCAGCTGGAAGCTTCCTTCTATCCACTGCTTGGCTGGCTCCAGCGATTGTGAAGGAGGACTCACAACGTTCTTCCTCCGAGTTCTGGCATCCTTCCATGCTCTCATTGGGATCAAATTTTCTCATCTTTAATTCGTAATCAACCGATTCTGATGATCCATTTGAATTTGGACAATGATCCACCAGACTGGATGCCTTCTGTACCAAAGATGATGCTGAATCTTCCTGTCCAAGTCTGCCTGGGCTCAACACTGTGGAATGCGCAGTGTTCACATGAAGGTGTAACTCTTCCAAAGTCAAATGTCGAAGGTCACACATCGGGCAGCTGCCCGCATTCTCCTCATGGTCTAGGAGCATGTGGGTTCGCAGGTTGCCTTCCGTCAAGCACTCCTGGCCACAGATTTCACAGTTGAAGCCCTGTAGAGTCGACGCCATAGCTTTATACCCTGGAGTAGTCAAATCAGAATTTAAATGTGCATGTTTTGATTAACACAAATCACAACATTCTTTTGTCACCGTTTATCCCGTTACTTAAATAGTACTTGTGACCTGATTTGTGATCGACTCAAAAATGCTTGATTAAAACGACTCTGTACAAAAAAAAAGGAAACGTGACATCTGTTGAGCCTAGTTTCCTTCCCCCATGTTCTGACATAAGATGAAAACTGATCCATGAAAACTGATGCGCCGAAAAATGTTGGTGTACATTTTTATTTCATTTTTGAACAATAATTTTGACTTATTGGAAAAACAATGGAACAAACAAAATCGGAATTATTGTCAAAACAATATTTTGAAGGTACTATAACCATGGCGGTAGGAAAAATGTTTTATTGTTTATTTCCAAGAATTTTGTTTCATAAATTTAACTGGAAACATGTCAATGACTTAAGTTTTGACCATGTTTGAGAAAGAATCGCAAGGATTGTCATTGTAAAACAGAAAACAAAACATGCATTTATATTTAAATAACAAGAACGAAGGATCGAGGAACATCATCAGATATGCCGTGCCAACACGCTTGCACTCAAGATGCCTTTTCGCTGTTTAAAACACCGTCATCAAGTCATTGACTTACTTGCTTGCACTAGCTCTCCCCTCCTTCTGAGTCGAATTTCTCAGCGAACATGCCGCGCGCGTGTGGGAATGTCCCTTGACAAGAAATCCCCCAACAAGTCCAGTCGGGGTTTATTTATCTTACTCGGTAATGTGGCTTTTACAAAACACCAATTTTGATTGGCTTAAATGTCAGAAGTACTCACATTTAATCCATTCACAACCTCTGTTACAAAAGAGAGCTAGACGACTGGTGACCTCAAGGGTCCAAAGGTCACGCACAGCATTCGAGCGAGAGAGGCCGGTTGCTTCAGATTTTTTGGATTTGAAGGAATTTTGTCAGGACAATTTGTCCGATTTTGATCAGAGATTGTTAGAAGGCAAGACGACAATGTTAAGAATATCTAGGCAGGCTGTAGCCCCAGTGTTAAGGGTTTTTTCGAGGTCTTTTACGTCGGCAAAGGTGCCTTGCCAGATGCAGAACAACCGTGTGTTGTTGAACTTGAATGCTGACTCCGCAGTATCGACGCACGTAGGCAACGCGAGCGGCTCGCCAGTGAATTGTTGTGGGGCACTTCGGGCGTACAGCACCGGCAAGGAAGTTGAGAAGACACCGGAGCCACAGACATCGGGAACAGCGAGTGGTGAATTTATCAAACCACTTGCTTCTTATACTAAAATGAGAAAGTTGTTCAGACTTAAATTAAAAACGAATTTCATAGCTTTTTCTCAGATTCAATCAAATCCAAACAAATGAAATGCAAATTTTGAACTTGATGAGGTGGTTGGATATTGATAGTTGATACTAGGCCTAGTATAAAATGGGTAAAAAAAAATTGTGGGGTGTTTTTAAATAATGATTTTTGGCAATCTATATTTACAGCATTCATGAAATTGGCTCTGAACATTGACCCAGTGTCTGTTTTGGTGATATTCATGAATGCCCAACCATGTTTAAATATTTAGTTGTAAAATTCGAAAGCAAAAAATAAAAATGCATTTTGATTTCACCATGTCACTTGTGTTTGCTAAGGAACTTCTGAGAGTGCAGCCATACGACACAGAGAACCAAGCAACATGGAGCGAAAAGTATTTGTGTGGACTGGAAAATACAAGACAGTGGATGAAGTGCCCAAATTGGTCTCGTAAGAACACATTTTTGTTTCCTTATTTTTTTTTTCTGAGCAACTGACGGGCAACCCAAACATTTAAGCATCTTTTGAATATTATTCGTCTCGCATTAAAACGGTTAATGTCAACACTTTCAACGTCAAACCACTCATATTTCAATAGATATATATGCAGTGCAGAAGAGAATGGTTTGCTGAAAATTGGCATCACTTGACAGCAATATCCAAATTTGTAAACAAATGTGACAAGGTCTATACACGTAAACTTCAACTTTACTTTACATTATAAAATGCATCCTTTAACTGGCCTTATATTTCCCGCTCATATTTTCTGTGTTTGTTTTTTTTACAGTGAGGCTGCTCTGATGAGTGCCAAGACCAAATTCCGCATCTACATCAACCTGTTAATGGGCGCGGCCACTCTCCTGGCCGCCGTCGCCATGATCATCATCGGCCGGTCTCGTGCCAAGAAGGGCGAGAGCGTCTCCGGCCTCAACATCCGGAGACACCCAGAGATGTACGGCAAAATGATCGCCCAGGAAGACGCCAAGAAATGAGCCGAACATTTTAGTAGATGGCGTTGTTGTTTTTTTAGACTTCCATAGCACCAAATAGTGAGAATGAAAAGTATGGCTTAACTAGTCCAAACATTTTGGGACTCTCCTTACTGTGTATGAGAGTCCCAGGACTTAAAGGCATTAAAAACATGCAGTACAAGGAAATAGACTGGCACCTGAAACAACCAGTCCAAATGGTACTGCACCAATCAACTGTGCCAAAAGAAACATCTGGCATGTCTGGTACTAGTCTCTATTTCTACACCTTACTCAATAGTCAGCTACCAGACTAAATGACGAGGTCAGTCTTTTCAAACAGTTGGACCATGGTTGGACATGTACCAGTCTAGTCTTTAGCCTCAAATTGATATCACTGCTCAGGTGCAGAAAATTGAAGAAGAGTCTCCTTTAAAAATTAAATTGAGACTTCAAACTTACTTGGTGGAATACTGAGGACCTTGTCTTTGCCTCATGAAAATTTTGGAGTATTTTGTCGGCCAAAGAGTAAAGTTGGCCTGATTTCGTTTTACATGTTTTTCAGCACTCCAGGTCCCAGTGTGTGGCTTATCTATTCTGCATGCCATCATGCCAACTGAAATGAATATTTTTAAATGGATAACTAAGCTACGCATTCTCTGCATGAACTAGTAGAGGGATTTTTTTTCTTCCTCTTTTGAGAGCGCGGTGGCTGGGACACACATGCGCACACGTACTGGTTTGCACGCGTATGGCGCAAAGTATGTCAAACCAATTTTATTCTGTATGTCCATAAATCTGTAGCGTCTTTGTGTGAGCATCAGGCATCTTTTGCAATCAAATGTCCCTCCCATGATCTCCTCCAACTCTCAATTTGCAATCATTGAGGGGGTCATAAGAAGTGTGAGCACTACCAGTGCTAGATAAAATTTGTTGCAGTGTTTTTTTGACAAAATGTTTTAGTCTACTATACACTTCCAACCAGGGCTTGAGTTAACATTTGAAAAAAAGTGGTGGCCAAATTTGCCCTGCATTGGAAAACGGGGCATCCTACTTTGTTGAGGTGTTACATTTGTGCAAAAGTTAAGTTTGCTTTATAATATCAAAAGTAGTTGTGCAGAAAAGCCTACAGGGTGTCCATAAGATGCCAAGACACCCTTTTGGCTAAAAGTTTGCTTCCGACTAGAGATATGTGTACTTGGCAACATGTAATGTTAGCCACTTATTTGATGAAATGAACTTTTTGAGTGTCAACATTATATCAGACCCAAGTCTGCATGATGATTTCCTAAACAACCTTATTGTCCTATTAGTATGTCTGGCAGCCTGAATGGTTACCAGTTTAGTGTAATGCCAAAATGTGCCAAGGATGGCAGGGTACCGTGATGATGGATGTCAACATTCTGATTCAAGAGGAACTTGAAAAGGGATGGGGTGTTTGTGAAGGAAAGTAAATGGCACACTAAACGTTACTTTATAGCTACCATACATGTACATTGTACACCTTTGTGGGACTGGTATCCCAATATGCCCTTTTTGGCTTGTAAATAATGCAATTACGTACATTATTGCCTGTCCCATTGAGCTGCTTGATTCACGACAGATTAAACTTTCGTTTGTTCGAGTCCCACCTGAGTGACTTCTTTCAACTTTCAGTCGGGAGCAAGGGCGGATCCAGAACACAATTTTGGGAGGGGCCAAAAATTTTTTTGGTCCCCCCAAAAAGTGGGTCTAAAAAATTACGGCGTGGGGTTCGGGGCCCGCTAGGGCCCCGAAAATTGTTTGGATTCTAGATGCTCTGTGGTGCGATCTGAGGCAATTTCTGACCACTTTAACCAATTTTTTTTTGAGGAAAAGATGGTGGTGTACTCATTGCCTGCCTTTATTGCGATGTCACATTAAAAAAAAAAAAAATTAGTTTCGTTTTTGGGGGGGGGGGGGGGGGGGGGGGCATGGCCCCCTTTGGCCCCCCCCCCCCCGGATCCGCCCTTGGTCGGGAGGTGGAGGTAACACACCGAGTATACGTCGGTGATGGGCAAAAACTAATATGGATTTACATCACCCCACGATGCAAATTTCATCTTTTGAATAGATTAAACTTTCCGTCCCAGTTATGGGCATTATGATAAAAAGTAAACGGTAACTATATCGCCAAATACTGCCGGAGAAAACGGGTCATAATCTCGAATCAACTGCCCTTGAATAAGTTCAAAGAAAATTTTTCAGTCTCACCAGGTATAGTGATGCATCGCGTGTGCACAAAGTCCATATATGATCCAGCACTTCGTACGCGCAGTGCGGAAAAACTATCATATTCGTCACTTGTGCTTTGCCCACCCTAACAAAAATACTGGCGACGCCCATGCCCACCCAGGTTTTGCCGGTTACATTTTAAAACCCAAGGGTGGGTTTTTTGGTCATTTTAGCAAAACTACTACTAGGGATTTTGATATTTTTAGCAAAAATGCTATGCCGCAACTACATGTATAAAATCCATAGGTGGGCCGTAAAAATATAACTTGGTCTTGCCGAGATGATGGTTCCCCTCTTCGAGTGACAATCACCTCTTGTAGGGTGGGGATACCACAGGGGAAAGAGGGGTGGGGGGGGGGAGTAATTGTTAGGTATATAAACAATGAAACACCAAACAATTATGAATTTCTATAACGGTATGGATTTTATTGATCTTTACTATTTTTTTAAAGATTCAAGTTCCCTATTGTGATCCCTCTTCAAATTATTTGAAAAGGTTAATTTAATAACCGCAATTTAAAAAAAAATGCTTTGACTAATAAAACATCTCTCGTGAAAAAAATTGTTTTATGTTTTATCAATAAAATTTGCCGGAAAATATATTGAATTCTGTGAAGAAGGAAAAAACAGTGTTGCGTGTCGCTTCAATTGGACCAGACTGATACTATAATATTTGTATAATTTACTGATGCACCAATTGCAATCAAAAATGAAACAAAAATTGGCTGGCCACACATTTTGTGTGATTATTCTTTACTCTTAATTCCTTTTTTTTCTCTTCAAAACTGACATCACTGCAATATAAATCTGTTGTACACGTTTGCAGTCAGTTCCAGTTATAATAAACATTACTTTGTAACAAGAAAACAATGTCTGCATCATAACATGATCCGGGTAATAATTGTCCATTTTTTTTTCATTTATACCGTTCCTGCATATTAGTAAGCAAGTGGCCGGGACGTGGTATAGATTTATCACATTAACAGATTTGTTCACTCCGGATTTTCTCCGAACCCTGCTTGAAAACCACCTACATAACGATTAATGAAATATCCCATCCCACTGCAAAGTCTGTCTAAACGCAGACTGTTAAGAAAGGAAAATCTGGTATATTTGTCCCCGATCCCCAAAACAGTAACTTTCCTGGATCCCTTCAGTTCTTGTGCTGCTTGGCCTGTTACTTTTGACACCTGAAAACTACCCAAGATGGAAAGCTGTACAGAGGCCAAAAGTTACAAAAAAGTATTCCAAAGCATGAACTAGACACACACTGCTCACACAAAAATGAACCAGCTGTCGATTTTGAGCTCTTGGGAGAATTTACATAACTTAACTGAGCAAATCCACTGTAAAATAGTGCAAACGTGTCTGAGGTCCGGCTGTAATTTCATGCTCTGGAGTTCTTTACAGATCATTCTGAACAAAAAAATATAGTCGAACCCTGATAAGAAAAGCACTGTTAATACAAGTTCCTGCTAATAACACGCACAATTTTAGGTTCCATAGCAAGTCTTTGTTTTTCTTTGTTTTCCATTACTATTTAATAATACAAGATACCTGATATAATTTGTCCCAAGGAACTTGTTATAAAAGGCGTTTGACTGTACACCGTACCTAATGTTACCGACACCACAAACTCCCATTGTAATGCAGAGGGTATCAGATTGGGGTCTCATTGACAAAATTAATGATCCCCTTGACACGGGTCTCGACCAGGAATATTAATAACACTTTGGTCTAAAAGAACCAAACTGCCTCTGACCTCGACGAGCTCTTCTAATTCTTGAGCTCTAATGCATTACCTTCAAGGCATATAGGATCATTTGCTTTTCATGCATTTTGTCTGTTTCCAATAATAACACCACTCAAAATCCAAGGGAGAATGTTCAAAACCTTAACCTGTTGAACGTTCAGCTCAGAGGATATTACACTTTTCGAGGAAACAGTGAAAATCCATGCACAACCTTTCGATCACGAAACACAACTTCGTCAATACAACTTCTTATTCCAAAAATCAGTCCGCTGACTGATCGCTGGAAATCACCTACATTTCTTGATTTCTTCTAAATGACAGCAAGCCAGACGCAATAATTTCATGGGGTGTTTAGTACCAGTACGATCTTTAATCAAGGTACGCTTTTGGATAATAATTTGGTAGCTTACTTTTGAGATGAAAGCAAATGATACCACATGCCTTTAAGATAGTGGACTGTATAGGTGGGCACTGACATCCGGGATTTTTTTTTTTTTTTTTTTTTTACATTGCCTCATCTTCCTCCCAGACCCATGTTCTTGAAACTCGATGGTTCTTGAGTCTGGAGTGCTGAAAGGTAACACATAGCAACCGATGACAACTGGTGTGCAAATGAAATGATGTTTTCATCGGATGACGTCAGCCTGCCCCCACCTATTGAGGCAAGAGAGAGTTTGGTGTGGTAAAAGTTAACCACAACTGACCAGTGGGAGGAGTCAGGTTGGCGTTTTGGCGTAGTGGTACTTTCCTCGCCTTCCACCGCTGTGACCCAGGTTCAATTCCTGCCATGGCCAATATGATTGGCTTCTCAGTCCCTACCTGATTTCGTGGAATTTCCCCAGAATATTCTTTTGGGGTTTTCCTCCCACCTCTAAAACTGTATTTTTCTTCTCACTGTCTCCTCTTTACAGGTTTCTTCAAGCTTGCGAGCTACAGTGCCTAGGGCGCTTTTGAGGAATCCTTTGTTTCATTATACCAGAAATAATTAATATCCATTCAAACGATTATTCAATATTAAATGCAGCAACAGAAGAAATGTTTCCCTCTTGTTTCCAAGTGGAGAAAGATGAGATAAAAAAAAAGTAACTGTAGTTCAGAACGAATTCCTATTGCTATATGACCCAACAACCAAAAAACTCCCCACTTTTGGGAACAGGTGGAATTCAATTAACTTTACACCCCATAATTACCACGGTAACTGCAACTATACAATGTTAAATTCCTTTAAAACAAGTTAACAGTTATCATGCTATATACACAATGTTATTTGTGTTTAAGCTTTCTGTGTCTCTTCCTTTGAATTCTGGGTAACTGTTTCATGTTTAGTTATATTGATGTTTAACAGAAAAATGACAGTTGCACGTGTGACTGTTTGGTTTTGTTTTTTTGGTTTTGAATGTTATTTTGTTGAACAAAAGGTAAATGTCTGTGCATTGTGTGTGTTTGTGATGTTGAGGTTGGTACCCTACTTCTCCTCCATGCGTAAGTATGGGAAAAGGCTAGCGAAGCAGTGACCAGCCTAAAAATGTATGTTGTGTTATAAATGATATGTATATCAATGTTTCATAGTTGTCCAAAATATGCAAGATTTGTAGATCATTTAACACAATTAACTAATTAACTGAAATACTTTTGTTTCTGATGACAATGCATTTATTTTGTTTGTACGTATTAATGCGTGTGTGTGGTGTGTGCATGGTAAGTACATGTACATGTATTTATGTGTTTTGTAAAAACAAAATTAATAGAAAAAAATAAAAGTGTGTGCCAATTTTCACATAATCCTAAATCTTTTCAATATTGAAAAAAAGTCCAGTAATAAATATTGCATTTTTTTACAAAAAAAACCAAAACATTTTCTGGGCCAAAATAGCTCATTGAAATAACTACTATATGCTCTGAAGAAAATAAATTATACAATTATAGGATCCCGAAAACTTAAGTGACAAAAATAAGTCGAGGAAACTATTTTTAGGCATTTTTAAAAACATGTGTAACATAACAGACGGATTGGGATTGTTTTTCATGTGGCATAAACAAAAATATTACAGTTCGGCAGCTTGGTCTGAGGACAAAAACAAAATTCCTTTGGCAGCATAGAGAAACTAGAAAACACTCAGAGACCACAAACTCCTTCAAGGCTAAACAATTCCCCGACATATTGCCAGTACACCCCAAAGAAATACTCGCATAAATGGTGAAGAATCCTTAAAAAAAAATCCTGGATCCAGACCCAGATCCGGATCACTTCAGAAATGTTATCGATTTGTACTTGTACCAAGGACCACCTTAAGAATTTTTATGCAAATCTGTCCATAACTTTTTGAGCTATCTTGTTGACAGACAAACCAACCAACCAACTAACCAAGAAAATCCGATGAAAAATAACCTCCTTGACGGAGGTAACAAATAATTGGAAAAGGACAACAGTTATAACTTTCCACTGGAAAAAAAAAATCGTTTTGGGAAAAAAAATTAAGTCATTCACTTAATGGAAGCACAGGAGCAATAAAAATAATATGACAAATTTGTATTTCAATGGCATTAATAACAAATCTTGAAGTGCAGCGCCAATCTAGACTTTAACAATAAACTGTATCTTCTAAATTTTGAAATGAAAACTGTTGGATTTCGAAAATTTCTGTTGAAATCGCAAGGTATAATTTTTACTTGGAGTACAACTGACTTCATACCTGACAAATATTCTTCTAAAAAAATCCTGGTACTTTTGTTTAAATCTCCCAAAAGTGAGGGAAAAACCAAATGAGGAGTAGAAAGACATTTTCTTCAAAAAAAAAATAGTTACTGTTTTCAACTTGAAAAGGACAAATATGGAATGAATATTTAGACGTGCGTATAAACGTGACCTACATATGATAGCCCTAAGACTAAGTGCAAAAGCAGAGTTCTGCTTAATTGTCAATTTTGCATTTTTTTTTCTTTCAGGTAGATAAGGCAGTATTACAATTTATAATCAAAACAGATGCATAAAAGTAGTCGCCAAGGCGTGACAAACATTCCCTAAAATCTGGTGGAAGTTTTTTAACATGCTGTCACGTCAAGTGAATAATTTTCAAATTTTTTTCTCCATATTTTTAGACAATTGAAACGTAAAGGTATTGGTAATGGAAAAATCATAACTTATATTCATGGTAGTGAAAAATGATCATTCATCAAATATAACAATTTTCCGTATAATTTCTCTGTAAAACCAAGTCCAAATAAAGATAACTAGATTGCACTTTACAAATGGAAAGAAATTCAAATTTAGCAAAACAAAGATTCAGCAATCGTTTGTAGACTTTGTCTTAATTTGTTTCACAAAAAAATTTAGTCTTTAACATTTTGCATAGATGTTTGCAAAATATCCTCTCTACTGACCGAAATATATTCTAATTTTTTTTTTTCAATTATAATTATTAAATAATTTGAAATTGTAATTTTGCTTTTAGAATTTCATACATTTTTGGCAGAAATTTTGCAAAACAAACATTATCCACGAACAATTTACAGTATTTTGCAAACATCTACAAAATTTCACTGAAAAAAAAAATCACAAATGACATATTGTTTTTCTTCCGTTCTATGCAGAAACCTCACCAAAAGTTTTCTCTATGCTCGGTGGAGTAAGTCACATCTTGGATGTATTTAAACTCGGGATGAGTACGCAAAAGACACATAAGTTGTGCACAATGAGTTCGACTGAATTCGAACCCAGAGCAATTATATCTTCACGTGCCGACTTCTCTAGAATCCAACTGACTGACTTTGCAAAACACTGACTGAATGTCGAATTTCTAATTTATACCTGAATTGAAATGATAACTGATTTTAATATTGGAATTTGCCGAAGGGCTATACCCGGTAATAAAAATAAACATTTCCATACAATATTAATGACTTTTTTCCATTGTTTTTTTTGTAATTTCCGAAATAACTAAATATTGTTCTCTAAATATTTTCCTGAGCTGAAGAGACATGAATAAGATGTTACATGGAATTAGAGGTACAAGTTGCGAGTTTAAAGATCAGAATTCCCTCATCACATTTTTTAGTCCTACTTTGTTATTTTTTTTTATCATTTACCTACACAAAGATGCTGGTGACTGAAATACAATTCTGAAACGAGACTTGCATAGGATCATGTTTCAATTCAAGAAAGTTAAAAAAAGTATTCTGGCCCAGATGGAAACAAAATACGAGGAAAAAAAAATTAATGACACACACTTTTTGTTTATTTTTTTTGTATTTCAAGTCGTGTTAAGTGGCGTGTTACATGTATATAGTCGATGGTACAAAAAAAAAAAAAAAGACTTATATGCCAAAATATTGCAAATTTTTATAAAATGTTCTATGATGTTGTCATGTTATGGCAATCTAATGTTTTTATAATATCTAACAATTTCAATTTTTTAATAATATCTTGCACTCGTTTCTTTTTTTTGTAACAATATATTTAAATGCATGTAGGCATGTTTTGGTTTTTTTCTTTGTTTTCTTGTAAAAAATAAAAAGTTTGTCATTTCATGATGTGAAATGTAATAATATTTTAGTATGTACAAATAGCAAGTACTTGGTATGTATATATTCAACATGTGTATCAAGTGGCATACAATTGCTCAAAGTTTGTAGACATGTTTCATATTTTTTTTTAAACTTATGTTTGCATGTTTTTGTTGTTGTCTGTACATAAATTTTGCACATATCATATAACATTTATTCTAGGTAAATACAGCCTGTTATGTTCTATGCTACGTACGTATAATTTTGTGACCAGCCACACTAACATAAATTTCTGTTACCTCGATTTCAAATTTCGTATTTTTTCCCCTTTTTTGATATTTCACTCAAACCAGTTGAGTGATTAAAGTATTTAAACAAAATCCCAACGAAAGTACATTGACTACTCAAAAATTTGTTTTTCTTTGCCCAAACCAAATTTTGGATAGGCTGGTCACTGGTCGTCAAACTTTTAACTCAACCAAAAAATTTGGCATCCCAAATACATACAACTCCTTCAAAATCCTTGAAATATTTGAAGAAAAAAAAGATGTTCCGTATAACGGAAACGACTCGCGAATTCCAAATATGACTCCAAACGATGGTGTATAAAACATTTCAAAAGAGATCCCAGAATTTGTGACAAAAAATATTGTCTTCTTGCCACAAAGTGTCACCTTTTGCAAACAGAGACAAAATTTTCAGTTTGAGAGCATGACATTTTTTTTCTTCATTTTTGCCTCAAGGATGAAGGAATATGAACAATTTTCCTATATACATCCTAACAAAGAACGCTGTGGCAGATTCAAATTTCATCAAAAACAACAGTGAAAAAAAAAGGCATGTGAAATGGTGAATTAAACCTAATGAATTTTTCTCCAGAACAAATTTGCCCAATCAGAGCGCAGCCCTGGTATACTCATTAATAGAAAACAATAACAAGACAGAACAAACAAATGAACGAATCACTGCATTGGGCCATTTCACAGCAAAGACTGACCTTGCTCGAAATTCAAATGAGTATACTTTATGAAAAAAGAAGCTTTTGATTGGTCAGCAGTATACCGGTAGTTCTAAATAGAAATGACTAATATAGACCAATCACAGAGTTTGTTGTATCCCTGTGTGATAAGAGGGCAAACAAAAAAATGAATAAGATTCAACGGTTTATCAATCATGATACCAAAACACTAGTGATAACATTTCTGTAAAATCTGGAATCTGGATTAACAGAGGACAAACTTCTCAAACAAAACTCCCAGGGCATTGAATTTGAAGTACTTTGAAAAACGTTCAAGATGAAAAACAAAGCTTTGAAAGGATTTGCACACACTGTCCAAATGGATTATTTCAGGCAAAATCGATTCAAAGAAAATGACGGCTATTTAGAAAGAAAAAAAACATGGAGGTACATGTAGACTTAACTTGACTGGGCCTTCAAGGCGAAATACCTGTAAGCAGAAAACTATTGCTTGGCTAAAACCTTCACCAATTTACTTGAAACAGTTTGATACACCATTTCTTATCTCGCCAAGCTTATCAATATGTTTCTGTTAATTTGGTTGGGAGCCATTTTTTTTTTAGAATCTGGTACACAGAAAATACGTAGGTTGGACATGACAGATTGAAACAGGCAACTAAAGTTGAAATTCAGACAATCAAGGGTAAAATATGCCTGGGAAATATCCTCTTAAAGAATTTGACAGTTCTAAATAACAAAAAGAAGAAAATAAATCCTCCTATTGAAATTATTCAACCATTCCACGCAGCACTCTTTTTTCTCTTCAAATAACCTTATTCACTTCTTCACAATACTCTTTCCATTATCAAGGGAATATGTTTCATCTAGGGGGGCAATATGTTTCATCTAAGGGGCAATATAGCACAGGTGATAGTCATGCCCCACCAGTGCAATATTTATACAGGTACTTGAACCATTGCCAGAACAGTACGGAAGGCTTTATGGCAAGCCCAATATGCTATTACTGTACATGTATACACTTCCAATGTTACAGTATGAATGTACATGTATGTACATGTATGTGGCAATGGGCCTTCATCATTGGCAACACACCGATGGGGAAATATATTCCACTGGGCAATATTACCAACTAGGGCAACATCCCTCAACTTAAAACACTGGGTAATATACACACACCAGGGCAATATTATGTATCGATCAGAAAACCTACATGTATGCATCCAGGCTAACAGAAACAGATCTGGCACTATATTTCCCCTTGCGCAATGCTGCAGAGCAATATCTGCAGGGCAATATCTTCAGGGCAATATCCATATATGCACCTCTGCATCAGTGCAATATACGCATACCATATCAAAATAAATCACTGGGAAAATATTCCATGTATACACTGACAACGTGCCATAACCCTCGAGCTATTGACGCAAATTTCAAACATCTATAGACCAGTTCTCTTTGTGTTTTTATTTTCCTACATAAAATGCACAACACACTGTTATACAGCATTATGACACACATACACTTACCAAAAAAACCAACAAAACATACAATCGCTCAAAAAAAGCTGGTTTGACCCGCATCATAAAAACTCCTCCAACTCAACTCCCTACATCACACACTGTTGAATATTCATAATTGTTTTTTTATTATTTTTTTCAATTTTTTTTCTGGTTTTTAAAATATGTTTTTTTTCCACTTTTTTTTTTTACTGTAATTTATTACCTTTCTTTCTCTCATCAACAGTTCTCTCGCTTCCAATTTGTTATTTTTTTTTTTTTTTATAATTTTTTATTTAGATTTCTTATAAACTCTCTTTCCGCGCACATACCAGTTCAATCCCTAAAGCAGCATTTGTATGAAATCATCTTCGTAAAAAAAGGTCTCTCTCACAATTTCAGAGATTTAACTTTTCACAATGCAGGAAAATCAGCAAATCATCAGCATCATAAAATTGACACTGCAGGTATATAACAAAGCTACAAGTATTGTAGAAAAATCTCTCAAATTTTGTTTCAGATACACTAGCATCTCATGATACGAAATCAAATAGGTTAGTCTCAAGTGGAAAAGACTAACGTGTTGCATTTTTTTTTCTTACTGTTTACTTTTACAGAAGGTGGGCAATATTTTATCCTTTTCAGTCCTGAAAATGCCCCAAAACGGCCTGCCCAAACTCCTCAAACTGCCTAGAATGGTTTGTTGCAGTTTACAGAGCAGGAATTATTCCACCGTTTGCAAAATTAACAACATAAATTCTGCACGAAAAATGATCAGCCTAAAGGTATTGAAGGTTGAAGCATTAATGCCAAAATAGATTAAAGGGGCTGTACAGGCATGTGGAACCTCTGCCCTGGACAGCGCCCACTTTTGACAATTGTCAAACAGTGATGCATTGTAGTCTTGCTGATGGCCAAGTGCACATGGGAAGTCTGGTTATGCGAGTATTCAAGGCCACTAGTGAAACAAAATTACGGAAGTCAGGAGTTAGCATCGTTAAGAACTTGTGCATGTGTATGTACGTAGAGATTCTCTCCACACTCTCTCACAGAATTCTCAACACTCATTTTTCTCCCCCTCTCTCTCACTCTGTCCGTCCACCCTTCTGTCACTCTGCTTGTCACTGCCTCCCACCCACTCTCTCAGCAGCATGTCTCATCCACAGTCATTCATTCGCACACTTCATTCCCAAAACACAAATGTACCACTTGGATTATATGTTTTTAACACACTGATTGCTTGAAGTCGCGAAGATTCCACCCCATTCAGGATAATTACAACATTATCTGGTTTCTTTAAAGTTCACTTTTATTACAAACAAGGCATCCAGGTATCATTCCGATTAACAACTTGCAACTCAACACTGACACGTTTTTTTTTCTCCATTTAAAACCCTGATTATTTGGGAAAATGCCAGTCCTTGAATCACGTATTCATCATGCTAACAAAATGCTCTCTATACTTGGTCTCTCACATTGTAAATATTTTGAGGAGAAATCAAGGCATTACACGCTGAAGTGGTTGATTGTACAGGAACAGATGGAGACTTTTGTGGGCTTTGATAGAACCACAATGGAGTATATTTCATTAAATACGACCAAATGAAGCTTACAAAGAGAAAGATGTACCAAACCGATGCTGAAGAAGAAATCTCATACTCAGTTTTATCGACAACTTTGAGACTTTTGAGTTTACCCAACATCCACTTAAGGTACCTCTTTCGCACTGGACCACATAACTTCACGGTAACGTTCTCACAGTAGACTCCACACCGATTCTCTCTGGCATATGGGCTTGTGCACGTCCGTTCAGAACTGCAGATCCTCGATGTTCTCCTGGGGCGGGCCAAACTCAAAGACCTGGGCGTTCTCGGCAATCTTGGGGGCCAGCTTGCTGTCCTCCTCCTCGGTGCTGAAGTAACGGTCGATGATGTCAAAGGCCTTCTGGTAGATCTCCTGGTTGGCGTGGGATTGTAGGAATTCTATCTTGTCCACACCTGTCAGTAGGAGTTTGGGATACAATTTTGGGTTTTCATCTGGTGATTTGGTATTCAAGAGACCGATACCCTGACCACCCCAATCCTGCAAAGTCCTCTGGGCGGTTTTGAAGGATTGTGGAGGATTGAAGACACATGGACATTTGGTGTCGGTCAAGGGCGGATCCAGAACACAATTTTGGGGGGGGCCAAAAAAAATTTTGGTCCCCCCCCAAAAAGTGGGTCAAAAATTTTTTTGGATTCTAGATGCTCTGTGGTGCGATCTGAGGCAATTTCTGACCACTTTAACCAATGTTTTTTTGAGGAAAAGATGGTGGTGTACTCATTGCCTGCCTTTATTGCGATGTCACCAAAAAAAAAAAAAAAATTGGTTTCGTTTTGGGGGGGGGGCCATGGCCCCCTTTGGCCCCCCCCCCTGGATCCGCCCTTGGTGTCGGTTGATTTTGGAGGATTGGGGCTGCATGGTGTCTGAAGAAGAGGAGGATTTTGGAGGATTGAGGCTGAATGCATTTTGAGAGGCAGGGCTGTTGGAGGATTTTGAAGGATTAAGGCAGCGGGTATCCTTCATTTGAACATAAGTGCAAAATTTTGGAGGATTTTGGAGAATTAAAGATGGAAAATCATTGTCACTCACAGCAGAAGCTGAATTGTGAAGGACGCAGCTATAACGCGGTCAAGCCGAATGCATGTAAAGGTGATTTAGGCAGCTGCCATACGACTCATGTCTCACCACATAGCACAGCCAGATCTTAAGTGTTCATTGTTGCAGAGGGAGGAAAACTGGAGAACCCAGAGAAAAACTCTCGTGACACGGGTGAGAATCAACGAACAACTCTTCTCACATATGACCTGAGCCGGGAATCGAACCCGGGCCACAGCGGTGAGAAGCGAGCGCTTTACGCACTGCGTCACCCATGCCACCTTTCCTGTTCTCAGCAACTTAGTGAGCTTGCAGTAGCTTCATATTGCTATATTGAAATCTTTGGAAGTTATAAAACAAAAGGTCGTGATCATACCTTGACAATGTTCAACAACAAGAGCATACTGGTTCTGCTGGGTGAGATTGTTCTTGACGTCTTGGTCGCCTAGTTTCAGGATGTTCTCCAGACCGTTGAGGGCCACGTGGACAATCTTGGCATCCATGACGTTGAGGAGTTCGCACAGCGGTGGGATGCAGTTGTGCTCAACGATGAATCTATGTAAACGGATGCATGCGTGTGTTATCTTAATCAGATTGTGATGCTCAATTTCATCATAGATTTCTGTCTGCCGAGAACAACAGCTGTTGACAGATGGGGCCCAATCCTCTCATTTTGACCCATAGACAGTACATAGGATCATTTGCTTTTGTGCATTTTGTTTCGTTTTAAGCAACAAAAGTGCTTAATATCTTAAGACAGGTGCATAACAACTAACCTGTGGATCTTTCAGCTCAGTGACTACGATACATTTTGAGAAAACTATAAATTTTGAGATAAATATAGCCAATGACAATGCTTAGATTGATCATGAACATGTATGGGTGGAACAGATTTCTAGCAACAGTGATTAAACTGGCCTTGGCAAATAAAATCTGAAATTGGACCTTGGGTCTGAGCTGCCACAGCGTCGCGCAGTGCAGCGCAGCGCAGTGCAGCATCAATGTTGGACCCAGTGAATTTTTCAATGTCATAGGTCAGTATTTAACCTTTTCCCCAGCCGAACAAGGATCTGATCAGCATTGGTCTAGGTTATTCTACCGTAGAATCACTCCATTCACGACTGGTGAAAGAAATTAAAACTACTACACTTGTGCAAATTTTTACGTGCCGTTTTCATCGACTTTTCACTGACTATTTTTGGAAATTATTAAGAAAAAAAAAAAAACATTTTGCAGAAAAAATAGTTAAATAATCATTTTTGTGGGATCGTTAAAAAATCTGAAATTTCATTGGAAAAGTTTTAAAAATCTGAAAAGTTTCATCTCTGTAGCCACTCCCCCCCCCCCCATCTCCGAGTTATAACCACCTACCTTATCTGTTCAGGGCTGCCTCCTGATGTGGCGTTGGTGATTGCCCAAGCTGCCTCCTTCCTTGTCTTGAACTCCGCCTTTCCTAGGACGTCTATTAGAGTGGGTATGATGTTGGCATCAATGACGCACTGGTGATTGAGGAGGAAGAAGAAGAAACGATTCTTAAAGCTTTTAAAGAATCACAATGAAGAGGTTCACATCACTGAGGACACTGGCAAGTTTCAAGACGCAAAATTCATCAAGACGCAAAATTCATCAAAATGTAAAAATGACTTAAAATTGTCGAAATTGGGAAATTGTCAAAGTTTCACGCGCACAGTAAGACTGTTTTATTAATGTATACCTGGATCTGCTGTCTATTGCCAGCGGTGATGTTGGATATTGTCCAGCAGGCTTCTTTCCTGATGGATTCCTTTTGGCTACTCAACAGGTGCAAGAGGTATGGCAGGGCTGAACAATTCAAGATGATCTGGTTTTTTACAAAAAAAGGGAAAGTAACATTCAGTTCTCCTAGTATGATACAGTTTCACAAATTATGTTTCTGCACGATATGAAGTGATTTTTCTTTTGTCTCAAATTTCCTTTTCTATCCCTTCTTTGTGTGTCCCTCACCTTACGTGGCTCTAATAAATACGGCCTTGTGATGGGCGCCTCTCTGAAACAAGTCAGGAGATCATGACACTTTTGTCCTTGAGCAGGAGACTTTACCATTATTTGCTTCTTTCCTCCAAGTCCATTACAGCACAGTTAAGGTTTATTTATTTACATTCTCAATCAAAAAAGTACCTGTGTTTGGATGTCATCGCCTGTGACAATATTTCCAACGGCTCGTAGGGCAGCGGACACAACGCTCTGTGAGGCATTCCTGATACAAATCACCACACAATTTTTGTTTATTGTACTTCCAGATTCAAGGATTATGAAATTTTGCCCCAAATATAAAATTATTTTTCATACCCCAGTTTGCAAAAAAAAAAAAAAAAAAAAAAAAAAAAAAAAAATTTAAGGGTTCGCGTACACAGATTCTATGAAATACCTGGTCAATTTGGGTTTTTTTCGCGTACACGAACGGTAACGCGAAACTTTCAGTACTCATTGCTGTATGCGTTTAGCAAAAGACTTAACTTAACCCTTACCCTGCCAGACGCAACACAGTGCATCAGGTGGACAAGTCTGGTGCACACTTTGATACATTCAGCTACCAACACCAGTGCATGAATGGCCAGCTCTGAAACAATGAGAGCTAGTCCCATTGAACAATGCCACAGTTGTATCCTGCTGCGTGACCACAGACTCTGAGGCAGTGTGGCCTCAAGACTTTTCTCCTGATGGATCTTGCTACATTTGGCAGGTTTGTCACCTAGTCAAGTGTTGCATGTTACAAGGTTTGGCAGGGTTCTAGATAACATACCCAGGAGGCTTAGGGTTACCTCTTTACTAGCAGTCACCTGTGTCCTTGAAAAAGATACTGGGTGGGAATGAAGTACAACGCCCTCGTTTGGTGGGCATTTGAGTATGAGTGACTGATATACAGGTGACTTTGAGAACCCGAACCAAGACTCACATGAGGAGTTCCACTAGTCTCCGACAGACCCCGCTGTCGATGACAGCCTGAATCTTCTCGTTGGGTCCGTCCGAGAGGTAAGAGAGGGCCCAGCATGCATCGGCCAAGACGTCGTGGTCACTGTGGAATAATAGACGGGACAGGACCGGCAGGCATGTCTTGACCTACAGGGAGGAAAGTCACAGAGAGAAACAGGTTACCAGACCACATCTTGTACTGCATGGAGTCTACACATTGTGGCAATTCCTGAAATATCTTGAACTTGGGGAGGAAATAACACACAGAGAAACAGGTTTAATACCAGACCACTTCTTGTACTGCATGGATTCTACTCGTTGGAACTGGATAGCTCAATTGGTAGAATGCTGGTATGGCTTTTCTAGTGGTCTCACGATCAAATCCTGCCCCAGTTGAAGGAAATGTTCCTTGTTTAAACTAAAACTTTTGAGCGTAATTGTTAGTTACTTCAACAACAACAAATTATTTCTGTTTTCAATAGAGAAGTCCAACAACTCATTAACCTTGGAAACGAAGGGTCTATGTATCTGCATCACACTGACGTAATATATCATAGGTCTTACATGCAAGACTATAACATTGATATGTCACTATTTGTTGGCGTTTCCCCCATTAATCCTAAAATGGCCGGGCTTTTTTGACCAGCTCTCAGCCGTGGGGGGGGGGGGGGGGGATTCCGCCGCCCCCCCCATGATCTCTGCTATCGAGCGAGGAAAAATTATGAAACTCAGTACATGCCTAAAACAACTTAATGTAAACCTACCCAAGAAATTTCATGACTATAGGTCGAATTAATTATTCATATGCACGAATGGTAATTCTGCTCTGTGTACACTACGTATATGGGGAAATTCAGTTTTCAACGCCGGATTTTTTTTATGTTTTTGGAATCAAAAGATGCACAAGGCTCGAGGCTTAAAAGTCATAACAGCTCGGGTCGCGAAAAAGTCAGGGGGGGGGGATTCCGCTACCCCCCCCCTCCCCCCCCCGGGCCCCTTTAGGGTTAAGTCCCAAAATTTCCAAACCCTGTTGCTACCGTACCTTATCAAAGTTCGGTGGAGGGTTCTTTCCTCTACAGAGGTTGGACAGCGCCCAGACAGCGTTTCTTGTCATGGACAGCTTGTTGGATTTAGCCAGTAATCTGTGAAGAGGCAAACAATAAGCAACATTATAAATACAACAGAGAATGTAAGGTGTGATTTAATGAGGGGGTTGGATTGAATACTTTGGCCCCACCCCAATAATACTTTGGCCCCTTCCCCAAGACCAGAAATCTTTGGCCCCATTCCCAAGGCCAGAAAGCAAAGGGTTAAGGAAGTTGTCAGTACTTACTGCAATAGTGGCATGATGATTCCATTATCGATAACAAAATCTCGGCAGTCGGGACAGTCGCCTGCAATGTTGCCTAGTGCCCAGACAGCCTGTTGATAAAAAACGAAAACATCAGATTGCGAAGACTACAAGAACAGTGTACGATTAATATGTAAGCTTAGACCACCCCCCCCCCCCAAAAATACTCGGTCTCTGGTCAGCGTGCGCGTCGATTTTAATCATGCACGTCAACCTTTTTTTTCTCCAAATGAACACGGAAGCTACAACAGCGCCCACTATTGCCGCGCCTCCTCAAATTTTTGTACCAAGGAGCACCAAGGAATGGGGAAATTGCACCAAGGCAAATGATAAAGGGCACCAAGGCAAATTATGGAGGACACCAATGTCTAATGAGGACACAAAAAAGCAAAATAGTACCCACCTTGTCTGTACAATACAAGCTTGAAAAAAAAAAGCCACCAAAAAAAACACCAAAAAAAAACGCATCGCCGCATCAATTCCGGAACTTCAGTCTGACCAGAGACCGACTATTTTTTTTTTTTTGGCCTTATTTCTAATACTTAATTCAAATACTTTGTCTTGATATTTCTTGGCCTTTCCCTTTTGTAAACAAAAACAAAATCCTTTCTGCAGTTCAGAACTCTGCACTCAACCACTAGTTACCTGCTCTCACATACGCGAGTAAATTACAGAACATTCAACATTTTCGAAGAAAAAAAGGCAATCCTACACCATTAAAACTGACAGTACTTCATGCAAAAGTGTAAGATACAATTAGGGAGCTCTTAGTTCTGTGTTCTCAATAAGAGTAAGATTTTGAAACTCGTCGTGAGCCCAGCAGAAGGGCGTATGCGAGTACGCCCTTATGCACAAACGCGTAATCACCAAAATGTTCCCAGGATTAGGGCATATGCAGAAAACTGCCTCTATTATAATGACTTTTAAACGTTTCCGTCGGAACTTAACACAAGTTGTTTTAAAAATTATGATTCATATGTGTGACAAAGTTAAAAATCATACGATTTATAATTCCACGTGGGAGAAAACTGGATTCATAATACGCGTGGGGGAACAGTGGAGCCTTTCAAAGCAATTTTCTTGAATGTGATTTTCGCGTCAGAACGCTCATATGCCCTTCTGCTGGGCACCCGACAAACTAGACAGGGTTCGAAATTAGCGGTAGCCTGCTAGCCAAATGCTTGTCAAAACAGCGACGGGCTAGTCAAACTATTCCTTTAGTAGCCCGGCTGGCGAGTCAAAAAATGTTGGATACAGCAAAGATGAAAGGACAGGAAGAAATATATCGTTAAATTCAGAAAGCAGACCTGTATCAATTTGTGTCTAATTTAATCAACTGTTTTAAAGTATTAGATCTGTTTATTAAAAACACTGACAAAATTGCGACAGAATTGAGCCTGAAAGTACGCCATTTTGTATTTGAGCTAAAAAATACCCCAACAACTAGTGAAAATGCCCACAGGCTAGTTAAGAGTCTGTTTCTTCAGTAGCCAGATTGGCTAGTGAACAAAAAAAGTTATGGTCGAACCCTGTTAGACTTTGGCAACATTACAGTAACTTTTTGTGGAGGGGTGACAATGCAAGACACTGTACCAACCTGTTCTTGTACATCTTCAAATTCTGAGTTGAGTAACTGGATGAATAGTGGCACGGCGCCCGCCTCTATGACGCACCGGGTCTGCAGCGAGGTTCCCGATGCTATATTGGTTAGCACCCAGGCTGCCTCAAACTAACGGGGTTAAAAAGGGGCACAACAAATGATCAAAATATAAAAGTCAATACCAGGAAATTATTGGCGGTATTACACTTTATTCCCTAAAGCCAAAACAAACATTCCCTAAAATCTGGTGGAAGTTTTTTAACATGCTGTCACGTCAAGTGAATAATTTTCAAATTTTTTTCTCCATATTTTCAGACAATTGAAACGTAAGGCCAAAAAAAAAAAAGTCTCCGGTTTCTGGTATGCGCGCGCGTCGCCGTGGCCATGCGCGCCGGCAAAATTAAAAAGGTTTTTTTTCAATGTAAGAGGATGTCTCAAAACTGCCAAACTCACTGGTTTGACTGGCATCCTGCTGCTGCACTTTTTAAACGAGTTTTTAGATGGGGTTACGATCGAGTATAAGCTTTATGTGGCCTCTCTGGACTCTCATATATTTGCACTAAATTTAGTCGGGTATCATTTGCAGTCATCAGCTGACATTTAAATAGAAGAAAATGGTAAAAATAAAATATTAAAAAGCTGCGTCGCCGCACCACTTTTGGGGCAAGCTCCATACCAGAAACCGGAGACTTTTTTGGCCTAATGTATCTTTACAAAATTTGAGGGCTAAAGCCGTTTTCGCATTGGACTTTTTTGGGTAAAACTAATGGTAACTGATGTCAACTTGACCAAATTAAGTCCAGTGCAGACAGCTGGTAAACTTCCCGATTGTAAGTTTTACAGGGCCAACTGGGTCGCGGAAGAATTACATGTACATTTTGTACATTGCTAGTTTTACTTAATGGATGACTTTCCGCGGGCCAAAATTAAGCCGAGAGTGGACGTACGGTAGAATAACTGCAATGTTAACTATCAGTCGCGGTAACATTTTGCAAAGTTAAGTCTAATGCAAATAAGGCTTTAGGCGGTTTTGTGTTGTACAGGGAATAAAAGGCAGTTTCGGGTGGCAGAGGGCTTCTGCTTCTGCTTCTGCTGGTATAGACCGCTTGCAGACGCGTTCGATAATTGACGCGCGAAGGTGCGCGACGCCATGTTGTGGGACAAAATGTGCATGGATAGATATGCTTTGTCCCTGCTGTATGCGTTTAGCGAAAGACTTAACTTAACCCTTACCCTGCCAGACGCAACACAGTGCATCAAAAAAGCTTGTCGATTATCGAACGCATCTGCAAGCGGTCTATACTGTACACAATGCCCTGTTGGACTATCTCGGTACATAGGGTTAATCATAGGCCCTGATGGTATGGGGATATTGTTTTTATTTGAAGGCCTCACAGTGTGGGAACAATGAAGGATGGTCAATCAAATGCAGGAAAATAAAAGCAGGAAGCTGTCAAGTTGAGTAAAAAATGACCTTCTGAAGATAAACTTAGGAAGGCAACTGTATCATGAATCTTTTGCATTGCCTATGTCATATCCTGAAATGTGAGTCACATCACGAAAGATTTGGTTCTGGGAAAGCTTCGACTTGTATAACGCAACTCCTGCCGGCTGCTTTACCTGCAAGGTGCTGTTGCTATCGTTTTGTAGAAATTCAACAAATCGGGGTACGATTCCAGTGTGGATGACCTCATCGATGGGAGGGTTGGGCTCTGTGGATGAATTATTCATGAATTAAGATATGGCTCAGCCTATCTTAAGATATACATGTACAGTCTAACCAGTGGCAGCAGGAACATCTTGCCAAATTGATTGATCAGAAATTCAGAACAGTATTTTGTGTTACAGTGGTCACATAACTGAAATGCTAATGGGAAATTCCACGGCTACTCACGTTACATTTTTGATGTCCTTTTGAGTTTCCTTGGGCTGTAATTACCTTATGGAAAAGGTTTAATAACTGTTATCCCAATGGTAGATAGAGTAGACCTACATGTAGACCTACCTAAGCACCAAAGATGACATCCAGAAAAATGTGTTATGTATGCTAAACAAGAAACACAAAATCAGTTACTCACGTTACATTTTCGTAATGTGAGTACCCGATTTTGTGCATCTTGTTTATCATACATAACACATTTTTCTGGATGTCATCTTTGGTGCTTAGGTAGGTCTAGGTCTACTCTATCTACCATGGGGATAACAGTTATTAAACCTTTTCAGTACGGTAATTACAGCCCAAGGAAACTCAAAAGTGCATCAAAAATGTAACGTGAGTAACCGTGGAATTGTCCTAATGCTCAATTTATTCTGTTTGAATTAAACTTAAAACACAAGACTTTGATGGAATTAAACAATGCTTTATCATGGCCGTAAAAAAATATACAGAAAATGTTGGTGAAAATTTAAGCACCTTTAGAGAGTAGTTTTCTAAACTTTTGTGTAGCAGCCAATTGCTGGGTGACGTCTTCACTCATGAGGGCTTGAACCATGTCCGGACTGACAAAACCCTGGCAGAACAAAAGAACAACGTAAAACATGGCAAGGAATAGTGTATCGCAGCGTGTGTGAATTGATTTTTGTTTGCTAATTATTGTTAGATGCTGTACTCATTAAATACTATTTTTCACATGAATGCGTACAAGAAAACTCTGGGAGTGAACAGTGACATGTCTTACCTGCGTAGAGGTGATTATGTTGTCTTGAAGGGACGCTTCAGTCTCCAGTACAATGTCTACATTTCGCCTCTTGAAAAGCTGGTGGCGAAAGATGAAGAGAGAATACATATTTTTGATTCATAAAAAGGTCATGTACCTTCTATTGAATGTTCCAGAGCTGTGTAATTTTGACCTTATCTGTATTTTTCAAAAGTATGAGAAAACATGTTTAGCAATTACTTTCAAATCAGCACTGAATTTTTATTTCCCGGAGAGCAAATCCAATCAGGCTATAGGGAGGGTAGAATCTCGATGGCACATAGCAAATCAAACAAACTTTCAAAAGCTTTGAGGACACTGTCTGTAGGCACACAAGTCTTGGATTATATTTGGAATCAATTTTTTTTTTATAGAAATGTATGGCTTTTTTTTTTGATGAAAACTCTTCCAACTTCTGACAAGTAACTTTCATACTAAACACTTTCTTCTCAATTAACTGAACTGAAAACGTAACCACAAAATGGGTAGAATGATCGAATAATTGACTTCCTGAACAACCTACATGTATGTGGCCCTAGCCTATCCTTGTGCACTGTACAAGATGATTAAAAAAACAAGCGAAACCCAAATGTCGGGACCATTGTTTTTGTGAAGTTCTGCATGCAGCACTTTCAAACTCTAGGATATGAAAGCCCAAGTCTTAAGCTTTCTTTTTGTACAAGAATCTTTGAAATCACTCATGTACTTTTTAAGTTACGGAGTTTTAAACACAACCACCGTTTTAAAGCTCTGTCCACGGATCACAAAAAAAGGTGTGTGTTCTTTCAGCAAAATGAAACAATTCACACACATCTCTATGTGATTCGTTTTCGTTGTGCTGAAAGAACACTGAACTTTTTTGTGATCCATGGACAGAACCTTAAAACGGTGGTTGTGTTTAAATATCCATAACTTGAAGAGTACATGAGTGATTTGAATGGTTCTTGTACTAAAAGAAAGCTTATGAATTGGGCTTTCATATCCTAGATTTTGTAAGTGCTACATGCAGAACTTCACTTAAACAATGGTTCCGACATTTGGGTTTCAGGTTTTTTTTACTCACCCTGTACAATGTACATGTACACAGTCAGTCTTCAGTCTTATGACATACCTGCTCTTCCCGTTTCTGCTTGCGTAGCTGAACGCCTTCTTCTTCTCTCCGTTTGCGCAGCTCCTCCAGGCCCAGCGCCTTGTTCTTGTACATGTGGAAGTGACCTTTGTTTTGCTGAGAACTTGCCATTGTTGCTACAACTGTGGACAGCAAAATAGAATAAAACTTCCTTGAAACAAACTATTTAACAAATACATGTACATGTATACTACGGTCACAGATGTACTTAATATTGATCAAGAATTGTTACATTGGCAATTCCACGGTTACTCACGTTACATTTTTGATGTACTTTTGAGTTTCCTTGGGCTGTAATTACCTTACTGAAAAGGTAAAAAAAAAACCTGTTATCCCCAAGGTAGATAGAGTAGACCTAGAATGTACCTAAGCACCAAAGATGACATCCAGAAAAATGTGTTATGTATGATAAACAAGACGTACAAAATTGGTTACTCACGTTACATTTTCGTAATGTGAGTAACCGATTTTGTGCGTCTTGTTTATCATACATAACACATTTTTCTGGATGTCATCTTTGGTGCTTAGGTACATGTAGGTCTAGGTCTACTCTATCTACCTTGGGGATAACAGTTTTTAAACCTTTTCAGTAAGGTAATTACAGCCCAAGGAAACTCAAAAGTACATGTACATTAAAAATGTAACATGAGTAACCGTGGAATTGCCCTTATGATTACTATGAATATTTTTTTGCGATACCATTTCTCAATACTGCTGACAGCGCATCATGTATGTGGCATTATATTCATGTGAGTCACATGAACGCACTTTGATGGTACATATTCACCTGTTCTGTGGCTCATTCTATAATCAATACGAATGAACACTGCTCGTGGTATATTTCTAATAGTACATGTAATAGTAATACACTATCAAAGGAGCCATATCCTGTTGATCAAGGTACAAGCCTGAGCCTTTCCATCTGAATTCTACAGACCAGTGTGGTACATTGTGTAATTTGATGTGCTCTTTGTTACAATAAAACTGTAACTAATATGATAATGTAATATTAACCCTAACCCCATGGCCTTTTTTGCTAAGATGTAGCCTCAATCCTGCAAAATCCTCCAATTGGTCTCATGGAAAAATAGCTTAGCCTCAATCCTGCAAATTCCTCCATTATTCATTGAATATGGTCCGTGGAGGGGTGACCACTGCCTGAATCCTGCAAAATCCTGCGGCAGTGACTGTCAATATGTTGAGGCTTGGCCAGTGACATCCTGGAGCAGTACGGAGGATTTCAAGCATAATCCAGGCATATATTTATGCATGGCTGAGCAAAAACAACACAAGGTCAGGCCCAAGACCTTGACAAAGTGCATCCTACGAACGTAATGCACTTTTGCCATGTAACCGCAATCTTCCAAATACCTCCACTTTGGCGAAGAGGATTTCGAAGGATTCAGGGCGGTTAGGGTTAAAGATGTACTCCTCATGTTATTTTCGAGTTTCACATCGAAAAATAGATTGTGGGTTTTTTTTTCAATTGCTATTTTCTTAGCAATATAATAGTTATTCACTTTTGAAAGAGTCATTGAAGAAAAAAAAATATAGACATCAAGTTATCAAAATATTTCTTCACAACATGTGAATTATTGGCTGCCAGACAATAATTTGGCTCTCGCAGGGCGGGTTCATTGTGCAGAAAATTAAAACCTTTTTTCAGAGGGTTGCAGACGCCAAAAAATCGGAATAAAATATTTTTCCTCGTTGAAACAAAACATACAAATTGAGCATGGGGTAAGCATACATCTTTAATCCTTATCTTCTTCCCTCACTTTGCTCTTAAAGAGAAAAAAATCTTTCCTCAGGGCACTGAGTCAAACTCAACACAGTCTCCAAATGTCACACCAATACCAAAAGCAAAGATACCAGCCTGCCCGCCAAAAAAAAATCTTTGGTATGCACAGTACACGTACATGTATATGTCGGGTCTAAATTTAACACACCCAATTAGTCTATGATTAGGAGTTTGATTTAAGATCGTAACATTATCACATGATGATTAACACCCAGATAATGAGATTGTGAGACTTGAAATTAAACATATCTTTTTAAAAAGAAGTACTGTATAGTAAGTAAAAAGGTTGTATCGGTACATGTATATGTACATGTTAGATAAAATATACCAGCACAAAAATGAAGTTAAACAATTATCTGAAACTTTGATCTAGTACTGTTCATGGGCAATTCCACGGTTACTCACGTAACATTTTTGATACACTTTTGAGTTTCCTTGGGCTGTAATTACCTTACTGAAAAGATTTAATAACTGTTATCTCCATGGTAGATAGAGTAGACCTAGACCTAAAGCACCAAAGATGACATCCAGAAAAAATGTGTTATGTATGATAAACAAGACGCATAAAATCAGTTACTCACGTTACATTTTCGTAACGTGAGTAACCGATTTTGTGCGTCTTGTTTATCATACATAACACATTTTTTCTGGATGTCATCTTTGGTGCTTAGGTAGGTCTAGGTCTACTCTATCTACCATGGGGATTAACAGTTATTACATTTTGTAAACCTTTTCAGTAAGGTAATTACAGCCCAAGGAAACTCAAAAGTACATCAAAAATGTAACGTGAGTAACCGTGGAATTGCCCTCATGTATTCACACCGCACGAGCTGTGCATGTACATGCACACGCAGGTACATGTACATGCACACTGTTACAATTAGTGTCCAAATCCAATTAATCCTGACCTCCATGAGTGATTTACTAGGAACCTTCCTCACTCTTGCAAAATCCAACACCATGCTCAACACCCAAACTGTTGGACTCTGATTATGGTGGTATGCTTGACCCCATGTAAAACATAATCAGTTTACCAGTGCAGCACTATTACTCCAACAGATTCCAACAAAATATGCAGTTGGATTTTGAAGGGTTGGGGTGGTTATGAGAAACAAATTTGCAACGAAAAGTAACCAACAAGAAATTGAAATAAAATTCAGTACATTGTGCATATCACAAGGAATTTACCTTCGTTTCAGAAAAGTTGAAAAATCGAATCCAAGGACTTAAATGTTCATGCTATTACACATGTTTGACAATATGAGAGATTACACATTTATACATGATTTTGTTTAGACTAATACAAAAATGAATGGAAACTGTTCAATATCCGAAAGTCATTCCACCATCTTTATACATGTACATACATGTACATCAATAACTTGTTAGTGGTCTTCTTAATGGCCTCCTTTGCTAAAAACAAGTTATACCTGTTTTGCAACTTCTAATTGGATTTTTACATAATATAATTATAATAATAATAATAATAATACCGGAGTCTTATATAGCGCATGCATCTACATTGTACCAACAATTAGGTACTCAAGGCGCTGGTAATTATGGTATTTTTTAAAGACCTGTAAATGAAGTTTATGAGAAATATGAGATCCATGCTTCTAATTATGAGCAACTGGCAAATCATGGGCTTACTGTTGCCTTACATAATTTCTTTGTTCGGCTGCTCGGCGCTATACACCATTAACCCTATAGTCAGTCATTATATCAGTTCTGTAATTTAAATAGAAACAGAAATGTTGATGCCCATCTGTATTGATTCACATGACAGTATAATGCTGTATGGCAAACGGTTGAATTGACCTCAAACTGGGAGATATGACTCTGCAGCGCACTGAGTCACTCCGTGACACATGCGGCAGGGGGCTTAAAATAGTCTCGGCCGAGCCACAAGATGATTCAATGCTTCCTCGAAGCAACAGAGATGCATTTTACTGACAGTAGTGAGAGTGCGGTTAAAAAGGGGGGACTACAGATCTGCGGCACAGGATAACTGATTCAATAATATGTGTGCATCTGTAATTGTAAAAATGTCCAGTGACGGCCGACAATTTTCTGCTAAACCACGAAATTACGGACCTAAACAAATTGCCGTAATCCAGCTTTTTGAACGAAATATTACAGACTGAGAATTTATCATTGGGAGAAAATACTGTTTCTAATAGACAACAATTCTTTTACAAAATTTCAGTAAATGGAAATGAAAAAAAGAAATGTGAAAATGAAATGGAACTCCTGAAGTACATGTAGGAAAAACGGAGTGGAAAACATGTAAAACAAAATGTCAGTAAACATTGTCATTGATATGTTGCCAAGTAGATTAGACTCAATAGTTGTTTTATAGACTGCACTGTTCCCTTTTTAGGAAAACCAATCATATCATATTTCATAAATTTACATGTACGATAAGACCTACTGGTACACGTACATGTAAGTAGAAAGCAGCACAAATATTAATCAATGTTGCTGATCCATGTAAACAAATGTCCTGGTACATCAGTATACATGTGCTGTACATGTGGAGTTGTCTTCGTTGTATTTTGTACAAAATCATTGATGCATTGTTTCTGTTTAATCAATATAAATGATTGATAATGGCCCGAGTCTTGACGTGTGGCACCAGGTCATGGCCTGTTGGAGTAATGTTCAGCTCTATCAATGGACCGTGGAACACCCTTTTAAACGTACTTTTTCCATTGCATTAATCGGACGCCTTAATTAGTAATTTCAAAATGTCATTGGGCTATAGTGCTGTACTGAGAATTGTGTACAAGGTGCTAGTGGGAACATTATTCATATGTACTCATGAATATAAATGTCATATACATGTACACATAAATGTCATATACACATTTCCCAAATTTTAATTTCCATTTAAAAAAAACCTAAAGACCATTTCAACCATAAAAGCAGTGTTTACAAAAAAATTGTTCCACATTTCCTTGATCCTTCTGTTGGACCTGTCGCAGATGACAACTAAAATGGGTGAGCAATCTTTGGTTTGGGAACTACAGAACAATTTATATAGGGCTCGCTCAATGACGGCCATCTCTGTGGGAGAACTGCAACTGCGTATTTTACGCAAACAAGCACGGATTACGCTGTGTTGAAAATGTTGCAAGCACGCGCTTGTTGCTCGCAATGTGTTTAAAATATGACATAGCCGATGCGCATTATGCAAGTTGACGCTCAAAATGCCGATGCACGTGGATGACGTCATTTGAACCAAGGGCGGATCCAGAACACAATTTTGGGGGGGGCCAACAAAATTTTTGGTTCCCCCCAAAAAGTGGGTCAAAAAAATTACGGCGTGGGGTTCGGGGCCCGCTTAAGGGCCCCGAAAATTTTTTGGATTTTAGATGCTCTGTGGTGTGATCTGAGGCGATTTCTGACCACTTTAACCAATGTTTTTTTTTGAGGAAAAGATGGTGGTGTACTCATTGCCCAGCCTTTATTGCTATGTCAAAAAGTGGGTCAAAAAAATTACGGCGTGGGGTTCGGGGCCCGCTTAAGGGCCCCGAAATTTTTTTGGATTCTAGATGCTCTGTGGTGCGATCTGAGGCAATTTCTGACCACTTTAACCAATGGTTTTTTTTTGAGGAAAAGATTGTGGTGTACTCATTGCCTGCCGTTATTACGATGTCACATAAAAAAAAAAAAAAATTGATTTCGTTTTGGGGGGAGGGGGGGGGCCATGGCCCCCTTTGGCCCCCCCCTGGATCCGCCCTTGATTTGAACAAGACCCTTACAGCAATTTTTGGAACTACAACGATTTATGTTTACAGCAATTGTGGTAAAAGGCACACTGTTGAATTTTATTTCAGCGAGTTGTACATATTTTCATCAGAAAATAAAGTGTGGGCCTTAAAATTTAAATGTATCATTCTGGGTGCTTTAGATTGGTGTATTCCAAAAAAGAATTGGGCAAGTGACAAACATCAATACAGTTTCGCAATGCTTTTTGCTCCCTGAATGCATGGCATGTCTAATCTACATATGGCACGCATGATAATATTTCAATCCCAGCGTATTGTATCCATCCAAGTTTGGGAACTGGATAGATACATGTGATATGGGGCTGGCCTTAATAACCGCAGGCTGTTATAACCAAATTGCTTTTAGCTTCAGTGATGCACACATAATGAGGAAGCAATGGTGTAACATAGACTTGTCCAAGTCAGCAGAACTAAAACGTACATGGTATGCAATTGATTGTCCATCATGGTATAGTCAGTTGATGTCTAGGTATCGCCTGGACATTCTCGTCTGGTCATGAAAAACCTGAGCCAACTTTTTCAATATTACAATTTTTTTATTTTTTTTTTATTTTGACATCCTGCTTTGAAATGTGCATTAAGAGCTGGAACCCACAATCCACCATGTGTACACATACGGTACAGCGGTATGTAAATACTTTTTTACGTCAACCCTACGTTTAATGTACATGTATGAGTATGTTTTCAACACACTTGGTCCTCTGGCTGGAAAATCAGCTACATGTAGACCATCACAGCAGTGAAAATCAATAAAGTGACTGTTTTTAACAGTAAGGATTGGGATTCCCTTCTTAATTTCATAAACATGTAGCAGTGCTTTGACTTGAAGTGATTGATCTGCCAGCTGTACCTACCAGTTACCTCGTATGTCTGTTGATGGAATTTGACTAGTCACAGAGTTTACATGAATGTGATCCGACTCGTTTCTTTACTAGTCTATGTACAAATACATGGCAGAGGAAGTTGAAAAAATATTTGACTGTCCGTGACTGGTCAAACAATAGGAGGGACATCTGACATGCTGTGTGCTGTACCGGTACCCGTGTTCATATATGTAATACAAGAATTGCATTGAAATAATCGTGATAATAAAGACTGTGTCAGTTGACAGTGTCAACAAATCAATACAGTACATTTATCCACAAATGTGTTTTTTTAATTGTGTACATGTATCTCAGTGTGTAATCTAACAACCGTTAGATTTTACTTGGCGCCCCTACCCCAGAGAATACGGGAAGAAATGTATAGGGAAGATATGTGACCGATTATCCCCAACTCCCTAGGGGGTGTGCAAAATCATATTAAAACGGGAGGATTCAGGACTGTTAGGGCTATAGAATGGAATCGGGCAATTGTGCGGGTAACGTTGCGGTCTGACCGCAATTGTGAAGAAAAAAAAACGTATAGGTGATTGGGTGATCCGATGCACTGGTCAAATTTGTGCACTGGGCGTCCAATAATGCGCCCTCTATTGATTAAAATTTACTTCATGCCCACCCCGCATCCGCGCATCCGCGCATCCAAGACGGAATGAGTGGGTAGGTTGGGGTTGGTTTTAGATAGGGAAATAAAGTAGTGGGTCCTATAGGGTAAATACAGTAGGGGGTAAATAAAGCGCCCTCTATTGATGACTTCATGCTCATCCACCGCGCATCCGCGCATCCACGCATCCAAGACATCCCAAGCTGTCTCACTTGGTATATATACTACGTACTTGTCAATAATTCACTCTCTATAGCGCCCTCTATTGATCACAATTTACTTCATGCTCATTCAACTCTTTATACCGCCCTCTATTTGTTGATACATCTACGTTCATACCAATACCGTATCCGGCCCCACGCACGCATAGGAGAAGTCTCATATACTAAAGTTGCTTTGTTCTCAAAGACAAAAGAGTGCCATTCTACTCAACGACCCCACTCCTCACATCGCATCCAACTACAAAAAAAACCTTTTCCGGCGCGGCGTGGCCCTGCCCCTGCATTCTATAGTTGCTCCGCACTTTCTGATTAGCTATAATTTAAAGCGGGTGAGTATGTTAAAAGCAAAAATAAACTAGCAGGCCTACAAACATGACAAACTAAGCCTATTATTATTAAAATCATAGTGAAAATCAAAATTTGACAAACTCACAAAGTTCTACATGTTTTTGTACATGGTGGAAGTGTGGCCTTTATTTATGGGGCTAGGGCTAGCCCCATTCTATGGCCACGCACTGGACTAAACTCCGTGCTCCAGTGCGCGGCTATTGATGAATGGGGCCAAGTACGGGCATAACGGGCAATATGCACCGACATGTAGGATGGAACGCCGTATTATCGCGGCACTTACATGACTTATCACGTTTCTCGTTCGGAATAGAGATTGCCCACTAACCTTTCTGAATTGTCCTGTCTTTTGTGTAGTATAACTCTTCCTTTTTAAATTAATATAAAAAAATCCGACGGTGGTGTGGTCTATTCCGTGTACGATGCCTGTGAAAATAGACATGCTCGGAGTGTGCGAACGGAGGTGGACTCCTTATTATCGCGGTATGTGGGAAGTGGTTTTTATAATGATCCCAACTTTTTTGTTCATAGTTAATGTTTGACCAAAATATCCCCTGAATAAAGTCTGATATTTTCCCTGTAACGTTCAAGTTGATTACAGACTATATTTCTGCAGGATGATTTCTTAAGACCCTGCCCTTCCCCCGACATGCCCGAAAGGAAAACACAAATCCCTGAGGCAAGTCTACTGATCGGCGATTGAGGGTGCCATTCACTTTACACGGTGTGCCGTTTTATTTTCGCTAATGCGCGGAGCTTATTTTGATCCCGTAAAAGTTGTTACGATTTCGCGCTGCAAATATCGTCGTTCGACTTCATTTTACATTTGCTTCTGAAGAATGGGAACCAGACAATGAAACTTTCATGGACAGAGCACAATTAAAGATTTATGTTAAAATATAAACGGTACCTTTGAGCAGACACGGTGAGGGAAAATTTTGCAAGTTTTGGAAAACGTTAATATTTATTAAAATCGTTAAAAGTCACGAAAGACACAACATTTTTTAATCGTCCTTTTTATAGAACTCGGTAGAAAATCCTTGATGACTGGTGAACTGGATAAAAATCGCCAGTTGAAGGAGTTTTGACAACGCAAAAAGAGAAATTTCCCATGCCGCAATAATAGGGATGCCGCGATAATAGGGAGTCCGACTATACTACAAACATGACAAACTAGGCCTAAGCCTAAATCATAAATGTGAAAATCAAAATTTGACAAACTCACAAAGTTCTAGGCCACATGTTTTTGTACAAGTGGCCTTGGGCTTTATTTACGGAGGTAGTCCAGTAAATTGGCCACATTTATGGGGCTAGGGCTAGTCCCATTCTATGGCCACGCACTGGACTAAACTCGGTGCTCCAGTCATGCCAGTGCGCGGCTAAGCCTAATGGGGCTAAGTACGGGAATGACGGGCAATATGCCTATGACTGTTCACTGTGCAAATGCTGTTCACTGCGTGACTGGCCACACGCACGTCAAGCAGCCGGCATTTTCATAGTGAATTTAAACCAATTTTTAACACACTTATATGCTTCAAATAACACACTTGAACAAGAAGAACTAATTCTTAATAATGTTTCAATCGATATCAAACAGAAATTTTATAATTTTTTACCTGTCTTGCTCATAAAATCCACAAACGAAGTATTTTTTATTCCGGAAGAACGTGTCGATTTGGCACACTACTTTTTCATCGACGACAAATGGTGATTACAAAAGAACGAGCACTTCGGTGTTTTTTGAAACGAGCAAACAAGAGTTGGAACTAAACTGAAAATTGCCAAATATCCGGCTTATGAGTACTTAATCAAGAATGACTCGTCCTTATGCTCTATTTTTGCTAGATTTTAAAGCAATGAATGTTGAAACCTTGTTCATCAACTACACGTTTTAATTCCGAATATTAATCAGTCTGTCAGCTGCTGTGAAATCTCTCGCTTTCTCGTGGAAATGATGAGACATTATTTAGGGGTTTGCTTGAAATTCGGCTTGCGTAATATTTTGAGTTTGATATATTTATTTTTGTCGTTAAAATCCACATTACAGGAAGACAGCGTGTGTTGATTCTTTTAAACTGAAAATCAGAAAAGCCTTCTGCACAATTCCTGGGTTTTTTTTAAATTGGTTTTCAGATGATTTAGAAATTAAAAGTCTGGTAAATTGAAATAAAGATGCGACTAAGACAAGTCTTTGAATAGTTTACAGCAGTTAGGTGGTTCTTGTCGAAGATTGTACCATTTCTTTTCGGAAATTCCAAAGTATATTTCACGAAGTTTATGATTCGGAAAGATGAATATCAAGCCTTTTGTAGTATCAATATGCGCATTATTTTGCATATAAATGTGTAATTCTATACATTTATCTATATTTGAGACTCATTTCAACATTAAAGCATTCAGATATAAGGGTTTCAAAAAACTACACCCCTACCGGTCAATGAAACAGTCGGAATGAGTTATCCAACATGGCAGCGAACATGGACGGGAACGTGATATGCGAAGATTTTCTACGATTTCAGGTAGTGTACCTCGCTTGTTTACATGCTTCTACAACTGGAACTGCCATTCAAAGCAGCCAGTGGCGATAAAAGATGTGTTGTTCGTTTGTTGGTCATGGCTGGGTGGTTAGGTGTGGTTATCCTTACCTTAAAAACTTGAATTTAGGCCTTGTTTAAAAAGGTTTGAACTTGTTTGTGGGGCATGTGGGGCATGTGGTAGCAATGTTAGAGGTACCGGGGGTCAGACAAGTCGACCGTTGAGACAACTCGACTCGGGACAAGTCGACCGTTGAGACAACTCGACCGTTGAGACAACTCGCCCGTATGTGCCATAAATGGAAAGACAAGTCGACCGTTAAGACAAGTCGCCTCGCATGTTTTTGTTGCTAGTTTTGGGGATAGTCGCGGGGATTTTAATTGACGGCGGCTGATCGCCGTTTGGGAGTGATGACACATGAGTTGTTTTTTTGGTTGCATATAACCATGATAACAGAGCCGATAATAGCGCAGCCGGGCCTGTGCGCGCACTTATCCCCGGTCAGCGTCGGCCGTACCGTGCACGGTGACATCGTTTATGCCGGGCCTGTGCGCCCACTTGCCGCCCCGGTCGACGTGCCCGCGTGCCGGGCCGGGCCCGGTCCTCGCTAGCGGGGCGCGCCGGCCCGACGCGACGGCCACCGGATTGGAACGCCCTCTGTGCGTCAAGTATGCCCGCGCCGCCTCCGGGATCGCAACTTTTTCCCGCTCCACGTGTATACATTTCCGTTAAGTCGAGCTGTCTCAACGGTCGAGTTGTCCCGAGTCGAGTTGTCTCAACGGGCGACTTGTCTCAACGGTCGACTTGTCTCAACGGTCGACTTGTCCCGAGTCGAGTTGTCTCAACGGTCGACTTGTCTGACATCCATATCCGAGGTACCGCGATATTGACATTTCCTATTCTGGTGACACGCAAAACTGAAGTTTTTCAAATGAATGTTACTGTGTCCCATCAAGCTACTTCAGCTTCAAATCACTCCTACATGTCGAGAAATATGTCTTCTTTTACACAATGGCAATAGATCGGGAAAGACATACCTCAATTTGTCCAAAACCAGAAGTTTCAGAGCGTGATTTTCAGGACGGCCGTCATGAGCGCGGCCATTTTGACACTAAGTTTGGCATTTTCATGCCTCGAAAATGGGTTACCGTTTTTGATTAATATCGCCCTCTCTTGACTTCCAAATCAATAAATACTGCCATCTATTGAACAGATAGGATAGGACAATCTGCCGATGCTTTTTGTTTCGTTTCAAACGGTCAAGAAATAAGGTTTTAAGGTAATTTTTGCCAATTTTTGCCAACTTTTGATCAAATTTGCCACTTTTTTCACAATTTAGATATGCAGAACATGGGGGGGATTCCTGTAAACCTATATCACTAAATTCCTTGGTCCTTTCTGAGTAAGAATATCTTGATTTTGTTCCTGCGTTTGATTGCGGTCTGTATAAATGTATTTGTTTAAAAGTCTTATGACAATCTCCGCGCTAATGTTTGGCCAGCCCTTGACGCAGTTGATGATGATGATGCGCTGTCATGTTTGCACCAGTAACTCATTGTTTTTTACGAATGAAACTCGTACACAAACGTCCATTCATGACCAACAAATGTATTTCAGTTGATTTCAAAATTATTGTTTTAATTTAATAATAATAAAAAAAAATCATCATGTTTTAACTTGATTAAAGGATTAATTTAATTACATCAGCAATAATAATGCATTTCCATTTGCTGCCAAAACTTGACTTGTAACCTTCGATGGGGGAGGGGTGGTAAGTACATGCTGTCAGACATACTTCTGGTGGAGTCAGATTTTTTTCCAAAGCCCTTTGGATTGTAGCCAGGGCAGGGAATATCAACAATTTTTCAATTATTGGAGGAAAGGAAAATGTCTTAAAAGGTGTGTCAATATTCCCAGTTTATTTTACACATAAATTAGTCTTTCTGGATTCATGCTTCATCACAAAAAGTCATGAGTGGATCTCCACAAGCTGCAGGAAGATCTTCCAAAAGGAGACCTAATCATTGAAGATCAATAAGGTTACATTAATATATATTACTCTTCCATCTTATGCAGAAAAAGTGGGGGGGGGGGGGCATAGGAATTGGGATGCTGATATAAGGGAATATCTGGAGGCATCACTTTCTCCTCAGTAGGTGCTGCTCCGCCCTGGTTACAGAAATAAAAACACACAATCAGAATAGTTTCACGAGTATTAATGGTGTGTTTCGGAAGACATAACTTCTGAACAGAAGCAGCTATGACAATGACCATTGCACCATTGAATTTCTCTCATCAGGCGCTTTAATTTGATGTATAGGTTGACTATATTTGAACTAAAATTGAATAGTATGGTTGGTTTTTAGTTAACAAATACATTAACTCGAATGACGACCAGAAGAGTTCCAGGAGTATGGTGTCTTTGGGAGAACATAACTTCTGAACGGAAGCACCTATGACAATGTTGTTTGCACCATTGAATTTCTCCCATCGAGAGCTTTAATTTGATGTATAGTTTGGCCATATTTAACAAAAAATTAAAATTCATGTAATAATGCTACATGTGGGGGCGCTGTCTGTTTTTGCTGTGCGTTGTATTGCTTCTTTGAATTGGCGCGGCGCGGGGGGGGGGGGGGGGGGGGGGGGGGAATTGAGAGATAAAAAAAAACATGAGTAGGGCCCTTAACTTGTAATGCAGTATCCTAATGCCACATATGTAGTATTTGTCATGTAGGCCTAATCTGTAATCATTGATAATTTCAATTTGAAATGGAATTAAGTTCCTAACGACTAAATTAGTAAATTAGGCCTGCAGTGAAAGTGCTACGCGTTGTTGTCATTTACAGACCACCCTATTCAGCTAACCATCCAGTTACAATGACTACATTTCTACAGGAATTTTCCGATTACCTGGAATCAGTTCTGCTGACTAGCGCACCACTGATAATTACTGGGGACTTTAACATTCATGTGGATGATGCTGACAACTATGAAGCAATACGGTTTTCTGAGCTACTGGAATCATTGAACCTTACACAGCATATTGAACAATCAACTCATGTTCTAGGACATACATTGGATTTGATCATTACCCGTAAATCAGAGACAATAATTGAACGTATGCCTGTTGTTGATTATTTATTCTCAGATCATTATTCCATTTTGTGTAAACTTATTTTAAACAAACCTGATTTATCTGTAAAAGAGGTATCTTATAGGAAGATTAGCTCTGTAGATATGGATAAGTTTAAGAATGAAATCTCTGAATCTGATTTGTGTAATACCGACTCAAGCCAAGGTAAATCTGATGATCTTGACCATTTGGCCATTTCATATAATACCATCCTTAGTGACATTGTTGATCATCATGCTCCTGTTGTTAAAACAATGATTATTGCTCGGCCCTGCGTACCATGGTTTAATGAGGAAATCAGAATTGCTAAGAAAATGCGTAGAAAAGCTGAAAGGAGATGGAGAACAACTGGGCTTCAGCGTGATTTTGATTTGTTTAAGTTGAACAGAAATAAGGTCATTTTCTTGATGAACAATGCTCGTCAGGATTACTATTCCAACTTGATTAATGAAAATAGTAGTGATCAACGGAAATTGTTTCAGGTTAGCAGGTCTCTGCTCAATCTTAACAAAAGCTCTCTTGTGCCACCGCACACCGATGATTCGATGCTTGCGAATGAGATGGGTAATTTCTTTGTTCAAAAGATTTCCAATATCAGGTTGAGATTGAGTAATGTGACCTGCTCACCTCAGTTATCTTCCTCCACACCCTCATCACTTAGGTCTGGGGGAACATTGACCGATTTTGTGCAACTTTCTGAAGATGGTGTTCGTAAGCTCATTGTAGGTTCTAGTAAGAAGTGTTGTATCCTTGACCCTATTCCAATGAAGTTACTTATGAGTTCTTTAGATCTGTTATTGCCTGTTATAACCAGAATGATTAATTCCTCTTTATGTACTGGTCATTTCCCAGCAGCCTGGAAATCAGCAGTGGTTTTACCATTGCTTAAAAAGCCTAGTCTAGACTTAAAGATGGAAAATTTTAGGCCTGTTAGTAATCTTCAATTCATATCTAAGTTGGTGGAAAAGGCAGTCGCACTCCAACTTCAATCTCATTTAACATTGAACGGTTTATATCCAATTACTCAGTCGGCCTACCGTAGTCACCATAGTACTGAGACGGCCTTATTGAAAGTTAAAAACGATTTACTAATGGCTATGGACAAACAACATGTTTCTTTATTAGTCTTACTTGATTTAAGTTCTGCTTTCGATACTTTAGATCATACGGTTTTGTTGAACAGGCTCCAGTCCAAGTTTGGTATTGATGGGACTGTTCTCCTCTGGTTTAAATCTTATTTGTCTGACCGATCTCAACGGGTCTCTGTTCATGGTAAACTGTCTCAGAAATTTGACCTTGAGTGGGGTGTACCCCAAGGATCCTGTTTAGGTCCTTTGTTGTTTATTTTATATACCAGTAGTTTGTTCGAAATTATTGAGACTCAACTTCCAGATGTGCATTGTTATGCTGACGATACGCAACTTTATCTTTCCTTTTGCCCAGATGATGCATCGAGCCAGGCGTCTGCTCTTTCTGCAATGGAGGGTTGTATACATGTTGTGCGTAAATGGATGCTCAGTAATGGGTTGATGTTAAACGATGATAAAACTGAATTTATTATCATGGGTACTCGCCAACAATTGGCTAAGGTTAATATTGACAGCATCAATGTTGGGGAGTCCAGACTTTCCCCTGTCTCCGTTGTGAAGAGTCTGGGTGCCTGGTTCGATGCTAACTTGACAATGTCTACTCATATCACAAAAACGTGTGGTACGGCTTTTTATTATTTACATAATATTAGACGTATCAGAAAGTATCTGACCAGGGAATGTACTGAAACGTTAATTCACTCTTTTATTTCTAGTCGGTTGGATTATTGTAATAGCCTCCTCTATGGATTGCCTGACGTTCAAATATCACAGCTTCAACGTGTGCAAAATTCCTGCGCCAGACTAGTCTGTAACGCTTACAAATACTGTCATATCACCCCACTGTTTTTTGATTTACATTGGCTTCCGGTGAGATTCAGGATTGAGTTTAAAATTCTGTTAATAACTTATAAAATTCTTTATGGTCTAGCTCCCTTATATTTATGCCATCTAATCCAAAAACGATCTTCATCCAATTACAATCTCAGATCTTCCAATGACAAAACACTCCTCAGTTACTCAGCAAGTCGAACCAAGGTCACCCTTGGTGATCGTGCATTTGAGTGTGCTGCACCTAAGTTATGGAATGCACTGCCATTAAATATCCGAGAAGCAAGTAGCCTGAATGTTTTTAAACAATTACTTAAAACTCATCTTTTTATGAGAGCTTTTTATTGATTTTTTGTACCCTGTATCAGTGTTCATTGTATTGTTGAATTTGCGTATACGTCTGTTTATTTTTTATTTATTTTTTATGACTGTAATGCGCATTTGAACATATTTTAAATGGAATTTGCGCACTATAAATTAATAAATTATTATTATTATTATAAGTTGCATTCCAAATTTGAATATTCATACAAATTGTGACAAATGTTATGTTGTGCAAAATCCATAGACTATTGCACCTACATCAGTACATGTACATGTATCAATTGTCTCTCCCCCCCCCCCCCATCCACTGCCCCACCCAAGATGTGGGGATTGTCACTTTTGATGTGACCAAATCCCCACCCCTGGGGCAAATTCATATCTCCAACATATATGGACTTGATGGATGGGCCACCCTAAACTGGTTGCATTTACATCTAGTGCGCCAGGCAACGGTAAACATTTATGTAAGTGACCCAAACCCCCTTCCTGTGGCTTGAAAAACGTGACCAAACCCCGACCTAAGACCTGGGGTGGCGTGGGGGGGGGGGGGGAACAATTGATAGGTGCAAGTGTGTTTTATATTTCCCTGGTCACATGGTCCAATTTGAGGTTTCAACATGATTGTCTTAAAATGCAGCCATATACTCTGCCATTTTTACCTACATGTACACCACCACTTTTGAAAAAGTGTAGACAATTTGAAACAGATGGGTGGCGGATGGTGTTTTTTGGTCAGTTTCCCTGCACAGTCATTATAAACAAGACATCTTGTTTGTGTTTCAGGATACATTGAAGAACATGCGCACCATCGACGACAAAATAATCTACGCACTGAATACCACAGTTCCTACCCAGTCCTTCGCAGGCCAGGTTGATGCCAAAGAAACTTGCAAAGATCTATACTCTCAGGTTTGTATGATATTATGACCTTAATATCCTTTACAAATTCAAGTTGACAAGTTTTTGTTGTTTTCTCTGTGTGTAACAGTCTCTATACAGTCTCTGTTTTCTTTATAATGGGGTTTCTACGTGTAGTACCCCTAACATCGTCCTTTTTGATAATTGCTTAAAACGCTAATGCATTGTATTCATGATATTTTATGGAGTGGTTTACAAGTTCTCATATGTACTAAACATTCTCCTGGTTTTTTTTTCATTTTGAAACACCCATTCTAGCTGGAGAAAGCTTACAGTCAGCGGGAGAATACAATCAGGGGATGCATAACACAAGTCTCCAGGACGGTGAATAGATTACGCGACCAGAGAACTAAAGACCCAGATAACGTAGCCATCAATAGAAATCTACGAGAGGTACGAACAAAGGTAACTCAAACAGCTAAAAAAAATTTTAAATAATGTCATTGCAAAAAAACATACAGAAAAATATACAGAAAAAAATACTGACTGCATTGTGTGTTTATGTTACAGCTGCAACAAATGCAAATGGAGCTCAATGTTGAAGAAATTGTCAAAGATAGAAGTTTGAAAGTAAGTGCAATGGAGTATGTATGGTTGGTACATTATATCATATAATTTTCCCGAAAACAAATATAGTGAATTGAACGAATAAAAAAGAAAGTTATTGTCCTTAGAGATAGAAATTTGGTTTAAATGGAATTAAACACAAATTACAACTTTAAACTCCATTGTCTTATTTATCTCCATGATTAGTCGCAAATGACACATGGTTACCTGTTGTGGACAGTATTTGAACCAAACGAAAAAAACCATGGTTGTGTTTAGCTGGGTGTGCAACACTAAAGGGACACTCACCAAATTGTATTTATTAATTGTACTATTTCCACTCGTATTTAAAATGTGTAATTGTGTTCTGTGTTCTACTCTCTTCAACCCCAGGTATTCCACGAGCGATGCAGGAACCATTACAGCCCGGCCAGTAAATCATCATGACGACGTATCATTCCCCGTTCCATCCAGTAGAAGACATTTTGTAGAGATATAATGTTCATAACGTCCTTTACATCTGTTGATTTTTATTGAAAAATATTGGACTTGATTCAGTGAGCAAAAATTTGGGTTTCAAACTTAAGTGTTTAATTATCATAGGCGGTTGCAGGGCTAACATAAAAAATACTGCCATTTGGTCTGTTCCAGTGTCATAAGTTTTAACTTGGTGATTTTGGGTGGGGAACACCCCCCCCCCCTCCCAAATTGGTCATTCCTTAGTAGGTTAATGAAGCAAAACGTGTTAAAACAATCCAAGGGCCCAAATTTGTGTTTATACCTAAGACAATTTGTTAAAACCAATTTTGGATTGAGCAAAAGTCATCTTAAGATTAAAAAATACTTTCATTTTGAGCACTATGAGATTATTTCAATTTTTAAAAAAAATTAAACTGGAATCAAAATTCCTGGAGTAAACCATGTGTTTTCAATTGTTTAGGTGTTCCTAGGCCCAGTTGGTGATGCTTTTAAGGAAATAAAAATCAAAACCAAAATAAATCATTTGTATTTTAGAGAGGCTGTTGCAAATGTCTCCATTTGTGTAAGTTGGTTTTGTGTGAGTGTATTTGTAAGGGAATTCCCCTTCCCACTCTGTCGCCGCCCCCTTCCCCACACCTTATATTCGCCCAGCCCACCGTCAGCAAAGAACATTACCAAAATCCGTCTTGCACTTCTTTTGAAACCGCCTTTTTCAGCAAAGTTTCAAAATGTCAGTAACAAATCTCTGAAACATTGAGATTGTCAATCATCACTTTTCCGGCCTCTCCTTCCCCCTTCCGCCAAAAAACTAGTGCAGTCTCATTTCTTAAAGTGAAAGAAAAAAATAAATGTCGCAACACAATTAACCTGAAGCATTATACTATTACTACAATGGATGTCTAAAATTTGAGATGGCCCCTTCACGCGCTGCGTGTGTTGCCCGATATGTTTTTTTTCTCGATAAGCTAGGGAGTAGTATTTGCGCAAGCGCATTCCGGTTGCAGTTTCGCGGCAAATTTGTGATCGGTTCGCGGAAAAAAAATATTCGCTGCTTGCTGCATTCTTATTCCTCCATGATTGAACGGAAGGATTTCCAAAGTTCTTGTGTAGGCCCTATTCGTAAATATATTTCTTTTATTTAAAAGTATAACCGCACACAAAGAGGATAACGGTACGTACATTTGACTTGATTTAGAGCATTGTTCTAGTATAATTAGGGACTCCCAGCCAAACATTCAACTACCAGCCAGGGCATTGCACTGCGGTTGAAAACACAGAGCTGACTGAGTGCAACCATCTGGTTTTTGTTTGAACAAAATCGGCCCAGGGGTTCAAGAGTTCCAGTCAATAAAGGTGACTGTCTGGCTGACATTTTGTGTTGCCTAGCAACCAAAAGTGCCATAAATCACCTTAATCGTTTTTGCAGAAGTCGTTATTTGCAAACTGAGTTGAACTGAGAATTACAATTGTGGAAATCCGTTCACATATATGCATTGTTTTCGTTACAGGAGTTCCAAACCCCAGAAGAATCTCCAAGTCGAGTTACAAAATTGTGAAGTCAGCCAGAAATCAGTGACGTAACCTTGCATAACTCAAGGTTCTGGATCCTGGGCCGCTTGGGAGTTATATAACATGACATAACAATGGACCATTGTCAAAAATTTGTATCCATAAAAGTATTGTGTTGATTTCCTTCATTTTTGAAACATTTGTATAAACCAGCCAACTCTTTCACCCTATCAATCTTGGGACTATCTGCCAGTGATGTCAAATTAATTGATTATTTTTAAAATATAACTTAAGACTTAACGAGAACATGGCACACTCCCTCCCAATATACCAAATATGCACTTTTGTAAAATGTTATGAATGCTTAAGTGTTTAAGAAGTAAAAGAAGGGTTAGCTAATGAAATAAACTAATTCAAAGTACACTTAATGTGAAAATTTTGAAATTAATTAGCATATTAATTAAGGTGTTAATTAGCGTAATGAAGAAATATTGACAATTTTTCATCTTGCTTCATACAAATTGCCCACATTTGTGTAGAACTAGAAGGGATTGAAATACAACTTTATGGAAGCCTTAGTAAAACTAAGTAATTTTTGTCAATGAATTAGCATATTAATTAGTTCTTAATTAAGAAATAATCAAACAAAATCATCTGAAAGTGTTCATTTTGTTTTACTTTGGGCTTCAAAAAATGACTAAGAAAACTGTGGAGATGAGAACCCCTTTAAAGCTTGAGCACACTGTAGACTACATGTAGTGACTATTGTCTTAGCCCTGAGGGTCAGCTCAGCTGTTTATAAGAAACCTTGAGAGGTGATGAATGACTCACCACAGGATTAGCCTTAGGCCAAGGGGTCAACAAAGCAAGCTGATAAGTGTCTCGTGTTATTGGAAGTACATCATGCGTGCATGTACATTTGTTAATGTAAACATTTTGTAAACCAGTATAGAAAACTGTTTGGGTATACATGTACATATGTATTCATCTTTTACAGAAATCTTAAGTCTGCAATTTGAAGCAAAATTAATTAGTATTTGTTACTAAGTAATGCCAACTGAGCATGCTAAGGATTATCGTCAACGCACGCACATGACGAACTTGTTTTTTTTTTGTGGGTAAAGTTTTCGTTTTTTCCCCGTTTTTATCGCTTGAAATCCAAAGAGCAATGTGACAATAGAATGAAATATTAGACAAGAAGAAAATGAAATCGTCAAATTAAAAATGACAATCTAGAAACAATCGTAAAATTGCCTACCCTTTCTAAATCCGCACAGTAAAAAAATGGTCCGATAATGCACTTTGAGTCGCAACAAAATACACAGTCCTGAATAGCGCGACCGCAACGCGGTCAGTCTGTTCCCACCCTGTGTGCTGCGCGTTACCGTACAAATCACGCGGACCACTAGGCACTAGACCGATGACTCATCATCGTCGACGTCATCAATGGCTTACAAACTCTTTCCCAGAGCCGCGCCTTAAAAGTGACCATAACAAAAATGTGCCTCGATCTCAAGGATCGACCCATGCATTGTTGGATAGAGCACGAGACGACCGTTCCATTGATATGCGGGGGAAGGGCGTACTCCCTAAAGATCAAAAGTTATTCGCTTTTAAAGGTTTTCTTTTGTTTTAAGACCTAATTAATATTCATGAGGCACAAAGTAACAGTCAGTTTTGAATAAAACCAAGTCTAAGCTTTAATTTGATACCAAGATTGTCAGAATTGATTATTGCTCCGAAACCCACCCTTCCTATAAAAATGGGTCCTACCGCTCATTCTAAGTGGACCATTTTGAGCGGCAAATTTGAAAGTCGATTTTCGCGTTTTCGTTCATTTTCGGGCGTTGTTTTCGCTTCATATCGACGTCAGATTGAGATCGGACCTGTTTTAAAGTGTGGAACACTGAGAATTTTGTACGTATCTACTCTGTTATAAGTTGTAACTTTGTTTCTAGTGAGAAATAATTTTTTGAGGCTGGAAATTACCGCTGGGAATGGCGATTTTTCCGAAGTTTTTATGTGGTGGCGCCCTTGCCTTTGGTATGCCTAGTATAATATAGAAAAGTGTCTGACATCGACAACTCTGATGATGAATGTCACTGTAAATTGTGTGTGACTGTGAGTGTGAGGTACTGTACATCATGTAGGCCTAGGCCTAGGCCTACATAGTGATACAGTACTATAGTAACATTCATCATCACTCAGAGAATGATTTTGGAAAAAATGTTGCAACCTGACGCCACTTCAGCGGTTTGGTATGGTACAAAGTGTATGGAGAGTCAAGAAGTATTTCCTAACGAAATTGGAAATGTTTCTCAGTCCCAGATTCATGTCTTATCATTTGTGCAATGATTGACCATCATGTCATGATTATGAGATGATATAGCCTATGTATGAGCAAGATGAGTATGAAGAAAAAAGTGGCGTCAGATTGCAACATATTTTCCATGATTTTATTTAACGTGTTGAAATGTCATGAATGTTTACCATTTTATTACCTGTTTGAATTATTAACCAAAAACCTTTTTAGTTTCAGTGAAACAATGTTTTTCAAATCAGAGGTAGGCCTATCTGGCATGTCTGGGGAAAAACAGACAGGCCTTAGGCTTAGGCATGAAGGCTGCTTAGTTATTTTTGGATGTAAAAATAAAATAAAAGACACAAATAAATAAAAAGTTTAAACAGTTATGACAAATACATGCATTGCTAGGCTATACCATGACACAGACACCAGCAAACTATTTTCCTTACTGGATAAGCTTATTATATACCAAAGCCGATTGGTCTACCATGTCTAGTGTATAATTTTTCCTTTTGCCTTTCATAAATTAATCACAGATGAAGTTAGATACACCCGAGATATCATGGCACGGTCGGGAGCCCATCTACAGCGTGGACTTCCAACCATGCAATCCCAGCACCAGTAAGAAGGAACCCAGACGACTGGCCACCGCAGGGTGTGGAACAGACAGCAACTTACGAGTTAGTATTGGTGGAAACATGTTTACTTTGATACTCTTACGCTCGGAACACGTTCTCAAGAAATAGTCAAATTTTTCGTAGTTTTGTACAAAATTAATAATCCATCGAAAATGATCCAGTTAATACATCATTCAAGTTTATCTTTGTGAACATCGAGAAAAGCTTTTCAGGAAGGTTTTTATCCAAATTTATAGGCGGGGATGTCAAAGTAATTCTTACTGTATCGCCTAGAAAGTTGTTGGGATTTATATGCAAACAAGATGTGAATTTTAGTGACACAGGAAGGCTGTTTGAGATAAACTGGATTTCCTTGTAAAGTATAAGGTGTGGAAAAGAGTGTAGAATTTAGATGCACCTTTGTGTATGTACAAAGTCTATTGGGAGAAATAGAAATCTGTTTATATAATTTTGAGTATTTTCTAATAAAATTTGGTTATGTTTCGAAGTCTGAAATTCATATAATTAATTTTTCCCCAACAGATCTGGTACATTAAGATCAACAATGAGGGAAAGGCAATGGCAGAGTTTGCCTCTAATCTGTCTAGACACACCAAGTCTGTCAACGTGGTGCGTTTCTCTCCTGATGGCCAGATTCTCGCGTCTGGTGGAGATGGTGGGTTCATTTGTTGCTTTATGAAATGAATGATAACAATTCTGATTCTAAATATCCTGCTTTGAAATTTCTCTCGTGAGACCTGCGTAGACAGTGCGCACAGAAACTTTCTTATGATGCAATTTTAATTTTTTTTTAGATATGAGTACTGTGCATTTTGGAAAGAATGTAGTATCCTGATGCCACTACTTTGGTTGTGTACAAAGTCTCTATAGAGATAGCCTTGGTCAATGCTCTCGTCGTTATTCGTCCCGTACGCGGTCAATCGTCGGCATATATCCTCACGCGCTATGCACATGCATGTAAAAATACAGCGCGAACAGCGACCTCACGCGGCCACTATTTTTATGCAAATCAGTTGGAGACGATGTCGAGCCTTGGTTCAATCGTCGGCCAAAGCTTATGTTTTTCTTTACTTTGCGCTAGATTTCCAGCGCACGACCTCGTATGCGAATACAGATAATGTAGGCGGGGCTAATATGTGGAGTGTCCAATCACACCTTGGTAAATCCGGACGTCATCAAATTATTTGCAGCTATTCCGGCTTTTGCGGACTTGACAGGAACCACAGTTTTTGTGCATTGGTGCCGTGTGCAGAGACACACAATGTGTACGTGTATGGATTATGTACGGTGCCACGTTTCACTATGCAAGTTTCCACGCAACGATCGACCAATAAGAAAACGACATTTAAGGTCAGCTAAGGCTATTAACATAATGAGCACCACCCCCAAAACCTCACATGGACGATTGAACCAAGGCTCGACATCGTCTCCAACTGATTTGCATAAAAATAGTGGCCGCGTGAGGTCGCTGTTCGCGCTGTATTTTTACATGCATGTGCATAGCGCGTGAGGATATATGCCGACGATTGACCGCGTACGGGACGAATAACGACGAGAGCATTGACCAAGGCTACTATAGAGAGTCTAGTGCATTTTCAAAGTATTTCTAACAAAATAAGGAATGTTTCTCAGTCCCAGATTCTTGTCTTTTCAACATTTCTGCAATGACTGACCTCCACGTGATGAAAAAAAGACATCAGGGTTCAATTTTTTTCCCGTATTTCTTCAGCAGGAACTTGAGCATAAACTGTGCAGTGTACTTAAGGTTGTGCGCACATTCAAATGGAAAACCAGTCACATACCGTCTGAACTTTATGCCTTTGTGTTGATCTTCTCATGTGCAGACTGCCTGGTCATCTTGTGGAAGTTGACAGACACCCAGGGAGGCAGTTCAGCGTTTGGCAAAGAAGACGAAGAATGCAAAGAAGGATGGACTGTACTCAAGATGCTCAGGTATGCCTCTCCAAAGCTACAAGTTATAACCTAACCCTCTCATGGATCCCTTGAAATCCACTCTGGAAGGCAACTAACAAAAGGCAAGGGGAGGGGGAGTTAGGATTGACAAGTCTCATGGGCAGTCCAGTGCTGGCTAGATGTCGTATATGGAAGCGTATTACTGCTACATGAAAAAAAAAGTTGCCTGGAAATTTTTGTTATAACAACTCTTTTTTGTGTGTTATTAACGGCAACAGTTGCAGAAATGAATTGATTGGCTGGAGTTGTTCAATTCTATTTGGAACTAGGACCCAGCCATCATGAAATACTTGAGTGCTCTGAATGGTGTCATCAGAATGACGACATTGCGAAGAATACAGAAATCTGCAAATTTGTATCGATCGTCGTAAATATCAGTCGGATATTCTGACAGTGGCACTATTTATTACAAGGCGTCACCCGTCATGGTAAAATGCACAGACGGATGAACGAGAGCTGTCTATGAAAATGATGAATTCTCTGGGGACTTCTTTGATAAAAAAGTGCTGATTCAGTTCTGTTTTCTGAAAGTCATACAGGTCAGCATCAGAGTATATATTATTTTTACAACATGGACTTTTTCACCACGACCTTAACGGAATGGTCCATAGCATTACCAAGGTAATTTGTGAGCCACAAATACACTTTAAGAAATTATGAAGAAACTTGATCCATTGTTTGTTTGAATTGTAGAGGTCACTTGGAGGATGTGTATGACCTTTCCTGGTCCCCTGATGGTAACCGTTTGTTGTCAGGATCGGTCGATAACAGCGCCATCATTTGGGATGTAGTCAAAGGTAGGGTTTGCTGGTACCTGGTTTGCACACACATTGTGCACTTGATTGCACTTGCATGAATCATGATGTAAAAACTACCAACAACTTGCCGTGTGTTTCCCTAAGTATTATTGTAAAATGGATGAAATAGTTGTCACTAGTGCCTCGGTGTGAAAAAGGCACAGTTTCTGTTTATCATGTTATTTTGTCAAGTATTATTTCCTGCCTTGAACTCAAAGAACTCTCAGGATTTTTCATGCTATTGTAGTTTGTTTAATTAATTAATGTAAATTTATGGTAATTCTGTTCAGGTGAGAAGCTTTTCATTTTTAAAGACCATCGTAGTTTTGTCCAAGGCGTGACCTGGGACCCACTGGGGAAATACTGCGCCACTCTCAGCTGTGATAGGTGAGTTTGATTTACTTTTCTTGGGTTTATTTTAATTGTTAAAAAGTATTGACTTACATGACCAGCCATCTGTAGCAAACAATACAAACTTTTGTGACTTCTCTCTGTGTAGGTCTCTTCGTTTGTACAACCTAAAGAACAACCGATGTGCATTCAACATTATCAAGATGTCTCTATCTACCACCACCAACAATGGAGAGGTATAAATCTTTAGACAAGTGTGATTTTTTTTGGTTCTTTTTTTTTTGTCATGAAACTCATTTTCCACTGAATATAAAAAAGAGTCAACTTGGATTAGCGAAATCCCTGGAGTTTTCAGTTCTTTCGGGTAGTATATTATACAAATAATGAATAATTATGAGTGCAATAACAAGAATAATTTCATGAGGTGACAGATGCAATGTTCCATTCCACAAGGAATTGAAAAGCTCCTAATAGAATACTAGAAATCCAGCATTTCACCACGCCAATAAATGTGTTGACAAACCATCTTTACACTGTTTCATTGCCTTTTTCCCAGGGCATTACGAAGCAGTGTCGCATGTTCCACGACGACAGCATGAGGTCCTTCTTCCGTCGGTTGACCTTTAGCCCCGACGGTCAGCTTCTGATCGTACCCTCTGGTTGCCTGGAGACGGGCGACGCGTCGTCCTCGTGCAACACCACCTACGTGTTCACACGATCCTCAGTTCCAAGGTAAATCATAGGATTAACCAAGGTAAACATAGCATTTACCAAGGTAAGTCATAGCATTTACCAAGGTAAATCATAGCATTTACCAAGGTTAATCATAGCATTTACTCATCCATCAATTGTTTCACCATCGAAATATCATATATTAAACGCTTCTTATGAAACTAGCTCACTTTATACCAATGAGGAGTTTGAAGACAAAAATGATTCAAAATTCATTGTGCTACTTTGCGTTTCTGCCAAAAGAGCGGCGACTGACTTTTCAACTTAATCATTTACTTTCTTAGTTAATTTGTGTTTCATTCGTTTTGTTAAATGTAACACCAAAGAACACCGATTCATTTAAATGTCTCATAAATAAAAATAATTAATTAATAATTCTAGTTACCCTAGTTCCTAATATCCCTAAAAAGATTCAAGCCCGTCTATAAAAAAAACCACCTGAAAACCACTCTTGTTCCCCACTATTGCTGTTTTTCAACATTTTTTCAGACTTCTTTTTTATTCTTATTTACAACTAAAATGAAACAACGAACTCATAACATGATATATATAAAATAAGGCTGCATAATGTTTATTTTCAGACCAGCTGTGCACCTACCTGGGTCATCTAAGGCCACATTAGCCGTCCGCTGTTGTCCTGTGTTATTTGAACTACGCAGACCTGCCGAGGAAACGCAAGATGAAAAAGAAAGTTCAGCAAAGGAGGGTATGTAATCTTCCCTGGTTTAGGCATTAACATCATCTTATCTGCATTTGCTATATTTGATCCATGCATAGTATCGAGTCCAGAGAGAGTAGCCAAAATTTCAAGCCTTTCTCTGTTGGATAGAAATGATTTCTAAACCCCTAAGGGTCCGTCTCAATTCATATCCGGGATGAGTTCCGGACAAGTTGCAGGTAGAATCATTCACTTTGTCCAGAAGAAGCTCTGCATTTGCCCTGAAACATGTTCCGGGAAAGTTTTCATTAGCAACTGCTTGACTCACCAATACTGATAACTTTATTGCGAGAAGATTGCGGGGAAGTTGTTTCGAGTCCTGCAACTTATACCCGATACAATGTCCGCAACTTGTCCGGAACTCATCCTGGGTATGAATTCAGACAGGCCCTAACTCCATCAGGTTTTTTTTTCTAGTAGCTTTCCTAAATTGGTCATAATTCGCTACTGTATATGGTCCAAATAAAACCTTTTGTTTGGTATCCAAAGTTTTCAAGGGTCATTCCATTGATTTGTATTGGGTTCTTCCTTCCCTATTTCTGCATCTTCCCAAACATTCTGTTGGAATTTGAATGATTTGAGAGGGTTAAAATTTACATCCCCTGCTTTGTCAATTTCTAAACAACATAATTTCACAATTAACATTACACAGAATCAATGGATACATCCGAAGCCACTTGCCAAAAGAATGAGCCCACACAGGAAGAGAAGGCTGATGCTGTGAAGCAAACAGCGCCCTCTACCGACTCGGTCAAAAGCAGCGAAGAACCTCAGTCTCTGTTTAGGTAGGGCAATACCCAAAGATGTACAAAATCAATCACCACAAATTTCTAATTAAATTATTTTTTTAAAAACTTTTTAAAAGCTCTTGCATTAAAATATCGTTTAGAACCATTTTTTTAAAAACAAATAGTCAGGTTTACTGAAAAAAAATAAACATTTTTATTTAGTTAAGTGAATTTCAATACATTTTTGGTTTTTATATCTGGTTGCCTATCTCCAAGTTGCAAGTGGAGCTGTACCTATCTTTAGTTGAAAGTACAGGGCCCAATTTCACGGCGCTGCTAAGCACACGATTATGCTAACAGAGCCTCCATCTATTTCATGGAGACTGTAAGCATAAGCACAGCTAAAGGCACGCTTACTTCAGAGGAAAAATTTGCTTAACTCAGTGACGAAACAATACAAATCTCCATGCACGCGCGACCGTCAGCACGTCCACGCCGTGAAATAGTGCTTAAGGTTAGCAATTTTTTTCTGCTACGCTAAGCACAACTTTTCTGCTAACTGTTAAGCAGCGCTGTGAAATTGGGCCCAGGTCACTGAAGAATGATACAGTCGAATCTCGTTAGTACAAACTCTGTTAATACAAAATTCTGGCTATAACAAACATAAAGCCTTAGTCCCGACTGTGCATTTATGTGCACAATGAATGGGAATGATGTTCCTCTGAATACAAAATTCTGATATAGCAAACAATTTGGCTAGGTCCGAACGAGTTTGTATTAACGAGAGTCGACTGTACTAAGTTGCATGGCTGTACATAATTTGGAATGTCGACCATTTTGTCTATAAAGTCATGGAGTTTTCTTGAAAGGCTAAGGTCTTATCTTAGATCGCTTGTCAAGAGCTTTTGTCTAGCTCTTCCAACTACAACTACATGGGAACATGTTGACAATACCCATAGCTGTAGCTTTGAACACCCATAGTGGGACACGGCCTTGGAGTGAATGTGAACTATTTCCTTCTTTTGCAGCCTGCCGTACAGAATTGTCTTTGCTGTTGCTTCCGAGGACAGCATTCTTTTGTATGACTCCCAGCAGACTATTCCATTTGCGTTCATCTCCAACATCCACTACCACCAACTGAGTGATGTGACGTGGTAAGTGTGGTATCAAATTTCAACTGTTTGTCTTAGGTATTGATGAATATTTAATTAATTAATGTAACGGGTTAATCTTGTCCATGCCATGTGAATAATTAAGTCATGACATCTTTCATTGGTCAATACTCAAAAAGTACAATTTAAAAAACAACATGAAAATAAACAACTCTGTCTTTGGCAGCTTGTCAAATTAAATAAAATACCTGGTTTGTTTTTTTCCTGTTTAAAATTTAATAACTTTTTTAAATTTTATTTTTCTGCAGGTCAGCCGATGGTCGAATCTTAGTTGTTTCCTCAACGGACGGTTTCTGCTCATTGGTCGCGTTTGAGGAAGGTGAAATTGGTGTTCCTTACAAAAAAGCACAAGTGGTTCCCCTGGCAACGGTGGGGTCAAAGGTCACTGCACCAACTGAAGTGTCATCTGCTAAACTTGCAACCAATCAAATTCTGCCCGGCCAGGTACCAGCCAGCCAGCACCAGCCAGTGACCAATGAGACAACGGCAGGGATGAATATTCATAAGGTCACAGCCAATCAGGGAGGGAGTGTGCCTGTGGTTGCTAAGGTGGAGCCCAGGAGGATATCTCTGACAACACTCGGCACCAACACTGCACCAAAAGCAACAGGGTAATATAATGCGTCTTTCAGTATTTCTGGAATGGAATTGAACAGAAGTGAGAAATGGATTTCACAGGGCTATTTTATTTTGAATTCCTGTCACCACAAACTCAAAGTCTGTGTTTTTTTTCTTCAGAAGTTGTCCACAGCCGAGACGCATCTCAACCACGCTGCTGGCTAGTCCGCCCTCCAGTCAACCTAGTCCACGCCCTCCGGCATCAGCCAATCAGAGCCCAGTATCTGCTGGCCACAGCGCCCCCAGTGGGCAAGCACAGGCACTCCAGAAATCACCCCAAGGTTTGTCACACTGTTTTGTTTAAATTGACAATAGTCATCTCTAGTAGTTTTCATGGCTCGTTTCTTATTAACCCTCCTATGCAAACATACACTCTGTGCAAAGCTGTCCTTTCAGTCAACATCAGTCAAGTGACTGTTTTTAACAGTTAAGAGCCCCCAGCCTACATAAAGCAGGATTGACTGGCTGTGACTGTTTATGTAACTTGATACAGCCATGCTTTGACTGTGGGTGATTGATAAGCCAGCTGTGCCTACCACTTACCTGTTTTTGTCTGTTGACTGAATTTGACTAGTTGGAGTGCTTGCTTGAAATATGATCCGACGGTTGGTGACTAGCCTGTGTCAAAGGCATGGCAGAGGAAGAGGATGGACTTTTTGACTGTCTGTGACTGTTCAAACAGTAGGAGTGTTAAATGATATAGACGTAAAGAAAATTTCACTTTTCCGCCCACAGGTGTGCAACCAAGACGTATCCAGCTTACCTCGTTATCGTCATCCAAACCTCCAACCAGTGAAGTACCCCCAACAAACAAAGACGTTCCTGCACCAAACTCTTCAACAGCTATCACAAATTCAATTTCCTCTAAAACCGATGTCATACCTACAGATTTAGCTTCCCCAGGAAAGAGAATGGCAGAATCCATGCAAGACAACAGACAGATTGAGGAGGCTGTTAAAATGCCACAGGGTGACACTCCCATGGAAGGTGTTACTGAATCTGCACAAGAAAGCAGTGACAAGGAAGTCATCGTGATAAACTGAGAAAAGCCCGATAAAAATGTTCTGATAAATCTTGTCTTTTAATAAACTGTACAAAGTTATGTTACAACTGTGACGTATAAAAAAAGGTTAGGTCTGAAAAGGTAAACCTCTATGTACTGTCAGGTACTTCAATTTTGTTTTCAGCCAGAACGCTTTGCACAAAATGGTTTGTTCTTGGGAGTAATATAAAATTGCTCTATGGTCAAAAGTGGTGCTCAAATTACTGTGAAGTTATTCTAATAAGGCTTCTAACAAGGCTTAGAATATTGAAAGTGCTTCAAATGGTGCTTTTATGATTGCAGTTTTGCTAGTTACAAAACCTTGATTTAAAAAAAGAACCTTGAAAGCTATACATAACATTTTCAGTGATTTTGAGAAATATGACAACTTTATAAAAAGTTAGGTATGTTAATTCCAACTGAACATGTATCAAAAAACATTGGCCTCTATTTAGTATACTATTTAACCATTTCAAATTTAGGCATGTATTTTTTACATGTGCATAATAACTTAGTTCCAATGTTTCAGTTTTATCTGCAAACAATAAAGACAGTTCAAACATAATTTCAAAGTGGAATGTCATTTACAAAATGTGTGTGTGCCGATGATCTGAAGTATATTAATCTACTAACGGAATCTTTGTACAAAAGTACCCCTATCTGGTTCTTTTTTATCAGAGTTTCTATCGAGTTGAAAATACAGAGTTGAAAAACAGCCTTCAAAATAAAAAAAATAATGCAACAGGCATAAAAATACTTGGTAAAATGTTTTGTTCAAAGATGGTTACCAATCCTCAGCCCCCATTCAAGTTCTACACTTCGGAATTGCACCTTTGCATAAAAAAGGAATAAAACATTCATATGAAACCAAAGTTTTACTACAGGATTCTACAAAGTGATTGAAGTTTGTTACTTGGGGAATCTGGTGTTTCCTTCTAGTGTTTTCTTCCTGCAAACATTTTTGCATGATTTAATAGCCACTCCCCCTGCACCCCTGCCCCCTATCCCCTACCCACCGGCTGTTTTGTCAATGGCTCGGACAATGGAATTTGCCTTTAGCTGGCATTCCTGTTTCAAACTGTGCCCTTCGCAGATCACAACCATGCAACTTGCCCCCATGAATACTAATTCAACATCAAGAGATTGAAGAAAAATCTTCAGCCAGCTTTAGACTGCGACAAATCTCCGATCGTCACATCCGAAGGGGAGGCCCAGCGGCATGGCCGGTTCCCAGCTCTCCAATACTCGTACCGAGTCCAGTTCCTCCTTGTATTTCCGCCTTCTTTCCTTACTTGTATATCGCTCGCTGGAGAAACAAACATTTGAAAGTTGAGTTCAGGGTACCGAGTCCAAAATGTAATTTAGGATCTATCGTCGACCACAATCGCCAAGTGATGAGGAATTTCAATTTACATTTCACCATTAAAATAGATGCACTTACCAAGGGTAAGGTGGAAGCTCTTGCAAGGGAACAAATGTGTCGTGTTTTCTCTTCGGTGAGCCACTGGGGTTAAAGAAAAATGGATACTCCGTCAGGAATTTAGAAAAAAAAAGTGATTGACAATAAAAAAATGTTCTATTCTGTAAACTTGTTCTGTGTGTAACTTTATCAGATTATTTAATTAACCCATGCATTTTGAGCCTTGTTATTACTTGGGTCAATATTGGTCAAGACCCCCATTGGTTTGTTAACAGTAGGCCAGGAGGTGAGGAAGGAAATTTTGACTGTGACCTCTTAAATAGCAGGAGGGTTTTAACCCACCTAAACCTGTGTCCTGCTTGTTAACTCTATTTACACTCTACTTGCATGATGGGTGCTTGTGTTCTTGAGCAAGACACTTAACCTCAATTAGATAATTATTTCTCACAATATAAGAACACTTATTATCTGTCAAAATGTTTCACCATGTTGGTCAGACATGGGAAGGCTGCTCCTTATCCCGAAGAGCCTCGGCTCTCACGAAAGGAATAATAAACAAACCATGGAGGATAATCAAGTTAAGTGCATTCAGATTTCTTTCATTAATTGACTGACTGTACAATAATTACAGTGACTACATGTACATGTATTATAGCTTCTTAGCTTACCCAAAGTTGACAACAGGCCTGGTCGAGCCAAACTTGTGAAACTTTGGCGAGTATTCCGATGCCTGGTACGACTTGTCACCAGGGGAGGCTTCTGGGAAAAATCCTCTCCTCTCAAACGTTCTTGGCACTATAGGAAACCGCAAAATCAAAAGCACGAGGTTAACACCAGTAAATAAAATAGATATCACTGAAACAAATTTGAGTGAGACTGAATCACAAAGATCTTGTAAATGACAGAGTCAACTAGGTGATACATTCCTTGCCTTTCATTCTGTGAATCTGGTTTAAATCTCACAGAGGCTTACATGTGGATTGGGTTTACAGTCCATGGCTGATTCTTTGTGTTTTCCCAGGAAAATCATTCCAGGGTTTCCTCCAGCATCTGAAACTGAACTTTGTTTTTCTCTGTCATCTTCTCCCCTTTTTGTTTCGTCAGGCTTCCAAGCTACAGTGCCTGTACAGCACTCTTGGTTCTATTCAACGGAAAGAATTATAGTTAGGGAAAAAAACACAGCTTGTGCAGACTCACATTTTCGATTCATTCCCAGCAGGGAGGAGTGTGTCACTTCTTTTGTTGAAGTCATGCTGGCGGGATGTTCCTTTTCTTCCGGAGGGGCGTCGGCTGGAAACTGACATCGTCGACCGACATGAAATCCCTCGGGATAGAACGACCATTCCTCGTTTGATTTGAAATGACGCCCTGAAAGTGAACCACAAAATGTTCAGAAAAAAAAAGAAGGTTTTGCAGTGCGTCTATGCATGAGCTGTTAACGGTTAGGGGTGCTAAAGTCTACGCTGGTAAGGTAAACGAGAGCATTTTGGCAAATATCTATAGATCGGTTAAAGGAAAAATACATCATTTGCTTTTGCTGTAATTTTCAGAAATGGATGGAATTGGGGGGTTGGAAATATATAGCAAATATAGTTACACTGACTTTTTTGAGGTTTTGGGTTCGAAAATGCTATAAAAACCAAGAAAAACAATCATTTTCCTGTAGTCTGGTTCCCTGACTCCATATAAGAAGAAACAGAGCAGTTTTCATACATTGGGGAATTGTAAGGTCAGGGAACCAGTCTAGCTGGCTTGTACCCGTTCATAGGTGTGTAATCGATTGCAAACAAGTGCGATGGTCAATTGGGGCCAGTATTTAAAAAAAAAGCCAGTTTTTTTCCAACGCTGGTCGGCCGACCAGCGTTGGAAATTGATACAAAAATACCACTTTTCTTGAAAATGACAGTATACCAGGTGCCATGATTTTACAGGATGCTTTACACTGTCATTCACTAACAGTCCAGCAAGGTATTTCAAAATGATTTGGTAGTTTTATTTTTTGATGTTTGCAAATGTTGTATTTTCCCTTTAATGAAGATTTATGTGATAAATAACCTTGGGTGAATAGCATCCACTGTATGCAAATTAATTACAGGGTATCTGAGGCACTTTGTGACCCTGACCCATATAATTGTCTGTACTTGGTTTATTCGTGGTTTTGATGATTGTTGCCTAATTAGCCAAACATTAAATTACTCAAAGTTGGTTTTTGTATTACATTCCCTTTCATTTTCTTCTTTTGTTGCGTTTGTTGGGAACTTTTGTATGAGATCTAGATTGCCACTCTTCTTTAGATTAAACTGCAGAAGATTTCATTATATTCCCTCAGTTCACATTGAAAATTGTAATGTCCCCCTCTAGAGAGTTACTCTATGCAAATGTTGTGTAGAACTTCAAAACTTCTATTAAGATGGAATTTTGCCTCGGGGTGATATAAATCAAATTATAAAATTGATTTTTGAAAATGTCTTAGACATTAATCTGCACTAGAAAGCAGGAGGTCGTGGGTTCGAGTCCCACCCGAGGGATATTTTTTTTCCAACTTTCACTCTGGAGGTAACCCACTGAGTATACAGTGTTTAAACGTCGGTGAAGGGCAAAAAAACTAATTTGATTAACTTCACAACTTGTTTCAACATTAGGCTTTTTTTATATTGTCTTACATGGGAAGCAGCGAAGGGAAGGAAGTTTATAATCCTCCCTTGGTTCAGGTTCGGTGGGAGCTGGGATGTATCGCAGACGAGACGACCAGTCGGGGCCCTCCCTGGAAAAAAAAGGACCGGACAAATCAGTGTTATTTTCATGAAGGGGACAGGGCACGAGCTGAACTAGGTGCTGTGATCGTGCAACCAATTACCTTCCTTCAGTGCACTAAAAAGAAAGTGAAGATTAAAAGATTCAGGAAAATGTGTTAGACATTAATATTTTATTATTATTTTAAATACACTGAGGTTTATCTGTCAATTGCAATGAATTTATCAGCTAAGTTCAGATTTCAACCAGCAGAAATGCTGCACAAAATATTACCCTTTTCCAGCTGTTCAAATTAGGCATACAGTCCAAATTTGTGAAAGTACATGTAATAAACTTGTAGTACTAACTCAGAATATTTGACTTGAAGACAGTGTGGGTGGGGCTGCCAGTCTGGCTGAGACCCATCCCCGTGGGGTAAGTAGCGGCGCCCTCGCCCCGTGGGTTGCTCATGGCCTCGCCTCTCTGCATAGTGACGCCTCTCACGTTCTGCAGATGTATGAATATAAAGTTCTACGTTATTTCTTTGCAAATGGCAAGTGAAAACCTCTGTTTGTAGTTTAATATAAAACTGCTAATGAGTAAATTTGTAAATAGTAGGTTTAGATCTAGGCCCTAGGGAAAGATTTCCATACCTGGAGGCTAGTCATCACTTGACATAGTGCACAAACCCTGTAAATTATTGAGGCTGGTCTGAAAATTTGTGTTTTCTCAGTGCTTCAATATTTTCCCTGCTAAATTTGACTTTTTAGGACATTATTATCACTTTCTGATGGCTGATAGTGATAGGTCACTGCAGGGAATGATTAGTGATGGCCAGATACGGAAATCTTTCCAGATCTAGTTCAGTAAAACTTACGGGATTAGTGCGGTCAATTCAAACCTAACTATCAATTTGGCAAATTAGTTCAACGTGTTTAGTTCAATGTATTAAAAAGTGGAAAGAAGAAATTAAACGTAAATTAAGCACCTACCTTTTCGCCCTGGCACCCCTATCTCAGTAATGACATGAAGTGACATGTCTCAGTCAGCCCGGAAGCTATAAGTAATTGCAATTTCTTTTAACTTTGTCTTTTTTACAAATCACATGAATGGAAAACACTTAACTTCATCAAAATGTCAACAACTTTCTTCACGTTCTCGTTGTGTACAGCTAGCTGGCATTGACATAACAACTGTCGAAAGAGGGCGCTCTTCTTCTTTACTGGCGTTGCTTAGTTACTCGGGATGAAAAATAACATGTTCATTATTATTAAATCTTTATATTGGTACCGAACTTTTCAATTCTGAATGTACTAATCAGCCTAAATATGGTTATTTTAAACTTTTCTTTTTTGTTTTGTTTTAATTTAGATAGTGCAAATGTGTTTCCAAGGCCTTCAAAGCACACCTGCTATCACAGGCCATAAAACACCTGCTTAATAACTATGACGCCTCCAACGCCGCGCCGGTGTGGACGGTAATTCTGTCCCCCGGTAAAAGTGTCCGGGAGGACAGAATTACCTAGGTAAAAGTGTCCCCCCGGACAGATTTACCGGGTCACGACCCGGTAGATCTGTCCGGGGGGACACATTTACCAGGGGGGACAGAATTACCTGCCACACCGGCAAATACTCTTTGTAAAGGCCTATTTGAAACCTCTGTAGTTGGGACGCAACAAAATTGTTGACAAGACAGTTCGCAACAGTTCTTCAATAAACACTCTTCACTGAATTTGGAGTGGTTTAATAACGATTAGGTTTTTGTGTTTTTGATACACTAATTTTGATTTATACATCTCAGCCATCCGGGAGGAGTGTTTTCCTTCCTCCATGCATCAGCAAATTGGACGAAAAGCACCCAAATGAAATAGCGCCCTCTATTGTCAACCGAAAGCGTAACGTTGCCTTGGCCGAAGTAAACAAAATAATTTGTTGCACCGTAGACTGAGTGTTTTGAGGTTGCCTAATGTACGTATTTAGTTTGATCTCCGTGCTGAATGATAAGACTAAGGCATATTCCTGGTGACCCATTCTCAATTATCTTGCTCAGCACGTGAATTTCAGTTTTTCTAGGTAATAATTATGAAATCTTTATGAATGGAGGTTTACAGCGAGCACATCCTTACAAGCCAGGGCAGTGTCGTAAGACGTAGGCCTACGCAGGTACCCTAGGTGGCACGCGAGGATGTGTATGCAATTAACTTGACGTTCGTTTTAGGCCGTGTGACGATTGAGGAACAATCAAACATGACGATTTATCCTTTTCTAAATGCACTGGTCCGACAGCATCATGGTCTGGCCGTATAACTTAACTACAGGACATGTAGGTGAACAGAGCATCCTATAGCTCGTCCCATCCTCCAGCATCACTGCTGGACCGTAAAAACTCCCTCCATAGGTCGTGGAAGCAGTGAACAAAAGCTGGTTATATATATCTGAGATTTTCGCGATCATTTCAATGTGAAGGGCTTTTTATGAGGCACTCGTCCCAGGCGCTCACTGGAGAATAATATTCAGTGATGCAAAGACTTAATTAAAACTCACACAGCTTTATGCACGTTCATAGAACCGGGTACCTTTTTTTATACCACATAAACCACAACAGGCATGATGCACCTTCGAGTATTATAGTTCCTGCTAATGGACAGCAGCGCGTGCGACTGACGAACTCTTCAGCCGTAAATGGGTACATCAATCAAGCGGCAAATCGCTCCTGTTTCAGCGACCCTAATATACCGGTATAAGTCGCATAATTGGCGCTAAATGGCCCTCCTGACTTGACACGGCAGAAGGGCGCGATCATAATCGGCCTCTGTGATCGCCACCGCAGTCTGCCGTAGTTGTGAGGCCTCCTCTATAGCCTTCTCGAGTTGGACCATCCCGTAAAACTCACGGCAGTGCTTCCGTGAACTAAATAATGCCGACACTATTATGTCTTCCGTACGTCCTCGGTAAATAAAAAAAACCACCAAAAACCAAAAAACTTAACCCTATCCTTCCTCAATCCTCCTAAATCCCCCAGGCGGTTTTTGGAGGATTTTGGAGGATTGAGGCTAAATGGCATAAACTGTTGGTTGATTTTGGAGGATGCACTGTGTCGATCGAGTTCGTAGGCTGTGTGTTGTTTATGTTCAACCACGCATTGAGCCCTGCCTTAATATCATTCGCACTGCTTATGAATGTCATCGTTGCTGCCTCAACGATTGCCAAATGATTGTTGGGGGATTTTGAAGGAAGTTGAGGCAATGGCCGCCCCTCCACCGAACAACTTCAGGAAGTAATTACGGATGATTTTTGGAGGATTGAAGCTGAATCCAATTTTTACATGGTGGCGCAGTTGGAAGATTTTGAAGGATAGATTGAGGAACCATCCTAGCCAAAAGGGCCTGGGGTATTAAGAGTCGGAGGTGGTGCCTTAATTCACTTTTTATCTGTGTATAAGTCTGTTCCACTTTCAACTTGAACCAGTATTTTATTTTACGAAGCACAACTGTTCACCTTATCCCCAGTAGATAAGTCACTGTGAAATCGACACAGGGTCTACTACTTGATAGGCTATCGATTGAGGGTGGCATGGGTGGCTATAGTGCGTATAAAGCGCCTCTCACCACTGTGGCCCGGGTTCGTTTCCCGGCTAGGCTCGGACCATATGTGAGTAGAGTTGTTCGTTGGTTCTCTCCTGTGCCACGAGGGTTTTTCTTCGGGCTCTCCGGTTTTCCTCCCTCGCAAAAATCAAACCCTTTTGATCTGTGGCTGTGCTCCGTGGTCATACATGGGTCGTATGGTGGTTGCCAATAGCGCCTGTACATGTCTTCGGCTCGTTATAGCCGCGTCCTTTGCAATTCAGCTTCTCAGCTGCGAGTAAGGATGATTTCGCCCCTCCCCCTCCCCCACAAACACCCCACCCCCAGTCCCAATTCTTATCTTTATACTACATATCCATTTTATGATCCACGCAGTTTTGTGTTCTGAGGTGTCTTTATCATGTTCTCATCTCTCTCCATTTTGTTGTAAGAGGCAAGGCTTATATTGTTCTGTCTCTCTTATCCAAGTGCGATTACTAATTACTCTTCTCTGATGCCTCAACGAATAGATGACGGCACTCGTGGAAAAGATTATTGTATTTTCGACCACGCCCACTCCATTGGGTCTTTTGGTGGTACTTAAAGTGACGATAAATTGTACGGAGTCTCAAGAAGCAGGACATGCTTCGGACACTGATTCTGATTTGTGGCAGAATAGTTGCAACAGAATTCGACCAAAAAGGAGAAAAAATCAGCCGGTGCAAAAGGACATTACACTGTAACATTTGGATCAAAATCCGGTGTTGTCGATTTGAATGGTGTATTTGAATTTGAATGCCGCTTTTATAATTAATTCATACAGCATCATTTAAGGGTTACGTGTATGTGAAAGGTCACAGGTACCGTGACACTCTGCTGCCACCAAGCGTTCAGATAGGCCTAAATTCTTAAAAAGAAATTATTTGATTGCGTGATGCGCTTGCATATTCTCCGGCTTTCTTAAATGGCATTCCCTTCATGTGCCCATATACTTGCGTTCTATCTCTTTCCCATTTTTCTCTCCTTTACCCTTTGATATTCGGGTGAAACTACGTCAGAAAATACAGAAAGATCTTTCATAATTTCACTGTCTGATGTTTAGAAAAAATTGGTACCCAAAAAAGTTGCGTGACGGTTCACAACAGGAAACCTTAATACCGCGCTAGGACCACCATTCATCAATCCAGCGTGTTGCCGACAAAGCGTACCGACACGCCGTGCTCCAGTTTCGGCAGATTTCTTCAGAGACAAGATCAATCACTATCAACTCGACACTTCTCCTTCCCTTTTTTGATAACATCAATTGAAAGAGAAAAATTGATTTGGGGCTGTACTTTTGTTCCCGTGGGGGATTAACCATCCTTCCCCCACACCCCCATCATCCTTTTTAATGGAACGGTGGACGATGCCGATACCTCCCCTGTGCCCCACCGTGTGTGTCCCGCTACGCCACCCAGCTCTGACCCTTCTCCCATCCCGCACGGATCTGGCTTGACGCAGTGATACCTCTCATCAAAGTGACACTGTCAACTACTAAGGGACAACTTCCACTCACCATATATCATGCTTGTTTGTATACCCTTCTCTAATTATCCTTAAGGGCTAATTTTTTTCGGCGTGCCGCTTATATTTATACGAGTTTTCTCGCCTGTTCAAAAAGCCGCGCTTCGTTGCCGGAAAAAAAACTAGCCAGATGGCGTAGCGCGTCCTGGGCCACCCCGCGACGGGGCAAGTCGGCTCATCCATCGGCCGGCTTGGCTTGTTCCTCTCTGGTACGATCCAGCATGTGCCGGTTGGCCTCCTTACGGACCGGACAACATTTGACTTAACTCATCCTGTTCCTTCTAAAATACCAGGCCTGTTTGATGATGCCTGCATGGCTTTTCAAATCAAACCCTGCGGCTGTTTAAAACAAGAAGAAATGGCCCAGTTTGATAAAATCGCTCCGTGCCTAAATTCGGCACGGACACAGAGATGTGAAACTCGATTTAAGTCCAGTACTTCGATCTTGCAAAGAAAAGTACGTCTGAAGTCTGATCTTCTGTCCATTGTAAAAATGCACATAATACAATTTGGGATGATTGAGCCTTTGCCTAGTATGTTATCGATATATATGCCTATAAAAACTATAGTTAATAGTGGAAAGAGGGGTCACACATTTGGCCTTTTGGCACAAAACAAAAACGGTACTGCCGCTTTTTGACACAGGTCGTATTCAGCTGAACAAATGCGTTTTTTTGTTTCCGGACGGAAACCCAAATGAGAGTATGTTCAAATCCTATCCACAATTTCAATGTGACCTCCAAAATCTACCATAATTTCATGGCCAGTCGCTTGGTTTGTGAACGGAGTTGGGTTGCGAAGTGATACTCTCCTGCAGCACTGTTGTCAAGTCCATCAAAATTCCGGTCAAAATAATTAAAGTCCTTTCACAAGATTCAACATGAGGGGATGAACGAGAGTGCTTTTGTCACAGTCCACTTTATATGCTTATGACTTGACTAGAGACTGGAGGACTTGTGATGGACCTTTGAGAACTTGTAAGGACTTGTGAGGGCATGTGATTGACTTGTGAGAACATGTGGTTGACTTTGAGGACATGTAATTGACTTGTGAGGACATGTGATTGACTTGCGAGGACATGT